TTAATATGAAAATAACTGAATTATTCCGAAGAAATTTATAAAAAAAATTTGTAAATAGTTGAATTTCTGTGAAATTTTTATTATTTATGAAAATAATTTAATGTTTGCTTAGAATTTTATCAACATTTTTTTTTTAAATAGTTGAATTCTTTTGAAAAATTTTATTAAAATAGTAGATATTGAAAATCATTGAATTGAGGCAAATTTTTTGAAAATAATTGAAATTTTGCAAAGAATTTTATTAAAATTTTTGAAAATAATTGAAATTTGGAGAAGAATTTTATTATTTTTAAAGATAATTGAATTTTGACGAGAATTTTTAAAAAAATTTTGAACATAATTGAATTTCTGCGAAGATTTTATTACTTTTGAAAATAATTGAATTTCTGCAATCATTTGTAACTTCTCAAAAATTCAATTTTTTCCTGTACTTTGATAAAAATCCCTGACTTTTCCCTGACCAATTTTATTTTTCCTAATTTTCCTGATTTCCCTGACCTGTGGCAACCCTGTTTATTTACTAAACTGTATATTTATTTGCTAAATTATATTATTGTAATTATTGAATATTGAAAAAATTCTCAAAAAGGCTTTACAAAATAAACATCTAATAAAGATGGGCCAGTATTTTTTGAAAGTAAAAATCAAACGAAATTGACGAGAATAATTTCGTCAGAATGCTGGTTTCCGTTAAAAAAAAGAAAATAAAAGAAAATAAATAAAGGTAATCGAGTCATCGTTTAGGTCATGTTATACACAATTTTGCATATCTTGTGAGTTTCTGTATTGAATATATCTTTTGTATCGTAAGGTCAAACAATGTATTGTCATGAACCTGGTATTATATTATCCGTTGTGTAGGTCTAGGTTCTGTGAGATTCACTGATAAGCTCGCATCTGATAAAAAGTCTTAAAGTGTGTACACTGAAATCGCCTCAAGAATTGATAACTATACAAAAAAAATTACTATTACAAAAAAAAACACAATCATCTATAACAAAAATAGCTTATTGTTTCGAATAAAAATCTGAAAAGCTACTAGTACCTAATTTCTTTCTATTTTTTCTTTCCTTTCTATTTTTCCCTTTCTTTTTTTTTTCTTTCCCTTTTCTTCGACTCAATAATTAAACGTTCTTCTTTTAATTAGAATATAAAAATGTTTATAGTAAAAAAAAATTTGAATCTACATTTATAAAATATAAAGTTCGTGCATGTGTGTGTTACTAAATCACAATCTAACCATATAATTACAAAGATAATATCGCATACCCTCGCCCTGTAATGTTGATTTGTGTAAAATCAATTTGAAAATGCCTCAAGGAGAAAACAATTAGGATGCTTTATCGATTTCAAGATCTAGGAAACTTTAAAATTTTGACACACTTAGGACAAAGTTACATACATAGTATTAAAGCAAAACAATGACTCTTGAATTATAATCAAAAATTTAAATAATTAATTGCATAGTTAAATTCTCGATTTGCAAGAAAAAACATTTTATTCCTTTTACACTATTTTTAAAGCAAAAAATATAAATAAGAAATAGAAAAATCTATTTTTAAAGCATTTTTACAAGTATTAATATTTCAGAAATAAATTTTTTTTAAATTAATAAGGAAAATATTTGCAAAAATTAAAAATATCTGCAGATATTAAAAATATTTATAAATATTAAAAATGTCTACAAATATTAAAAATATTTATATTGACGAATATTAAAAATATTTATATTGACGAATATTAAAAATATTTGCAAACACTAAAAATATTTATAAATATTAAAAATATCTACAAATGTTTCAAAATATAATTACAAACACTGAAAATATTTACAAATACATTAAAAAATATTTTTAAAAACATATATATATTTTTAATCTTTTTATAAAAAAATAAATGTAAAAATTTACTTTAGTTGAAAAATTCACAATAAAGTACAATTTGGACAAGAAAAAAGCACGAAGATAAGAAAATTTAATTAATTAAAAAAACAAACGATAAATATGAAAAGATAAGAAAAGCCGTTTGTTATAAACATAAACATTTATATGCAACAAAATAATAAATAAATAAACTAAAATTTAATTTTGTTAAAATAAATACGTAATTTTAATAACTATAATACAGAATTCTCTGCGTTGTAATGTTACAAAACAGAAATGTATTTTTTTCTTCTCTCCTCCGCGGCAATTTAATAAAAAATGATAATGAATTTTAGTCATAAAAACCTTGATTTGAAATATTATTCAAGTGTTTTGAAAACAAGTAAACAGGATTACTTTGCATTTACATAAATTCGATTAATTTTCTACTTTACCGATTCAATGAGACTTTTACAGATGGCGGCATTATGCACACAGTATTTTTTTTAACAAGAGAAAAAATAAAGAATTTTTTAAAAAAATAAACTTTAAACCAATTTCAAGAAATTATTAATTAATCTCAACAATTATAATTTTTTCTAAATTTTTAAATACCCAATTTCGTGAATATAAACAATTGCAGAAAATTAAAAAAAATATGTTGTCTTTTTTATAATAAAAAAAAAGAACAATTTTAAATAAAAAAAAAAAAATGAAAAATTTTTATAAAATTGTTTTGTTTATTTCTGTTGATACGCGTAAAACTTTTTTTTTTTGAAAAATTAATACCGCCACTCGTTATGAAGACTTAATTTTTATTGAGACAAAAAAAACACTAAATGCTAATGTATAGTTAATTTTTAGAGAAATATTTCAGCTGTTTAAATTTACATATAGTGTCATTAGGTATACGTTGAGTTTTATAATATGTAGATAATGACAGAAAATGAAAACAAGAATACGGAAGAATTATGTTTATGCAGAATAATATGTATAAAATAAAAATTTTTAAATATTTGAAAAATAAACGAAAATTTACTGAAATGACTTTACATAACCTGTAAAGTCAAGAGTAAAATTCGTAAAATTTCTCCTTTTGAAAAAAGGATCAGTAATTACGTTAATTATTATAATTAAAAAACCAAAAGATGATTACATATTAGATGTATAATTCAGTAAAACAAATGAAACAAATAGTCACGAAAATAGAATATACTCTCGTACTATAAATCAAAAAGAGTGAAAGTATTTTATACTAAATCATAAAACGAGATACGTACTTTTAAAATATTATTTTAGCAAATGAAACATTTGCAGGGTTAAGAATTTTTCACAAGAATTGAATAGTCATATACACCAATCTTATCAGTTAAGTATTAATTATCAAGTCGTCTTTCTACTTTAAATAAAAATCTTTCAATAATGTCATTGGGAATCAATAAAAAAAAGTAAACTATTATTCTAATTATTGAAATAATAGTTTTAAAAAATAGAATATTAAATCGAAGAATATAATTTGCAAAAAGTATCAGTTCATTTTGTTTTTTCAGTTATCAAAAAAAAAGATCTCGAAAAAGATTGACATTGAAAGAAACGACAATAAGAAACGAGAATGTGAGACCAAGAATGAAAAAAAAAAAAAAAGAAATGAATCTTTTCAAAAAACATGATAATATGAAGGAGGCGAGTTATATTTTTCTGGTTCGTACCATCCAGAGTGCAAACAAGATCAATATATCTCGCATGACAACATAAGCACATCGATACATTTTTTGAAAAGAGAAAAAACCAAGGGACTTAAATATTACAAGACTTGTGCTTTCTCTTGGAACGATATACGAACAGATGCAAATTGTGAACACCGCCAGAGGAAAAACAAGCGGGAGTGAAGCTGATTTTTTGCCAAAAAAACGAAACTCAATGTCATATGTAAACCGAAGGCCATGTACAACAGACGGACAGCACATTGTGCATTGAGATTCGATTAGATAAACATGACAAGGAATTTTACTTACTTGCAATTTATATCAATTGAATATTAGTTATTTAATAATGGTTCCTTTTTCGTTTCACGAATTATTAAACTTCGCACAGTAACATTATATTGTACTAAAAAAAAAAAAAAACCGAGCGAGCCTGATCAAAACCACAATTTTCGTGACGTCATCGGAGACAGACATGCGCAAACGTTTTTCGGTGATTTTCCATGTACCGAAAACCACGTGCAAAACAACTTCACTAATCACGACACTACATTGCTAAAAGACCATAAACATTATTTGAATGAAAACTATTTGATTTTATAGAAATTTTCGTGCACGAATCGCTGAAACCAACACGATTGTCGACATCCATCCATCCACTCCCACTTGTTAAATGACGTACACTGACGTCATCCATAGTTTACCTTGAAGCATGACATTGAATTCCAGTGCTGCCAACTGTATTCCATCAAAAAACCCACAAAATTATTGAAATTGAGAAATATTTTCAAAAACAATTCAATCACCATTGGGATTTATAAACAAACTGATAAATATTAATCAAAATTATATGAAAAACTACTTTTCATTGTTAAAAACAAAGAGGCAAATTGTTACAAAAAACAAATGAAAGTGACTCGAGTGGTAAAAAATGAAAGGCAATGTTCACGTGACTCTAACAAATGTAACATTAATTCTTGATTTTTTTAAAATGTTTCGAGAATATAAAAAAAGACAAACATTTGATGAAAATACCACAAACTATGAACAAGCATTTTATTAAAAAAAATCACAAAAATGCAAATTTTCAATCTAGTGATTTTTGTTGGTGACGGAAATACCACTTTGGCGCTTACTTTCAAAATAATTTAAAACTTTTTGCCTCGTCCAATCAAAAACAAGTACGGAAGTTGTAGATGGCGCAGTAAAAATTGGCGCGAAAATTCAATTATTCTCCTCGATTCCATTTTCAATAATTACGAAATTTTGCATTTGAAATGTATGAAAAATAATAAAAAATTACAATAATTTCTCAAAAAATAAATTAATCGTAATATTCAAACAAAAATATATCAAAAATATAACGTACTTTTCTTTTAAAAAAAAATTTCTCTGGAAAGAAAAATAATACTGTTCAGTTCATATAGTAGCTCACTTCAGACAGGTTTCCGTGTATACATAACAAAAGACGACGCGAAACAATTTTATAGTGACTTCACATTTGATGCAAATCAAAGTTTTTAATACGAGAAAAAAATGATACCTGTCATTTAAGGACAAATTCCCTGTAAATAAGTAAGTGAAAAGTGAATTTAATTTTTAATTATGAAATCAAGTTGATAAATTAAGTTCCCTATAATCGAACATCAAGAATACAATTGTTTGCCAGTGTTGAAATATTTTATCACACTTCGTAATGACTTTTATCATAAAAATGAAATATTGACATAGAAATAACCCGATTGTGACACTTTATCATCAATTATGATGACACGTAAATTTCCTTCTGAAGGACTACAGAATCAAATATCTCGACTTTATTTACACACATATTAAATCAATTTTTTTTTTTCTGTAAAAAAAATTGTTAAAGCATAACACTAAAAATTTATTTCTTAAATTCAGGTGCATGTGTTATATTTATTTATGTTAATTTTTGATAAGAAATTAGACACATTCGAGAATTTTTTTTCCTTTTAAATTGTGACTTTATATTATTATTTATTGGCTGCTTTTTTAGACAAAATTGTACTGTATTTTAAAGAAAATTAATTGTAATTAATATTATTGGAATTAATTTATAATAGAATTGAATTAAAGTAATTGAAATATTTAAATGATTTTTTTACAGGTACTGCTGTTTGCTTTTTAAATTATTATGGCCTCTACGGAAAAGAATTCGAAAAAGGAAGAAATTTCTTCCAAACATTACAAAATTGATGGACAAAGGAATCAAATGGAGTTGATTGAAAAATCATTATTACAAGAAGATGTCGAGAAGAAAATACTTTCACTTAAGCATTTACTGGAAAAAGATCCCAAGTCTGCAGACTTAAAATTGTCATTATTTATCGCAGCCTGTCACACTTATCGATATGACACTTGTCTTAAACCATTTCCTCCAATGTATATAAGGAAAGAATGCAAGGACATTGATGCTTTGGTATTTTTTCCGCTAATTTCCATTTAACACAAAAATTCATCGAAACTAATAATTTAATTAAATTTAATTAATTTAATTTAATAATTCTTTATTTTTATTAGTTCAATATTATTTTAGTTTACTATTTATTAATTTAATTGAATAATTCATTATTATTATTAGTTCAATATTATTTTAGTTTTTATACTATTCATTAAGTTTTGAATGTTTTTGGAAAATATTCCGCAAAGAATTGTTAATTTTCAGAGAAAAATGTTGGAGACAATTCCACCACTAAGTGTAATTTATCACGAACTCAATGAGCCGAATGTCTACGAAAATTATGGGCCAGCGATAGAATTATTATATTGGTTATTGGTGAAATTACGAGATCCTAATATAAAAAGTGTTAGCAAAGAAAGTGTGAGTATAAGAAATGAATTTTCCAAAAATAAAATACCGAATTCTTTTATTACTGATGTAATTGTAATTTTCAGTTTGAAACAGTATTAAAGAAAGTTCCCTCGGAAATGAAAGCAGCACCACCAAATTTAATTTTTCAAATTGCATGTATGAAACATTCGACATCGGAGGAAAAATGGCAAACAGCAGCTCGAGGTCAAGCAACATTTTATGCCTATCATGGAAGTCGACTAGAAAATTTTCACTCTATTCTGCATTACGGTCTACAACAAAATATGTGCAAAGTAATAATTCAAAACAAACAAAAATAATCAATTTCAAATATCAGGGCTCGAACCAGTGAAAGTATTTAAAAATACGGACTTTACGGACCAACTGACAAAAATAGAATCAGGCCGAATCAAATAAGAGAAAATTTTATTTAAAACTAGAAATTAAATTTTTCATAACTATAAAACATGAAGATATCGATAACTCCGAGTCTTCGACTCTGAGTGATCGCTTTCTCCATGTTTTATAATAATTAAAGATGACCAAGTGATAAAATCATTATCAATTCAATTATTATTTACAAGAATTTTTAACTAACATTCTTCCTTAAATCGATTATTTTTAATAATTTTCGAAAAAGTTCTTTGACAATTTTCATATCCATTTGTTTACAATATTCAATTTTACGAAATTTCAATTATTCGCAAATTCTTCAATTAAATATATATTAGAGAATAAATACTTAAAATAATTTTTAAAAAATTAAATTCAAAATTCAATTATTTCTAAAAGTTCAAGCTATATTGCTTTTAATATTCAATTATTATCTAAAATTTTAACTGAAATTCATTTTTAAATCAATTTTTATTAGAAAATTCTACTCTAGAATTCAATTATTTGAATACAAAAATAAATAATTTATTGAATGTTTCTTAAAATTCAATTCCTATAAAGAAAAAATTAAATTTTGGAGAAGTTACAAATGATTGCAAAAATTCAATTATGTTCAAAAATTAAAAAAAAATTCTCGTCAAAATTTAATTATGTTCAAAAATAATAAAATTCTACAAATTTTAATTATTTAAAAAAATTTTAATAAAATTCTTTGCAAAATTTCAATTATTTTCAAAAAATCTTCCTCAATTCAATGATTTTCAATATCTACTATTTTAATAAAAGTTTTCAAAAGAATTCAATTATTTAAAAAAAATGTTGATAAAATTCTAAGCAAACATTACATTATTTTTATAAATAATAAAAATTTCACAGGAATTCAACTATTTACAAATTTTTTTTATAAATTTCTTCGTAATAATTCAGTTATTTTCATAAATAATAACATTTTTTTTACAAAAATTCTATTATTTTCATGAATAATCCATTATTTTTGATAATTTTTGAAAAAGTTCTTTGTGAATTTTCAAATTTATTTGTTTACAATTATACATTTCCATTCTTTGTAAATTCTTCAATTAAATATATATATATATTAGAAAATAAAAACTTCAAAAAAAGAATTTCAAGTAAAATTCAAATAAACATTTTCAAAGAAATTAATTCTTCTACAGAATTGTTAATGTATGAAAAATTAAAATTGTCAAAGATTTGAATTTGAAACCTTTTCAAAATTCAATTATAATCTAAAATTTTAACTGAAATCCATTTTTAAATTAATTTTCATTAGAAAATAATTGTAATTTTGTCATGAATTTTATTATTAATAAAAATAATTGAAATTTTGACGAGAATTTAAAAAAATTTTGAACATAATTGAATTTCTGCAAAGAATTTTATTACTTTTGAAAATAATTGAATTTCTACAATCATTTTTAATTCTCCAAATTATATCGTACAATTTACGAACTTTTCGTCTTTTCTTAATCAAATTACGGACTTTACGGACCTTTTTTTAAAAGAAACTGATTTTTACCGATTTACGGACCTAGGTCGAGCCCTGAAATATGACTCAAATAATGATTCTTACTGTCTACTTTTGTGTAAATTCTAGAATCCTCTGTTTGGCAATGGAATTTATTTATCAAGTGAATTAGGAGTCAGTTTACCGTACAGTCCTGTTGGCTATGGCTGGGGTGGCAGTCTTCTAGGCAGCAAAATGAGTTGTGTTGCACTTTGTGAACTTATTAATCATCCTGGCGTTAAACGAGGAGATTCAGGTAAATAAATAAATATTCCAAAAAACGAGAAGTCAAAATTAAAGTAAAAATTCTAATTTTCTTTTTCTTTTCTGCTGATTCAAGCTGAAAAAGGAAGGAGCGTAATACCGGATGCAGTAGGCGGAAAAGTGCCAAATAAATATTACGTTGTAACCAATAGTGATTTAGTACGAATTCGCTATCTACTTATCTACAGTCAAGAATTTAATTCGTCAAGGTAATAAATATTATTTGAAATCTAAAGATGAAAATTAAGTTTTAAAACGACATTTTTTCAGAGAGTCAAAGAAAACAGGCGTGCTCGCATGGTTCCGAAAACACAAACTCTTGACCTTCGTACTTGGTTACGTCGTCTTATTAGCTTCTGTTGGCTTAACACATAACAAACACGTGGAAAAATATTTAAAATTATTTATACAAAGAGCAGGCTTCGAATAGGAAATTTTTTTTTAAGAAAAATTCTTTTGTATTTATCAACCATTTTCCAATACAAATAAATATTACCGTTTTTTGTACAACTCTCGTCTTATTATTGCCACAAGTTTCCTAAAAATGGAGTTAATCAAAAAAACTAACGAAAGTAGAAAAAAAATCACATTTGCTTCAAAAAGAAAGTCTAAGAAAAATTACAATTGAACGAAAAGGATTAACGAAAAGGTGGATTAAAGACCAGAAATTAGAAAACTAAACGACTCTTGCTGGAAAAATAGAGAAATAATTATAACTACCAATTTGTTTCTGCTTTCTGCCTATTTAGTTTCTCGTTAAAACTATTGGAAAGTTTTCAGTTACCAAATAGTCGTCTTCAAATACGATAATAAGATTAACTTCAAATTCTGAAAAATGAAGAATGAATTATCGCCAGTCTTTGCGGTAATTTTGCAATTACAAGTTCGATAACTTTCGTTTTTCAAATTTCCTCTAAGAATTCCTAATCTATTAAATTAAATTTTGTAATTTTGAAAGTTATCGCACTTTTATTAAATTCTAATACTAATTTCCTTACCAACTTTAAAATTACTTGTTGTCAATGACGGACAAGTAAAAAGACGTGGAAATATCATGTAAATCGGTATTGGAAGACCAGTACAAACGCTACCTTCGCCAATTTGTATATTTTGTATTTCTGTAGCTAAAAAGCGATTCTGTTTAATTCCTAAAACTTTAAAAATATCAACAAGAAAAATTACTTTTTTTACACTCACCATCTCTTGAATAACCTTCGGCACATCCACAAGTTTCAACTCTCACAAGTTGTAATTCTATTGATTTTATCACAGCTTCACAATGTTCGATAGTTACCTGAAAGATAAAAAAAGAAATTTAATTTAAATTTGATTACAAAAAAAAAAGTTGTCAGTAGATTTATAATTGTAGGTAAAGATTAATTCTAACCTCTCCTATCAATGGTTCGGATAATTTACAACTCAGTGAACTTAATTTGCCAGAGATACAGAATCGAGGTAAATTTGTTCTTTCCCTTGTATTATGAATTGATTCTGGCATTATTTTAAATGGCACTGGTTTCATTTGCTCACTGGACAATTTCGAAGAAACTTTATCCTCAACGATGAATTCTAATGATTTATTTACATCTTTGGCAAGGAAACTTCTTTTAATATCGCAGCGAATCATGTATTGAATATTGACAAAAACTCCATGATATGTTTCATAGAGAGTCTTACTACCACGAGGTTTTAGAGGAAGATCAAAAGGTATTTCTGTTTTGCCACTTGGAATTTTTCCCGATGGAGCAACGTCCAATGTGTACTGCACAAGTTGTATTGGCTGAAACGAAAAATAATCATTGTTAATTGATTCAATAATGCCCTATTATTACCTATTATTATTGTTACCCAGAGTGTCTTATTATTTTCGTTCAACAAAATTCCCGGTTTTTTCTCGACTTTTGTCCTAATTTTTCCCGGTTTTTTTCTCATCAAATTTAAATTTATTTGATTTCAAACATAAATAAATCTACAAATGGCTTTAAAAATTTTAATTAGAGTTTTTATGAATAATTAAATTCTTTTTAAGAGAAGTTCCATAATTATAATTATTGAATAATATAACTTTTAGAAGCAAAAAATTGATTTAAAGCTTTAAGAGGGACATTATATTTTAAAAATAAAATTATAATTACAGTGACTAACTTCCATTGATTATTTTCGAAAAATTTAAATAAAATTCTTTAAAAGAATTAAATTATTTTTAACAGAATGTAAAGAAATTTCAATTATTTGTTTATAAAAATTTAATTATCTTAAAAAATTTCAAAAATCTTATTTTTTAGAATTTTCAAACTTTTTTTTTAATTTGGTGAAAAAATTCCCGGTTTGGCATAAAATTCCTGGTTTATTCCCGGTCAAATTAAATTCCCAGTTAGTAGACACCCTGTTACCCTATTATTACCTATAATCACTCTATTATTCTATTATTATTATTACATTATTTATACCTTTACAGAATTGTAAAACGCTTCGAAAATCCCGACTGTTTTGGAACTGAGTTGCAAATTAACGCAACCCTCCATTGTGAGAAAAATACCATCGTGCTTGATATCAGAATTTGTTTGTATTAAAATTAATCCCGTGACACTTTCCTGCAAAAGAAAGAAAAAGGAAAAAATTAGCAAATAATTGTTTTGAAATGCGCAATAATTGCACTGTAAAAAAAAATTTCTGTAGATTTACAGTTTTGTTTAGAATTTTATAAAAACTTGTAAAATAACTTCTTTAAAAGTAGTGAATTTAAAATCCCTTCTGTAAAATTAATACTTTTAATGTGTCAATTTTACAATTTTCTGTAAATTTACTACTCTGAATGTAGGTAATATTTTTGTCTTTTTATTACCTACATTCAGAGTAGTAAATTTACAGAAAATTGTAAAATTGACACATTAAAAGTATTAATTTTACAGAAGGGATTTTAAATTCACTACTTTTAAAGAAGTTATTTTACAAGTTTTTATAAAATTCTAAACAAAACTGTAAATCTACAGAAATTTTTTTTTACAGTGTGCTTAAGTCAAAACCTTGGTCAAAACTAACCCCTTCGTGGTATATTTTACTCGCTCTTTTTAATCTAATATCAACACTGATCGACATTATGCTATTAAATAATTACTTAAAATAAAAGTTATCAAACACAACGAAAAAACTGTGTAATAACAATAAAAAAAAGAATCAAAATGACAAAGGTCGCGCGAAGTCAAAATTTCAGTGAACATAACCTCTTCATTTCTCGCGCAATAATATTGAACCAAAAGGTTAGAAAATGTAAAACAAATAGATTTGAAAGGAACAAAGGATTCAAAATTAGTTAATTTCCTCAATATCCATGATTAATGCGAACGATATCAAACAAAATTGAACAAGATTTGAATTTCATGACATACGATTTAAAGAAACTGAAAATATAAACAACTAGATGCGTTTTCAATGGTCCAATCCTGGCGACAGGAAATTAGTTGACATGTGTACTTGACTTAAAATTGTGAAAGTAGCTTTACACAAACACCTGTGCAATTAACCTGAATTTTGACATACACATACACATAAAAAACTCTATGTCACTAGTTGTTACTAGTAAATTCTAGCATATTTTAGTGTTAGTATATTTTAGACATCTGCATATTGTTTCATAGAAATCAGTACAATTATACTACATATACAGTGATTCTACTCCGCACAGCTTTAAAATCAAAACTACTAAACACTCATTATTTATTAACAAGCATTTTCAAAGTTTTATTTTTAACAATTAGTTGACTTTTTTTAAAAATCATGAAGACGATCACAGGAATGTGTATTTTACTTTTTTTAACAATTGGAGTTTTACAGGCATCAAATGTCAGCAGTAGTAAGTTTCTCAAATTTCTACATTTGCATATATCTCATCATTTTTTATTCTAATTTAAATAATATTTCTCGCTACTTTAATGCAAATAGAAATAAAATAAATAAAAAATCATGTGAAATTAATTACAAATCTATGAGCGGTGAAAGTAAAAGATAAAAAAAAAAAGAAAAATAATCTATTTACGTCATATCTGTTAAATAATATAAAATTTATTGCGTTTTAATTATAAAAAGAGTTTGATTTTTATGTGTTTAGAAAAATGAAGACGTGGCACATACGAATGAATAAAATTATTTTTTGATCCAGATCTTATTAATATGTATCAATTTCTATTGACATCTGATTGTGCAATATTTGTGTTCGTTTCATTGAATTAATTTTTGTTTCTCTCTGAAAAATACGAGCGATGATAATTTATAATTATTTCCATTAGTGAGAATTTGTGATAATTATTTATTTATTATTACAGCACCAATAGAACCAACTCATAATACAACAACACCATTTCCACTGACAACTACTCCTTCTAATGTGACGACTGTTAATCCCAACTCGACTACAACATCAACTACAACAAAACCAACTACAACGACAACTGAAAAACCAAAAACGACAACACCTATTCCGACAATTCCGCCTAAACCAGATCCACCAAAACCGGACGCAAATACAACTGTAACTCCACCGACTACGACAACATTGGCTCCAAATACAACCGTTCATCCGGCGCCAACTCCTGCGCCAACCTCAGGAACAACAACACCAGTTCCAACACTTTCGCCATTACATCCAACCGGAGAACCACCAAAGGAACGTCATTTTGATGGTTTAAGTTTCATGGGTAAGAGATAATTATTATTTTTTTCCTTCGAAAAGAATAAATTTGCTTACAAGTTTCATTTTAAGAACAGGGTTGCCACAGGTCAGGAAAATGTCAGGGATTTTTATTAAAAATACTGGAAAAAAGTCAATGTTTAGAATTTTTGTGTCTTTGTTTGACTCATAAACTATTAATTAATTATGTACAACGAATTCTCTAATATAAAACCATCAATTTTTTCTATTTCTGGCAATAATTTATTTTAATTAATTCTATTGAAGAACTGACATAAAGTTATTACTTATAAATCATTTAACGAAGTATTTTTTTGAAAAATTTTAATTTCAATTCTGTTGAAATTAGGTTCAATTTTAAAAATTTGAACGCAATTCTTTGAAAGAATTCAACTATCTTAATAAATATTAAAATTCTTTCCAGAAATTCAATTATTTTCAAAAATGAAAAAAAAATTCTCGTCAACATTTCAATTATTATCTTTATAAACAGCAAAATTCTTCTTCGAAATTCAATTATATTCATAGAAATTTTTGTAAAATTCTTAATTATTTAAAAAAAAAACAATATTCATCACAAGAATTCAATTATTTTCAAAAATTTTAATAAAATTCATTACAAATTTTCAAAAAATTTTCTCAATTCAATAATTTGTATTTTATTTTAATAAAATTTCCCAGAAGAATTCAATTATTTAAAAACAATTTTAAAAACTTTCTACACGAAATTTCAATTATTTTCTAAAATAATAAAAATTTCACAGGAATTCACTTATTAAAAATAGAATTTGCATAAATTTTTTCGAAAAAATCAATTATTTGAAACTTTTTTATAAAATTGTTGGAAATAATTCAATTATTTTCATAAATTAAAAAAACTCATTGCTGAATTTGAATTATTTTTAATAAATTTAAATCGAATTCCTCGAAAAATGTAATTATTCTTAAAAATTTTATTAAAATTTTTTTTCTATTTTCATAAAATTCATCAAAAAATTTAATTATGGAAAACAAATTTTTGATAAATATTAATAAATTAATATTTTTCATAAATATTAAATTTTAAATAAATTTAATAAAAATTTTATTAAAACTTAACGAAAGAATTCAATTTTAAGAAACATTCAATTATTCAATAAAATAATAAAATTCGTTGCAATAATTCAATTATTTTCATAAGTAACGTTTAATTTGTCGCAGAAAATCAATTATTCTCGTAGAATTTTCCAATAAAAATTGATTTAATAATGAATTTTGGTTATAAGTTTAGATTTGAATATTTATGATTTAAATTATTCAAATATTCAAATAGTATATTTGAATATTAAAATCATTATGACATGAATTTTAAGAAATAATTAAATTTCGAAAAGGTTTCAAATTAAATTCTTTAAAAATCTTAATTTTTTATAATTATAATCAACAATTCTGTATAATTAATTACATATTTTGATAAATTTTAATTGAATTTTTTTCTGAAATTATTTGAAGTGTTTATTTTTAATACGTATTCAATTGGAGAATTTCTGAATAATTGAAATTTCGTAAAATTGAATTGTAAACAAATGAATTTGAAAATTCTCAAAGAACTTTTTCAAAAATTATTAAAAATAATTGATTTAAAGAAGAATTTTATTTTAAAATTCTAGAAAATAATAATAGAATTAAAATGATGAAAATAATTTTTAAAAAATTACAGTAAAAATATTCCTATTATATAAAATAATGATCTTATCACTTGGTTATCTTTTTATTATAAAAAATTAAAAAACCGATCACTCCGAGTCGAAGACTCGGAGTAATCAGTTTCTTCATGTTTTATAATAAATATTCTTATAAGTTATTAAATTTCAAAAAGATTTGAATTTGAAATTTTTGAAAATTTGAAATTAGTTAAAAATTCTAGAAAATAATAATTGAATTTAAAAATAAAATAACATTTTTGTGGCAACCCTGAGGAATCCAAAAAAAAAATTCCCTAATTTGTAAATAATTATTTTTATAATCAGATTTGTTTGTTTTTAACTTTGACATATCAGGTGGCATGATTCTCACGGTATGCATTGTGGGAATTGGTGCATTTTCTTGGAAATTCTATAAGGCCTGGACGGATCGCAGTTATCGTACACTGTAATCACAGACGGTTAGATTAATTTAAAAACAAAAAAAATTCTTCCATTGTTAACTATTGTTATCGCCAAAAAAGGGATAACTTGGTCAACAGTGGATTATGATTTTAATTATAATAATATTACGTATTTTTTATATCAGTAACTATTGTAAAATATTAAGTGCTCTTAGCACACAAGTGTGCAAACAACGTAATATTCAATTGACTTTATGAGTAACAAATCAAGATCTTTTTTGAAAGAAGAAATTTTGTTCAATTCAACTCAGTAAAATCATCTTTTAAACATGGCTGAAAATTATCGCTAGATTAGAGAATATTTCTCATTTTCTTTTTATTTTCATTGTAATATTTTCCTTTTTTTCGATAATTTATATACTGTGTAGGAAAAGTAATCTCTTAGATAAAATTAATCTTCTTTTTTCTTCTCAATTATTATATGGTGCTTTTTTTTAAAGACTTCAATTTCAATATTTGAAATAGTTTATTTTGCATTTATTTTGTGATACATTTTCTTTTACATTCAGTAGCGAGAAAATAAATACAATTTAAAATAACGATAATTTTCATTATTATAAATATTGTATAAATATGAAAATTTACAATAAGATCTGATGCTTTTTTATTACTTTTATATAGTTATTTTTCTCAGTTGTAAAATGCACAATATTCATAAGATCTGATCAGTTTTTCTATTTATAGAATTTTTTTTCTCAATTGTAAAATACCTATTAGAAATAATTTACAAAATCAAGTACTGAAAATTATGTATAGACAATTTTTTAAGTTGGACATTGATTTGATTTTAGACAGTATTTTAAGTTAATATGGATTTCGCCCAGTTTCTGACCAAAAATCATGTAAAAGAAATATTAAATAAAGAAAAATTCATTGATTTAGATATATTTGTTTTTTTCTATGAATTTATTTTCTTTTTCTTTTTTAAAAAAAAAACTCTGTTTTTTTCTTTCTACGTTTGTGGAAATTTATTCCCAGGCTATAGAATGTAATTTTTCGGCCGCCTGCTCTGGAGTTAAATCGCGTTGTGCTTGAGCAAGTAATTCATAGCCAACCATGTGTTTTTTTATTGTTGCTGATCGAAGTAATGGTGGAAGATAAATACCGTGAAATGTCCAGTGACTACAGTCGTCCTTCAAATAATTCCCGGTAGGAGCACCTGAATTAAATTAATTTTAATTTTTACCCTTTTATTTAGGAATTTAAGTATTTTTTCAGCCCCTCTTGATCCACTTCTCGATAAGTATTTATTTATCGCACACAGACTTCGCCAAAATTCAATTATTTTCATAAATAATAAAATTTCCACAGGATTTCAATTACTTTAGAATAGCATTTTCAAAAAAATTTCGAAAAAATCAATTATTTAACAAAATTCTTATACAATTCTTCACAATAATTCAATTACATTCACTAATAATATTATTCATGGAAATTCAATTTAAAAAAAAAAATTTTGATAAAATTCTAAAAGCAAGAAATCAATTATTTTCATAAACAATAAAACTCATAGAAGAATTTCAATTATTTTTAATACTATTTTAAATTAATTAATCGAAAAATTCAATTATTTTCACAAATCAAGTTTTCCATAAGAATACAATTATTTAAAATAAAATTTCCATAATATTTATTATATTTTGAAAAAATTAATTATTTTAAACAATGTTTATAAAATTGTTAGCAACTATTCAATTATTTTCATAAAAAATAAAATTCATCGCAGAATTTAAATTATTTTTAAACATTTTAATAAAAGTTTTCGCAATAATTCAATATATTTTCATAAATTATAAAATTCTTCTCAAGAATTCAATTATTTTTGACATTTTAATAAAATACTTTGCAACTATTCAATTATTTGCATAAATAATAAAATTCATCGCAGGATTTCAATTATTTTTAATATAATTTTACAGGAATTGCTCAAAAAATGTAATTTTTCTTAAAAATTTAATTTCAATTCCTCGAGAAAGCCAATTATTAAAAAAAAAATGTTTTTTTTAAATTCTTTGGAAGAATTTAATTATTTTCAAGGATTTTAATAAAATTCTTTCAAAGAATTCAATTATTTACATAAATAATTCTTCGAAAGAAATCAATTATTTCGATAAATAACAAAATTATTCCTGAAAATTCAATTATTTTGAGGCATTTCAATAAAATTCTTCCCAAGAATTAAATTATTTACATAAATAATTCTTCTCGGGAATTCAATTATTTTTGACATTTTAATCAAATTCTTAGCAACTATTCAATTATTTTAATAAATCATAAAATTGATCGCAGGATTTCAATAATTTTTATACAATTTTACAGTAATTGCTAAAAAATGTAATTATTCTTAAAAACTAAATTTCAATTCCTCAAAAAATCAATTATTTAAAAAAAATGTTTTTTTTTTAAATTTTTTGGATGAATTTAATTATTTACAAAAATATGAGAATTTTTCACAGGAATTCAATTATTTTTAAAAGTAATAAATTTTTTCCTGGAAATTCAATTATTTTGAAAAATTCTAATATAATCGTTCGCAAGAATTCAATTATTTTTATAATTTATAAAATGCTTTTTAGGAATTTAATCTAATTTTCAAAAAAATTTAATAAAATTCCTCACAGACATTCAATTATTGTCAAAAAATTTAATAGAACTCTTTGTAAAATTTAATTATTTTTTAAATACCTACTTTTCGCAATTCAATGATTTTCAATACCTACTATTTTCATAAAATTTCCAAACAGATTTCAATTATTTAAAAATTTTTTTGTAAAAATCTTCATACGAATTCAATTTTTTTCGTGAATTAAAAAAATTTCTGAGGATTTCAATTATTTAAATTAGAATTTGCATAAAATTAGCCGAGAGAAATTAATTATTTAAAAATTTTTTTTATGAAATTCTTCGTAAGAATTAAATTATTTTTATAAATATTTAAATTCTTTCATGAATTATAAAATTCGTTGCAGGAATTAAATTTATTAGCAGGATCAAAAAGATATAAATATTTTTGATGAAAATTAGGAAAAAATCAGGAAAATAAAAATATAGAATGGAATTTTTGTCTGCTTTGTTAAGTTACTAAAACGAGTTTTTTTCGGTCCTCAAGTTTAATTTTTCGATAGCTACTTTTTTACTACTTTTTCTTAGTTTGAAAGCTACTTTTTGATATTTTTAAAAATTAATTATCGAGTGTGAAGTCTGCACACGTTAAATTCTTATATCTGACAATGAAAGTTGGATCAATTGGGGCTGAGTCGATAAAAAATCCTACCGTGCCATCCCATGGAATATGGAAAGGAACAATTGAAAAGTCTGTCGTATTTTGTACAAAGTGTCTTCATAACACCAGCAAGTGATTTTTGTTGATTTGCATCTAAATCTTGCATTCTTTGTACTTGTTTTTTTGGAAGCACCATTGTCTCATAGGGCCAAACTGCCCAAAATGGCACGACTACAAGCCAATCGGAATTTTCGATTACAATTCGTTCCTTTAAAGAGAAGAATTTACGACACCTTTTCAATTACATATTTTGAATATTTGATTAGTCTTTTAATTTTTTTTCTTTTGAAATTAATTTTTGTTTTAAAATTTATTTCATTTTTTGTCGATAAAATGAAAAATAGAGAATGCATTGAAACCTTTTTGAGTAATTCCTTTCGGAGATAATCCATAAGAAGAGGACGTCCCTTTCGCTGATAATAATCGCGGAGAAATTTATCCTTAATTTTAGCCTCATTTGGTATGAAAGAACTAGACCAAATTTGACAATGCGGATGAGCATTACTGCAACCCATTAAAGCTCCTCTATTCTCGAATATCTGAACCCAAGACCACTTTTCACCCAGTTCCAACATTTCCTTAATCCACCTTTAAATTTATTATTTATTTCCTAATATTTCTCTGCTAATTCTTATATTTTTATATTCTTTATATTTTCCATTATTTTATTGCTATTTGATTTATCTCATATAAAATCTCATTTAACATTAAAATTACCAACGAGACAATTTTTCCCATTCCGCATATTTAATTTCCACTAAAATGTAAAAAACCAAAATCTTTAACGAGCGGAACTGTCCCGTTGGTACTTTTAGAAAAAAATGGATATAAATTGATTTGAATTGTAAAGGAAAATTAAAACTCACTGCCTGATGACTTCGCCAATTTCATCAATAGTCATTCGCGCTATTGTGACATTCGACTTGGGATGAAAGCACATCACTCTACATTGTCCTTTGGCCGAGCCCATTAAAAATAATTCGTCGTCGGAATTTGGTGGACTTGGTACATTCTCGAGCAGTGCGGAAAAATCATTATCGAAACAAAATGTTTTTTCATACTTCGGTGTTACCTGAAAAGTCAAAAAAAAAAAATTAATTATATAAACAAAACATTTTCGGTAAAACAATGCTTAAAACAATTGCTTTCATGAGAAGAAGTAATAGACTGAAAAATAAATTTCATACATGACCGTTAGCTCGAACATTTCCTGGACATAGAGGATTATTTGGATCGTACTCCGGAATTTCCTCATCATTAAATGGTTCCACTTGTCCTCCCCAAGGTCGTTTCATTCTATGCGGTGACACCAGAACCCATTCACCTCTCAAGGGATTATAGCGAATGTGCTGATGATCTATAAAAAGAATATTAAATCTTTATTTTGTAAAATCATATTTTCTTCTATATTAATATCTTTTAATAAAAATAATAAACTTAAAAATTCAATACTAAAGAAAATAGAGATTCTTACCTGACGGATCAAAATTTAAGGAACTAGCCATCTCAATTTTTAGAAATCTAGAAAGAAAAAATATTTTTTTAATATAAAAATTGTTTTTATAAACAAAAACAATTGTTTTCGTAAGGAAAATGTAACAAAAATAATCTTTATAAAGAACCTATTCGTAAGTGTTGAATTTTGCTAATAAAATCGTAAGCACAACATAATCTAGACTGACTTTGAAATCTGATATAAAAAAAAAAAATAACTTTGACCTTCTGTGTCAATTTTTCAAATTGAACATTTTTCTATTAATTATCTTATCGTTTAAAACTCTAACATGAGATTTAGATTGACAGCAGAAACAATTGTCAATAGATAACAAATAATTTATATCAATTAAAAGTAAAATAACAAAATCAGCAGAAAACAATAGTAAAATAAAAGTATCAGTCATTATCAGTGCGACAATTAACTGTAAATAAAATAACTTTCTATACATGAATTAAAAAAGAAGATTGTTTTTACTTATGTTTACAATCATATAGAAAAATAGCAAAATTAATTAATGACAATTTAAATTCTAAAAGCAAAAAAGATACTAACTTTTATTGGAGGAGCTGGGATTTGAACCCAGGACTTTCCGCATGCGAAGCGGACACTCTACCACTGAGTTACACCCCCTAGTAAGATTTCTAGTGAAAAAGAATTCTACATTAGTATATACAATGAAAAGAGAATTAAATAGTAAATAAATATATAATTATTATTTTGTAAATAAATAAAATTGCCTTCAGTGCACAGTAAATTAAATTCATTTAGTCAAATACAATTTTAATAATACTTACATACTCTGAGACCACGAGCTGCCACGAGTTTAGAGATTATGACAATAATAACAAGTGTGTGCAAAATGACAACACAACAATGGAAATTCCCAAGACTTTGAAATTAAATTTTTCCTTCTCTTGCATAAACAGACTGATAAAATTAATCAAAGTGAATGACGTGTGATTCGTGCGATTCGTGTGAATGATGACACATAATTATTGCGTATAAAATATTTAACGAGAAGAACTTCCATGGGAGAAGAGGTTATGAATTTTGTATGCTGAAATTTTATTCAGTTTGACTGATGATTAAGAAATTCCCAAAGATCAATAACTAGGTTTCTTGATTAACCTGTAAATATTAGTTCTTTAATACTGAAACTATTAATTATTTATAAGAAAAATATGTCACTTTGCCTCAGAGGACATTCTTGCATTTGGCGGTAGGCACAACTAAACAATCAGGTACACCAACAGGTAAATGTCAAAAAAAAAACACTTTTGCCAATATAGCAAATACTTTCAATCTGTAAATAATTGAATTAAATATGTTAAATATCATAATTTCTATTTATAAAAATCTTAATAAAAGAATAAAAACAATTTTCTGTTTTCTAATTATTAAGAATATAATAATTTTTAATGAGAGAAGAAAAGTTTTTTTTTAAATGTTTTGTTTGGCGCTCAATGTTTTATTCGGCCGAGTTCAAGTTGTTTCAAGTGCGCACAACTTCATGACATCAATTGTTTGCAACCATTTGCAACACGTGTGTAAAAATAGGTTAGAACAGTGTTTTTTTCTATTTTTATTCCGAATATTCTGACATTTTTTTCTAATTTTAAAATAATTTGACAGTTAAAACTACTATCTTCTGTTGTACCTGTTTCAAGAAAAAACAAACATGTATCTTATGTATTATCTTGATAACGATGGACATCGTGTTTACACATTAAAGGTAAGCTCCAAATGATTAGAATTTATTTATTTCACCACTATTTCTGCAAATATTAATGTAAATTTAATCAATTTCCTCTTGTTTTACTATTCTTTTCGCTTGATAATATACATTATTTTGAAAATAAATTTGAATAATAAATTAGAATAAGCGGAATAAACATTGTTGTCTGGAACATAACCTCAAAATTTTGTCTATAATAGAAATTTATTTTTATTTGTAAAATATAAATAATAACATTATTTAAGGACTGCGAATATTTAAATAATTGTTTTATTTAATTTTCAGAAAGTAGACCCTAATGGAAAACCTACCATGTCGGCGCATCCAGGTAAATAAAACTTCAAGTATTTCAATTTTCAAATAATTTTTCATGTATATAGGAAAATAATTTCTTTTTGTAATTACAGCCCGATTTTCTCCTGAAGATAAATATTCAAGAGAACGAATTACTTTGAAGAGGCGATTTGGATTACTCCTAACTCAAAAACCTCTCCCAGCTTATTAAATTTAAATAAATGTAATTTTATTACCAACTTTTATAAATATAAGTTTAATATTAAATAAATATTTAAGTTCTTAAATTTGCTTTGATTATTTAGTTCCATATTTACATTTATAAAATAGTCTTTAAAAATCAAAAGTAAACTTATCTTTTAATAATTTTTTTTTGTTTAAACGGGTTTAATAAGACTAGAGTATTTGATAGAAAACTTCGTTTTTTTTTTATTAAAAATGTAATTTCCATATTTTTAATTACAAAACTAAAATTTCTAAATAAGTCAACAATCGAAATAAATGACAAAATAAATCTTTAAAACATTAAATATAATAAAAAAAATTGCTGTCTATTATAATTTAATGGAATTCAATCTTCATTTATAAACATCGGAAGACGAATTCAACTTGTCTTTGGACTTTCAAAAAAAAGAAAATAAATTAGTTTGAACCCGTATATAATAAAATATGCATATAAAAAAAAGAAGAAATGGCAGCATTACAATTAACTTTAAAAAAAGTTGAAATTTAAAATTAAATAAAATTTGGCTGAAAAATTATAAATGTCTTAAAATTAGATTATCAAATCTCAACTATAATCATTAAAACCTTATGTTTCACATTTCTATCTTAAAAATTATAAATAGATACCAGAAATACCAAGTTTATAATATATATGAAACGACTTAACAAACTTTCCATTTATATATATATATGCCATATTTTACATCGTACAACTTGTCGTATAAATACAATATAACAAGTGCAAATTAATGAGTATATAAAATTACAGAATAATCGTTACTCTATACATATAAGTACAAAGTTCGATCTAAATAAATAAATAATTTTTTACTCTATCATACAAGAAAACTTAAGTTTCAATAAAAAAAAAGAAAACAAAAAACAATGATGATGGAATCATTTATCCTTGATGAAATTAATTAACTACGAATGATTTTTTCTCTAAACTTTTTCTCTCAAGAAAAAAGTGTAATAATCGAAAATTACAAATTTTCAAGCTATTTAATAAAGAAAACAGCTCTTGATATATCCTGCACTACTTTGTATTGTCAGAATATTACTAGATATTTAATGGCAGAGTGCTCTTATCTTTTCAAAGGCAAACGAATGCTTTTTTTCTTCTCATTTTAAATATTATTACATTCAATTTTCTTTAAATGTACAATAAATACTTACAAAAAAAATGATATCTTCCGGACAAAATTCACCTTTGTAAAGATAAATTTTCTGTAATTTACATATATTACTCGCAATTTCCTAAAGTTCATCATGTTGTTTCTGATGGTGCGGTTGGTAGTACATGAACTTGTTGAGCCTTACTTGCATTATAAACCTGTCCTGGACTAAATGGTTCGAGTCTCGGTCCCGATGTTACTTCACTTTTGCGTGATATGTCTGTAATTATCAAATAAATAACAATGGTTAATCCGAATTGTTTTAAAATTACATTTTATTTATTATTACATTTAATTAATAAATTGCAGGAAATATGGAAAAACACGTACCATTTTTAGACTCTGTGGCAGGAATATAACGAGATAATCTAACAACTGGAAGGGGTAAGTAACCACTTGTTAATGGCATTACATCTAAAGTAACGCTCTGTTTTTCAAGAGTCTCCAACGACACAATGCCGGCGGTTCTTCCACAAACAGCCCACATTGTTTGATCAGCCAAAACTTCGTACATGAGTTGAGGTGAAGGAGTTGGATTGGAAGTAGGTAACATGCGTGTCACTGTGAGATAAAGATGGCACATGCTGCCTGCACGACAGAAGTCACCTCCGCCGCCACTGGCTTCAATTTTAGACGTCACTGTAAACAATGTCTGAAGAATGTTTGTTAGAAGCAAAATTCTAAAATTATACGACAACAATAATAAAAAGAAACAGACTTCGCACTCGATAATTAATTTTCAAAAAGTAGCTATCAAACTAAAAAAAAGTAGTAAAAAAGTAGCTATCGAAAAATTAAACTTGAAGACCAAAAACAATCGATTTAGAAACTTGACAAAACTGATAAAAATTCCATTCTATATTTTATTTTCCTGACTTTTTCCTAATTTTCATCAAAAATATTTACTTCTTTCTTATCATGCTAAAAAATTAATTCCCGAAACGAATTTTATTATTCATGAAAGAATTTAAATATTTATAAAAATAATTTAAACAGAGAGAAACTATTTAATTCTTGCGAAGAATTTTTTTTATAAAAATCATTAAATAATTGATTTCTTTGGACTAATTTTATGCAAATTCAAACTTAAATAAATGAAAATAATTGAATTTTGGATCAATTTTATCAATTTTTACATTCTCATTGTTTTAAATAATTGAATTGTTTTGCGAAATTTTATGAAAATACTAGGTATTGAAAATAATTGAATTTCGAATATTTTTTGATAATAATTGAATTGTTTTAAAGAATTTGATTATAATTTTTGAGAATAGTTTTTTGATTTCTAGTATTAACGAATTTAAAGTAGTGGAAATTCTCAAAAAAAAACAGAAATGGTAGCTTTTAGTGTCTGAAATCTAAAAAAAAGTACCCAAATAGTAACATAACTTAACAAAATATTAAATAGTAGGTTTTAGTAGATGAGTGCGAAGCCTGAGAAATCTCTTTAAAAAAAATCACATTTATATCATGCGTTATTAACAAAAATATCTTCTCATGTGATGAGAATGTAAAAGGTAAATAAAAGTTATGTTAAAATAAAAAAATGTAAACATAGGGAAAAAAATTGTCTACTAACCATATAGTCCACAACGTCGAAATTACATTTATAGACATTGCTGTTTTCCTCTAATTTTTGCAAATCCTGGATATGTAATGGATCGTCAGTGCAAGTATCCTCATCGATCTCGTTGCTGTTTATCGGAATATACTTGACTCGGAAATCGGTTTTAATTGGTATTGCGGATTTTTCATTCTTTCCGAATTCAAGTTCCCACATGAATGATACGTTCATATCTTTGCCAATCATTAATTTCTGTCCGGCAACTGGATTTAAACTTTTAAAATTCACATCCACTGATGAGCTACTCGTTAATTGTGGTTCCGTCAATTGCAGTAATTGACTATTCAAGCCTGTCACGATAATTTGAAGATATTTCCTCTGCTTAGCGGTGTGTAATTTCATCACAGACATTAAAGGCGGCGCAAAAGTGAGAGCTATACTTTCCTCCGTACCCCAAGGACATTGTATGCTTAACTGAAAATTTGGCAATTAATATTAGAAAACAAATTCCTCGACCAGGGTTGCCACAAATATTTAATTTTATTTTTCCCTGACTTTTCCTAGATTTCCAGACAAAATTTTCACTTTTTCCCTGTCCATAAAGAATATTCTGATTCACTCTAAAAATTATTAGATACTCAAAAAAAAATATTCTATTACATTTACTTACGAATTTCTTAAATTGTAAAATTATTCGCAAACATCAATAACTAAATTTTTAAATAAATAATTATTATTTTTCCATAGGAATTAAAATTTTCCAAAACATTCAAATTCAAACATTTTTAAAATTAAACAACTTATAAGAATATTATTATAAAACATGAGTGATTGATATCTTCATGTTTTATAAAAATTTTAATTTCCATAAAATTTTTCAAAAAAAAAATTAAATTATTTACAAAAATTATAATAAAATTCGTTGCAAGAATTCAATTATTTTCATAAATAATAAAATTCTTCACATGGTTTCAATTATTTTTAATACAATTTTAAATAAATTTCTCGAAAAATAAAATTATCTTCAAAAATTTTTTGCAAGAATTAAATTAAATACATTTTACAAATAATGAAATTCTTCGCTGAAATCCAAAGTTTTCAAAATTTACATTTTTAATACAAGTTTTCAAAAGAATATAATTATTTTAATAAAATGTAATAAAATTCGTTGCATAAATTCAATTATTTTTACAAGTAATAAAATTTTTCACATGAATTCAATTATTTAAAAAAAATTGATAAAATTCGTTGTAAGAATTCCATTATTTTCATAAATTATAAAATTTTTCTGAGAATTTCAATTATATATAATACAATTTAAAGTAAATTCCTAGAAAAATGGAATTATTCTCTTAAATTTTTTGTAAGAATTTAATTACATTTCACGAATATAATGAAATTCTTCGTTGAAATTCAAATATTTTCACAATCTACTTTTTTAATAAAAGTTCTCCAAAGAATTTAATTATTTAAAAAAATGTAATAAAATTCGATGCAGGAATTCAATTATTTTCATAAATAATAAAATTCTTTACATTATTTCAATTATTTAAAAAAAAATTTGAAAAAATTCATTGCAAGAATTTAATTACTTTCATAAATTAATAAAATTCTTCACAGGATTTCAATTATTTTTAATACAATTTTAAGTAAATTCTTCGAAAAATGTCACTATTTTCAAAAATTTTGTTAAAATTCTTCGAAAGAATTCAATCATGTATTTTATCAATTTATGTATTTTTAAAAATTCATGCTATAATGCTTTTAATATTCAATTATTATCTAAAATTTTAACTAATATTAATTTTCAAATCAATTTTTATTGAAAAATTCTATAAGAATTTAATTATTTAAGTACAAAAATAAATAATTTATTGAATAAATGAATGTTTTTCGAAACTAAATTATCATAAAGAATTTTATCAACAAATTTGAATTTTTTCGAGAAATTTTTATTAATAAATTATTTTTTTAAACAGAAAACCTTTAACTAAAAATTTTGAAAATATTAAGAATTTTAACCGAAAGCCATTTTTAGCGTATTTAGTGCGGTGTCCTTTTGCTAAGAATTTTATTAAAATTTTTGAAAATAATTGAAATTTGCAGAAGAATTTTATTATTTTTAAAGATAATTGAATTTTGACGATAATTTTTTTTTAATTTTTGAACATAATTGAATTTCTGCGAAGAATTTTATTACTTTTGAAAATAATTGAATTTCTGCAATAATTTGTAACTTCCCCAAAATTAAATTTTTTCCAGTTACTTAAATAAAAATCCCTGACTTTTCCCTGACTTCACTGACCAATTTTACTTTCCCTGACTTTTCCCTGAATTCCCTGATTTCCCTGACCTGTGGCAACCCTGTCGACAAAAGGTACAAGGAACTAAAGTACCATTTTGGCAAGGAACGTAATATTTATAAATAATTAAATACCTTGTGCTCTATGGACGATGATTCCTTTTTCGGTGGAAGATCAACAAACACTTTCAATGGAATTTTCTCTATTTGAAATGGTTCACATTCTGGTAAATTAATATTATATTCCTTGTGTCCCGATGATTCGGCATCATCAATTCGCAATGTGAATCCACGCGATGTTCTCAATTTTAAAACATCATTTTTCGTTATTCGCAAACTACCACTAGAAATAATTAGTTCTATATTCTGCACAAGACCGGCTAATAAATCCCTCGTTGAATTTAATGAAACTGTTGGTTGTGTTTTTGCCACTTGAAACAATAATCTCGGACTCAACATCGTTGATAAATATTCTAATTTATTTTCAATGATCAATGATAATTGACCAACTTTATAAAAACCTGGTTGTTCAAATTTTCGTTTAACTATCAGTGTATTTAGTCCCGGCTTCATTATAAATTCATCACTGACAAGAGAATTATCAAAATCACATTTTACATTTGTGGACGGTTTTCGATGTTTTGTGCTGTCCGATCGTCTTATTGGTATTTTTACAATTTGTGGATTTGCCTTGGCAAGAAATAAACTTTTGTCCTGTTGTTCTTCGAAAAATGAATTCATTGTTATTGATAAACTCTCGTATATTGATTTCTTTACGTCTATTGTACACTTTAATAATCTGAAATTAAAATCAATGAATTAAATAAAATTTGAAGAAGAAATAAATAGAAATAATTTTTTAATAAATGGGTCAGTCCATTATATTTTACCTGAAGCCGTTGCGGCCAATTTTTTAAAAAATCTCATAATTTGTAAAAATGATGTTGAATATCCATAGAATTCATTTTTGAGAATTATTTTATAAAATTTTTTGAATTTAACTTAGAATTTTAATTTTTAAATTGAGTTGGACAGAAAAAAGGTTATATTGACAGTTATGAAAATTTAATAAAAAAGCATGGGAATAATTTAGATAATAGAAATTTCTTGAATGATATTTGTTAAAAATGAGCTAATTTACTTGTATAAATAGATTATTATGTAAACATACTCAAAATAATAGATAAAAATTGATTTTAAAATTTACCTATGAAATGTCAAAAGTCACTACATTTTAATTACATTTTTCTAAAAAGTTTATAAATATTAAAAAATGTATTACTATTTAATGTAAAGTATTTTCAATTTACTTTTATAATATGTGCTAACATTTTAATTTTATAATATAGAAATAGGAAAAATTTTACCTTTAATATTGAGTGTTTCATGATTTTCCGTGATTTTAATTACTTATTTCTTCTCAGGTGCAAGACTAAAAAATCCAATTTTTGTCTTAATATTTAAGTTTGAACTTCTTTTCCATTCTATTAAATTTTGGTGATGGAGAACGAGCTACTTTTCAGTTTAAATTTAGTTTAAAAAATCTACTGAAAAAACGAATTTGTTGGTTAAAATGCAAGTAGATTTTTGCATGACTATTGAGATAGTGTTATAAAATTACCTGCATTTTAACCAACAAACTCGCTTTTGGAAGCAGATTTTTTAAACATGAATAAAACTACAAAGTAGCTTGTTCTCCATCACCAAAATTTAATAGAATGGAAAAGAAGGTCAAACTTAAATATTAAGACAAAAATTGGATTTTTTAGTCTTGCACCTGAGAAGAAATAAGTGATTAAAATCACTGAAAATCATGAAACACTCAATATTAAAGGTAAAATTTTTCATATTTCTATATTATAACATTAAAAAGTTAGCACATATTATGAAAGTACATTGAAAATACTTTACATTAAATAGAAATAAATTTTTTTATATTTATAAACTTTTTAGAAAAATGTAATTTAAATGTAGTGACTTTTGACATTTCATAGTTAAGTTTTAAAATCAATTTTTATCTATTATTTTGAGTATGTTTACATAATAATCTATTTATACAAGTAAATTAGCTCATTTTTAACAAATATCATTCAAGAAATTTCTATTATCTAAATTATTTCCATGCTTTTTTATTAAATTTACATAACTGTCAATCTAACCTTTTTTCTGTCCAACTCAATTTAAAAATTAAAATTCTAAGTTAAATTCAAAAAATTTTATAAAATAATTCTCAAAAATGAATTCTATGGATATTAAACATCATTTTTACAAATTATGAGATTTTTTTAAAAATAGGCCGCAACGGCTTCAGGTGAAATATAATGGACTGACCCAAATAATAAATAATTTTTTAATTTAATTAAAAATTTGATTTTAGATATTTACAAATCTATTTGTGGTTCGATTGGTAATTTCGCTCCTTTTTTTCTATTATTAGGCACCTGGGGCTTCTGTATTTCTTCAACGGATACTGAAGCAAGATTACATTTCACTTCTCTTGGTAGTGAACTTTGTACAATAATTTCTATACTAACTATACAATCTTGAACCACTTTGTCCGTAACATTAACTTCCATACTGAGTATTGTGAAACAGTCCATTAATTCACTGAGCAATGGTTTTTGGGAAGACAATAATTTCATATAGCCCAATAATTCCTCGAAATATGTATTACGAACTGTAATATGTAAACTTTTATTACTGGCAATGGCGGCTGATATTTTTGTATAACGTTCAACGTCGTCCATTCGTTTATAACATTGCGCCAATTCTAATTGAGTTTGTGCCGCTAAATTTAACCATCCTTCGTCCGTATATGTTTGTAAGGCATCGGAGAGAAATGCAACGGCCTTTTGATTTTCACCTAATTCAGTATAAAAATTTGCAAGATCCTTGCCAATTAAACGTGCCGATCTTATACGTCCTATATGCTTATAAGTTCCCATTGCCAATTCAGCGTGCTCAAGATATTGTCGTTTAAATGCCTCCTTCGAGGACAATGCCTCTTTTAATTTATCAATTGGTGTTGGTTTTCCCATTGCTTGTGGTTCTGAATCGCCAATTCCGGCAATTAAATAAACAACCGTGTGTAATTGTTCACTCGATGGTTCACTGCCCGGCATGAGACCACACAATTTTCCCAAAGACTCCAACTAAAATTAAAATATTTTCTTAATTGTAAATAAATGTGACAAATGTCAAATTTTAAGAAATTAGGCCTCGGAACGACTTTAAGGAGCAAAAAAAAGTCGCTTTAGTCGATAAAAAATACAAAAAAATTGTTTGTTTAATTCAAACCTTATCTTTGGCAACTGCCCATAAACTTGCGGTATGTACAGAACAGAGATCAACTTGTTGATTATTCTCTGAATTTGACATCGACAATTGACAGGCGTGAAGAACTTCTAAAGCACAGAGAAAAGCCCAACATTCGACAGCACCTTCTGGTTTTTGAATTTCCAAAATTTGAAGTTCGCTGAGTGTATTGTAAATAAATGATAAACACCTCTGCGCAATCTATTGGGAAATTTACAATATTTTTTTTTAGATTTCGGTATTAATTATAATTTTTCATAACGCGGTGCAAAAAAGGGCACTTTTTTGCACCTTGTTATGAAAAATATCGTTCGTAACTAGTGCTAGCAGTTGCCAATTTTTGAATGAGCACTTTTTTTGGAACAAACTGTAGGCGAAGCTTCGCTTCGCTCATTCAAAAATTGACAACTGCTCGCACTCGTTACGAAATATACTATTTCGTAAAAGACTGTAAATTACCTCCCAAGGCATGTTGCGTAACAATAACATTGCCGCCTGTCTGCCGAACAAATAACTCCTTAGATCTAATAAAGAAGCTTTACATTCAGCCAACATCAGTCTCAATTGATGATCAACGGTGTTATTTAATTTTACACCTGACCAATTGTTTAACGGAGTTTGAAACGTACTGAGCCAAACCGCCGTGTCTGGAAATTAAAATAACTAATTAAAAACATTCGAAAAGAAAGGAATTCAGACTTCATATTCGATAATTAATTTTCAAAAGTATCAAAAAGTAGCTTTAATAGTGAGAATGAAGCAAAATAAATGTTTATAGTAAAAAAGTAGCTATCGAAAATTAATTTTAAAGAATAAAAAAATTGTTTTAGTCGATTCACAAACATTTTATTCAGTATTTCCCTGTTTTCTGGATTCCATAGAAAATATATTTTTTTATTCTAATCCTGCTGAGAATTCCAATTCTAAATTTTTATATAAAATTCTTCAAAAATAATTGCATTTAAAAGTAATTTTTAAAAGTAAACAAATAAAATTAGTTGAAATATAAAATTTAATTTGAATTGTTTACAGGAATTAAGAAAATAATAAATTAATAATTTTTTAAAGTGAAAATTTAAATGTTATTACAGTTTTATAACTAAAATTTTCAACGCTTTCAATTTCATTAATTCTAAAAAATCAAACTATAATGCTTTTAATATTCAATTATTAATTTAAAATTTCAACTAAAATTCGTTTTTAAATCAATTCTTATTAGAAAGATCCACTGAAATTCAAATATTTAAATACAAAAATAAATAATATATTGAATAATTGAATGTTTCTCAAAAATTTAATTCTTATACAGAAATATTTTTAATAGTTCAATTCCTGTGAAGATTTTATTACTTATTAAAAAAGTTGAGTTTTTGTGAGGAATTTCATCAAAATTCTTTTATGGAATTCTAGATATTGAAAATCATTGATTTTCGAAAAAATTTTTGCAAATGAAATCGTTTCAAAGAATTTTATTACAACTTTTAGAATTTTTTTTTATTTCAACTGTTAGCGAATTTAAACTGTGATGCAAATTTCCCCGAAAATAAAGAAAAAAGTAGCTTTTAGTGTCATAAATCTAAAAAAGTATCCAAATAGTAGCAAATTGTAAAAAAAGTAGTAAATATTAGGTTTTAGTAGATGACTGCAAAGCCTGGGAATTATAGTAGAAAAAAAGGAATAATAGTATATATAAGTAAAATATTTATTTCTAAATATAAAATTTATAGGAATTATAACCGAATTCATTAGAATAAAATAAGTAAAAAATTTAAAAAAAACTAGTTCTTTGGAAATAAAAAGAAAAAGCTCACCTCCGACATTTGAGTTGAGTACAAACTGTGTGAAAAGTGCGTCTAATTCATCATATTGTATCAAAGCCTCGTCATATAAACCTAAGACTTCTAATACAAATGCAAGTTCTTCCTGCAAAAATAAAAATTTCAATATTTAAATATACATTTTACTAAAAAATTCTTTATTCTCAATTTAGAAAAAAAGTCTCACTTGTAGAAGAAAATAATGGCAAAAATTCCAACCGAGTTGATTTCGTTTCTCGCGATGCTCCTTTATAATTTCTCTAAATCGTAAAAGTGCTTTGTCATATGCTGTTAGTGTTAAATGCCTTATTCGTACAATTAGACCTCTCCATGATTCAGCCGATCGAGATTCAGACTTAATTGGATTTATAACCGATATGCACCTGCAAAAGGAAAAAAAAATTAATAACGTACTAAAAAATAGTAGCTAATCTAAGCTTACTATTCTAAAATTGTATTTTACTATTTTAAGATTGTAGTTTACTATTTTGGAATTATAACTGTAAGAAAAGAGACCACTGTACAGGGTTGCCACAGTTCAGGGAAAAGTCAGGGATTTTTATTAAAAGTACTGGAAAAAATTATATTTTCAGAATTCATAAGAAAATTCTGAATTTTTCGTGTCTTTTTTGTTTGACTCATAAACTAGAAAATTATACCACGAATTCTAATACAAAACCTTCAAAATTTTTTTCTATTTCTGACCAGAATGAATTTTTCAATATTATTTAATTATTTCAAAAGTTTTAATGCAATTATTTTCAAAAATAACAAAATTCTACACAAAAATTCAATTATTTTTAGGTATTTAAAAAAAAATTTTTGCAAAATTTAATTATTTTTATAAATAACAATATTATTCATCACAAGAATTCCATTATTTACAAATTTAATAAAATTTTTCGAAAAAATTTAATTACTTTTACAAATTTTAATGAATATCTCGTCAAGAGTTTAATTATCTTTATAAATAGCAAAATTTTTCGACAAAAATTCAATTATTTTTAAAAATTTAAATAAAATTATTTGCAAAATTCCAATTATTTTTAAAAATTTAAATAAAATTATTTGCAAAATTCCAATTATTTTTAAAAGTTTTTCGTAATTCAATGATTTTTAATATTTACTATTTTCATAAAATTTATCAAAAAATTTAATTATTGAAAAAAATTTTTGATACAATTCTACGAAAACTTTAAATTATTTTCATAAACAATAAAATTTCATTTAGGAATTCAATTATTTTCACGTCAGAATTTTAAATATTTTTAATACAATTTTAAATAAATTCCTCGAAAAATGCAATTATTCTTAAAAATTTTATTTAAATTTGTCGAAAGAATTCAAATTTAAGAAACATTCCATTTTTTAATAAAATAATATTTCCAATGATTCAGTTATTTTCGTAAATAACTTTCAATTCGTCGCAGAAAATCAATTTTCAAATTTTTTTTTAGTAATTCTGAAAAAGAATTCAATTAACTTGATAAACAACAAAATTCTCCCCATAAAATCAATTATTTTAAGAAATTTTAATAAAATTCCTTTTCAAAATTCAATTATTTTGATAAATATCAAATTTCATCACAAGAATTCAATTCTTTTGAAAAATAATAAAATACTTCGAAGAAATTAAATTATTATCAAAATTTTTTTAAAATTCTTATCAAGAATTAAATTATTGTCAAAAATGTTAATAAACTTCTTGTCAAAATTTCAATTATTTAAACAACATTATAAAATTCTTCGCATGAATTCAATTATTTTAATCAATTATTATTTAAATTCTTCTCAGGAATTCAAGTATTTATAAAAATTTTAATAAAATTCTTCAAAAAGTTTTCAATTATTTTCAAAAACTATTATAAAATTCTTTAATATAATAAATTTCAGTAAAATTCTAATTAAATTCCTTAAAAGAAATTAATTATTTTCAAAAGTTGCTAATAACATAAAAAAAATTAAATTTTAATAAATATTAAATTATTGAATAAATTATTTATTTTTGTATTTAAATAATTGAATTCTCGTAGAATTTAAAAATTCTTGAAAATAATAATTGAATTTAAATGATGAAAATAATTTCGAAGAAGTTAGAGTAACTTAGTTCTTATATAAAATAATAATTTTATTCCTGGGTTATCGTTAATTATTATATAAACATGAAGAAATCGATTGACTTCTTCTTGTTTATAATAATATTCTTATAAGTTATTAAATTTTAAAAGATTTAAATTTGAAATTTTTGATAATCTTAATTTGAATGAAAAAATAATGATTAAATAATTATGATAAATAAAACAATTGTTTTCGAAGAATTTTACAATTTAAAAATCTCGCAAATAAATGTATTAGAACATTTTTCTCGATATCTAATAATTTTTATAGTGAATAAGAATATTCTTTAGTGTCAGGGGAAAAAGTCAAAATTCTGTCTGGAAATCAGGGAAAAACAAAGTTAAATTTTTGTGGCAACCCTATGTAAAAAAAGAATAAGTTAATGTAAAAAATAAATATACCTGTCCCCGTGTTTAGAACCAAAATCATTTCGAATTTTATCTAAAACTGTCGTTCTTGGAAGTAATTTATTACTCTTTTTGATATCATAAGTTTCTACGAGTACTATCATCCAGTCCTGGATATTATTATGCCCTAGATTTTTTAACCATTTATCTATATCATCTTTCACTGAAGATTTGTAAATATCAACGTCCTGTAAATAAAAACAAATTTTTATATTTTACTTCAATCAAATAAAAACGAAATTAGCACTAAAAAACAAAACAAAAAGAAAAACTTACGGAACACTCTGTCCAGTATATATGAAAAATTGGCTGTTTAACGAGATGCCAATTTTTATCCTCTGGCAAAATATCCACCGAAAATGGAATAAATCTAGGATTGAGTTTAACTTTTTTAATTGGCAATTGACTGACAGATCTACGCCATTCAACATTTTCATCCGACACTGATTTAGCGAGATTATTCACCAAACTTGCAAATAATGCCTCATCTCCAGCACCTAATTCAATAAAAAAACTATATTAATAAGTAATACAAATTAATTTACCAAATTTTTCAAATATTTGTAGGTTAGGTTTGTTTTCCGAATTTCTAGAAGTATTAGAAAAAAACTAAGTAATAGGCTAAGAAAAAAATTAATACTTTGCTAAATAAACAAATAGTATAAAAAAACATAAAACAACATGCAGTTTTTAAAATAAAAAAAGTTATAAGAAAATAATACATGTTTTTAAAATGTATAACAAGCATTTTATGTATGCAAAGCATGGATCATGATAAAGGTCAAGATATATCAATTGCACTATTGATTAGATTTAAAAAAAGAAGAAATGTGTTGATTGACAGCTTCTTTTGGGGGGCGTTCATAACAATGACAATTCTAAAAAGTCAAATTCAAGTCAACTTACATGTAATAATTGATTTGTTTTCCATGGAAATATTTGACAGAACTTTATCGTTAATCGGTGGTTTGCCATTGCAATTCATTTCCAATTTCTGTCAAATCTCTCTAAAGCTTGTTGCTTTTTGTTACTTTTGATCATTACAAATAAAATCTACGTGTAATTAGCCATGAAATGTAGAAAACAAACTAGAGATTTGACATTTTTCTAATAAAACCGATGTGTGAGAGTGAGAGATTAGATTATTATAATTCTGTCCTTTTTTCTACTGATTGCGCATGAATCAGAAATCAAAAGTTTTACCGGAAGTATCCACTTTCGAATTGTCCATGATTTTAACCTATCAAAAGAGCTGTTTAAAGGGGAAGTCACATTCGCCATCTGGTGGTGATTTATGGAAAGTTGCCGAAGAAATCTAAAAAAATGTTTTATTTATAAATTTGGCATTTTATTTAAATAATTTTTCTTATCGAAATAAATTTTAAGAGAATTTTAAAGAAAATTTACCGGCTTTAAAAAGTGAGGTGGTAAGATTTTCGATATAAGTGAAAAGACACCGCCCGATTTTTGCTGATAAACTGGGTTACACATCTAAATAATTTTTACTTTATGATAGTATCATAGAGCAATGAAAGGTTGTGTTGCATTTTCTAATTTAAATTAAAACGATTAAAACGAACTTTCCTGGTATTCTGCAAATTATTACGTTCAACAAATATAAGGTGTGTATCATTACGGTTATGTATATTTTCTAAGATTGTAAAATTTATTTTGAATGATAAATTTTCAATAAATATTCTAACTGTTTACTCACCACGTAAAAACGTTTTGCCAATCTCAGGGAGTGTAATGGGAAGCTTTATCTAATTATCTGCTTCTTTTTCTCTTTTATAATTATATTTTTGTCTATTTATCCATTTTGTTGTATTCTACTTTAAGGCAATGATTTTCACAAACATTTGTTTATTTCCGCAAAGTTAGCCATTGATTTTTCCTGCTTTATTGTCCTTGTATATTTTGTATAGTTGGAATGTAATTTATTTTCGTACAGCTTATAAACAAATCTTAATTTGATTCAAGGTTAATTTTTATTTTACTGTTTTTGAGCATTTTTTTTAAATTAAACATCTCGAGAGTGTTATTCGCTAAAGGGGAACTTTCTTTTATTATACATTGCCAATTGTTTATTATTAATTAATTAATTACCTGTAGCTATAAATTATGATTCATTCTTATAGGGAAATAAAACAATTAGATGTTTCGTCTCTCGAATATTCAGTGTTTTCCGTATTTTCCTTTATCAGATTTTAATTACCTGAGTATTTAAATAATTTAATAAATGATGCAATTTTGATTTTTTTCTTTACAATTTGATTTTTCGTTTACGTTTCAAATAATGTAAAGTACTACTTTGTTTGATGTTTTTAAAGAAATTTTTAAAAGAAGTGTAAATTTGTTTGCCAAATGGGTATTTAATGTTTGATTATAATTATGTTTACAGGTAAACTATTACTGATTAAAAATGGCCGATTCCAGTGATTTGGATCGGCAAATCGAGCAATTGAAAAAATGCGAAATCATAAAGGAAGCAGAAGTAAAGGCTCTTTGTGCAAAAGCCCGTGAGATTCTCATAGAAGAGAGTAATGTGCAAAGAGTTGACTCTCCAGTTACTGTAAGGAAAAATATTTTAAATATTAAATTTAACTATTATTTTACTTACATTTTTTTGCTTTATTATTTATTATTTATTTTTTTCCAGGTTTGCGGTGACATTCATGGTCAGTTTTATGATCTGAAGGAATTATTTAAAGTAGGAGGCGATGTACCAGAAACGAATTATCTATTTATGGGCGATTTTGTTGATCGAGGCTTTTACAGTGTCGAAACTTTCTTACTTCTTCTTGCTCTCAAAGTAATTTTGCTCTACGTTTCTCTTAAAATTTATATTTAATTCACGATGAAAATTTAAATCAATATTTTTTTGATTTTTTGTTTTTTTTGTAGTTCTTTTTGTAGTCGGATCTAAATTAGTATTCATAGTCAGTAGACAGTTTTTCTAATCAAGCCAGTAAATTATTTTTGAAAACCGATGTTATATTTATAATTTTATTACCTAGTGAAATTTAGTGAAGAGATTTTTAATCGAAAAAAAAAATGTTTCAGGTTCGTTATCCAGACAGAATCACGTTAATTCGAGGAAATCACGAATCAAGACAAATTACTCAAGTGTATGGCTTTTATGACGAATGTTTACGAAAATATGGCAGCAATACAGTGTGGCGTTATTGCACAGAGATTTTCGATTATTTATCATTGTCCGCTATCATTGATGGGCGAATATTTTGTGTTCATGGTGGTCTTTCTCCTAGTATACAGACACTTGATCAAATTCGTACAATTGACAGGAAACAGGAGGTAAAGTTAAAGAATTTCGTATACCAAGAATTTATTTCAAAAAAGAAATATTATTAGAAAACAATAAATAAAATTATTGTTAAAATAAAGAATTTTTGTTCTAAATGTACATTAATTTTCAGGTACCTCATGATGGACCAATGTGTGATCTTTTATGGTCAGATCCTGAAGATACTCAAGGTTGGGGTGTATCACCTCGAGGAGCTGGATATTTATTTGGCAGCGATGTTGTAGCACAATTTAATTCTGCCAATGACATTGACATGATTTGTCGAGCTCATCAGCTGGTAATGGAAGGATACAAATGGCATTTTAATGAGACTGTTTTAACCGTTTGGTCTGCGCCTAATTATTGTTATAGGTAAATATATTAGTATTTCTTTTCTATCAATTTCTATTAATTATCAATTACTCAACAATAGACAAAAATTATTTGCTAATTCGGTCATTTAGCTTCAAGTCTAAAAATTAAACTAATTCATGAAAAATTGAATTTTTTAGAGTTGAAATTGTTTTTAAAATTTTATGTAATTTAATAATTATAATTTACTTAAAATCGAAATCATTTAATTCTTGTTTGACTAAATTTTATTATTTTTAATCCAGATGTGGAAACGTGGCTGCGATTTTAGAATTAAACGAACTTCTTCAAAGGGACTTCACGATATTTGAAGCTGCTCCCCAAGAAAGCAGAGGAATTCCAAGCAAAAAGCCACAAACTGACTACTTTTTGTGAATGCATTGATTATTATTTTATAGCCAAATTTTTCATGGCTTAATGGACAATGAAGTTTTAAGATTTTCAGTACTTCTCTATAAAGCATTTATCCAATTTTGAATGTTTCTCATTTTGGATGTAAAATAAACACCGAGAAAAGAAAAAAAAATTTTTTTTTGTGTACATAGTCGAATCTAAATACTTATAATATTCGATGCAATTAATAATTAATAAACATGATAAATTTCAATTATTAAATTTTAATATTAAAATTAATTGAAACGAATAAAAAGTTATGAAAATAAAGGAATTTGCTTTTAAACTTTTCTATATATTGTTTTAAAATTAACCTTTTTTTTAACGATGACTTAGAGATTTGTACTGAGAATCATAAGACACAAATTTATTTCATTGAATTGTTATTATAATCGGAGTTTGAAGTTAAGTGTGTCTTTTGTGACTCATTGTGTATCTTCAAAAAAACAAATTTTTTTTTTTGTACTATATACAAGAGAATGTCTGAGTTTATAGTATTTAATTGACTTAAAATATATAACGCGTCATAGTAAATCTTTTTTTCTCTTTTTTAAAAGTACATATCTGTAGTTCGACATTGAAATTAATACTTTTTTTTTGCTCGCTTAGTCTTTGACTGAATTTTTATCGAATAAAATTAATGACAGAATATTTCAGGCATTCTTATATTTCTTTAATTATTTTCTTACATTCCTTTTTTTGAAAGAAAATTTTTTTTACTAAATTTGTTGATGATTAATTTCAAGATATTTGAAGATACGTTTTAGGGACTGAGGACTTGAGGGCAGACAAAAAAATTGGAATTCCGGGGAATTTGTTTAGAATTCGGAACAAGTGTCTGGCGTTGCTGGTGATTCGAGTGAGACTTCTTCGTAATCTCGTTCAAGTGCCGCTAGATCTTCTCTAGCCTCGGAGAATTCTCCTTCTTCCATTCCTTCGCCAACGTACCAGTGAACAAAAGCTCTTTTATTATACATCAGATCAAATTTGTGATTTAATTTCGACCAGGCTTCTTCAATGGCTGTTGTGTTTGACAGCATGGACACTGCTCGTTGAACCTGAAATCATTTAAAATTATTTTTTTTATTCTCTTATACTTCTTTGGAAATATTTTCTGAACAATAATTCTTACTTTTGCCAAATCACCGCCAGGAACGACAGTTGGTGGTTGATAATTAATTCCAACTTTGAATCCAGTTGGACACCAATCGACAAATCGAATGGAACTTTTTCCCTTCATCGCTGCGATGGCGGCGTTAACATCCTTTGGGACAACATCGCCTCTATAGAGAAGACAGCAGGCCATGTATTTTCCCTCACGTGGATTGCATTTCACCATTTGATTCGAGGGCTCAAAGCATTCGGCTGTTATTTCGCCGACTGACATTCCTTCGTGAAAAGCTTTATCTGAAGAGACAACCGGCGCATAAGTGGCTAGAGGAAAATGTATTCTTGGATATGGCACGAGATTTGTTTGAAATTCCGTCAAATCGACATTTAAAGCGCCATCGAATCTCAACGAGGCTGTTATTGACGATACAACTTGACTAATCAATCGATTTAAATTCGCGTAACTTGGTCTTTCAATTCCCAATTTTTTTCGACAAATCTCATAAATTGCCTCGTTGTCGACCATGAAGGCACAATCGGAATGACTAATTGTCGAATGAGTCGTTAGTGTTGCATTATATGGCTCCACCACTGCTGTCGACACCTGTAAGTATTTAATTTAAGTATTTCAATATAATTTTTATTTATCTTTCATATTAATTCTTCATACTAATTCAAATTCTTTCTCTCTTATTTCAGATTAGTTTAATACAAAAATCAATTTTTTCACCTGTGGCGCTGGATAAATGGCAAATTGGAGTTTGCTCTTTTTTCCATAATCTTCAGAGAGTCTTTGCATCAAGAGTGACGTGAATCCAGAACCAGTTCCACCGCCAAACGAATGAAAGACAAAAAAACCTTGGAGACCTGTACATAAATCAGTTAATCGTCGAATTCGATCCATTACTGATTCAATAACTTCACGACCAATGGAATAGTGTCCTCTCGCATAATTATTCGCAGCATCTTCTTTACCGGTTATTAATTGCTCTGGATGATAAAGTTGTTTGTAGAGTCCAACTCGAACTTCGTCTGTTGAAAGAGAATTTCGAATTTCTTTATGGAGAATTCATTTTTATTTACTCAAGTTTCATTCGAATATTAAATAATTAATCAATTTAATTAATAAAATTAGTAATCGTAATTAATTAATATTCCAGTGACAATACTGACAATTATGAGTTGAATTAAAAATGAGAATTATGTTATCAACTTACCAACGACTGTCGGCTCCAAATCGACCATAATTGCTCGAGGGACCATTTTTCCACTGCTCGTTTCATTGAAAAATGTATTAAAACAATCGCTGGAGAAGGAGACTTTTTTATCAGAAGGCATTGTTCCATCAGGTTGAATTCCATGTTCTAAACAATATAATTCCCAACAGGAATTTCCCATTTGCACTCCGGCTTGGCCGACATGCATTGATATACACTCGCGCTGTAAATAATTAATTTCACTTTACTCAAAAAAAAAAATTCACTATTTTTTTTTACACTTTAATAAAACAGAAATTTGAATTTCAAAAATTTAATATATTTTCCAAAATAATATTTCAGTAAACACTTTCTGATTTATATTCATTTTGAATTTATTTTGACAATTTTCGTTTTTCCTTTAATTATTTTGTAAATTTTCGAGATTTTTTAAATTAAAGTTTAAATATTATAAATATAATAATAATAAATATTGTAAATATCGTACCATTTTGAAAGGAGATGCCAAAAATATATTCACAAAATTAAACTAAGAATTTTGATTGTATTTCACATGAGAAATTGTAAAAAAAGATATTTTATAAAATTAACTTGAAAATTTTGAAAACTATAAAAGTTTCATGTTGGCAAAAAACTAATTTTATTAACTCACGTTACCGTGGTAACGAAAGTAAAAAAAATCGAAAGTGACAAAAAAATGAATTCATTTGTTACATCGTGATAAATAGGAAATGAAAAAACGGCTCTAAATTTATTAATTAATCTCTTAAAAAAAGTTTCTACTGCTCGTATTTTTTTACTTATCATATTGGAATTAATTTTTTATAAAAAATTATATTATTTATTTTTTATACAAATTATATTTTACACAATTAGATTTTTTTTTACTGTTTCTTAATTGTTATTCTATTTTTAAATAATTTTTTAATAATAATTATTAATTTAATTAATTAATAATTAAAATGTTTTCATATTTATATATTTTTAATTGGTCTAAACTGAATTTCTTTGGGAATAAATAAGAATAAATTACATATAACAATAAGTAATAAAATAAAAAATAAATACAAAAAATATAATAATTTTCAAATTTTATTTTATAATAAAAAATAATTACATCTACTCGATAAATAATAATATAATTAATAAACAATAATAGTTTAATATTTTATTTATTATTTTTATTTATTTAATTTATTTTATACAATTTAATTCTTTTACTTCTTTTTCAATAATACCAATATTAATTATTTTTAGTCTATCATAATATTTATAACAATAAAAATATTAAATAATAATTTATTTTATGTAATTTAATTTATTTATGAATTTTTAATTTAAACATTTTTTAAAAATAATTAATAACGTGTAAAAATATTTTTTCTAATTTATATAACGAATAGTTAAATTATTATAGTATTTATATATTATGTAAAACATATTTAAACAATTATTCTTTAATAATTTATGACAAATAGTAATGTTTATTACTAATTTTCTTTCATTTACGTTTGAAATTTAGCGCGCTTTCTGACGAGTATGCATTCGACCAATAGGAGAAGGTTGTGTTACTACACTGTAGTACGCAGCCAGAACGCGCAGCGGCAGCAGCATTCGTTGTTCGGCCGCCATGGAAGGGAGATCGTAAGGTGGGAGCGTTGCGTATTGTATTCTCGTGAAGAAAGAACGCCGAACGGTTAGTTAATTCTTGATCTTTTCATCATTATTTAACGTTTCTGAGTGTAAATTTATAAAAATACAACTCGATTACGTAGATATAGTTGGATTTTTCGGCAGATGCTTAACCTCGAAAAGAGCTATGCCTGTATATATGGCAGATAGATTTTTCAATTTTGAGACTAAATTCATTGTTTAAGGGGCAGATTTTTGTTACTTTTGTTTAAAAAATGCATTTTTGAGTAATATTTAACAGAAATTTTAATGGATTACTAAATTTTTGATAGATTTTAATGTACGCGTCGTCGCTTCCAAAGTGGCGACGCCATCTTGTTTTCAACAATCGGCTTGTTGGAAATTGAGCTATTTCGTAGTTAAATTCTTTCTTTTAACGCACATCAAACAAATATGAGCTAAAATAGTGCGTAATCTGTATCAATTTCACAATCGAAAGTCCATATTGAATGATATTTTCCATAAAATCGATGAATATTTCCAGTGATGCCAATACCTTTTCATTTCTCCTTCCCTACTCCCCCACCATCAAAATGACCTGACCCGACGCCATTTTCTCTTCGTACTTTGTCGTTGCAGTGTCAAGTTTTTTTCCTTGAATTCTTTATTTTATTGTACGGGAGAGTGCCGATAAAAGTGTTCGCGCGACTTAAAAAATAGGTTTTGTAAATGCGTGTTAAAAATTGTGCGGGATATTTATCATTGTCGGCAAAAAGTGACGCTCGACTTTCATTGTTGTCGTTTACCGTGAAAGCGAAAATATTGTTATAGTCGTGAAGAAAATATAATTATATGCGTATTTAGTGTACTTGGTGCATTGTTCGCGTCAAATTTATTGAATTTTTTTGAAAATATTTTTTCCGTTGGTGCCAATGACCTTTCTTCCCCCACCCGCTGCCCTCAAAATGACCGTTGGCGCGAAAAATGTACACCCGACGCCATTCTGTTTCCGAACTTTGTCGTTACAGTGTCAAGTATTTTTCAGTAAATTCTTTATTTATTTGTGCGGGAGAGTGCCGATAAAAGTGTTCGCGCGACTTAAAAAATATGTTTTACAAATGCGTGTTGAAAATTGTGCGGGATATTTATCATTGTCGAAAAAAAATGACGCTCGACTTGCATTATTGTCGTTGACCGTGAAAGCGAAAATATTGTTATATAGTCGTAAAGGAAGTATAAATATATGCATATTTAGTGTACTTGGTGTATTGTTCGCGTCAAATTTATTGATTTTTTTGAAAATATTTTTTCAGTTGGTGCCAATGACCTTTCTTCCCCCACCCGCCACCCCTCAAAATGACCGTTGGCGCGAAAAATGTACACCTGACGCCATTTTGTTTCCGAACTTTGTCGTTACAGTGTCAAGTGTTTTTCAGTAAATTCTTTATTTGTTTGTGCGGGAGTGCTCATAAATGTGTTCGCGACTCGAAAAAATAGTTATTTTATTACAAATACGCGTCAAAAATTGTGCGAGATCGGGATATTTATTAACTCGTGTCGTTTGCATTGCATTGTCGCCGTTGATCGTTAAAGTGAAAATATTTCTATGAATTGTGCGTAAAATATGTTTATTTCGTTCTAATCAAATATTTAGTGTGTCCTGATTAAATTCATCGATTTCTTGGAAAATATCATTTTTGATGGGACCAATTGCATTTCTTTCTCCATCCGAATCGGATGGGGGAGAGGGAATCCCCCTCCCCTAAAATGGCATCTGGGGACAAAAGCAATAATTACCGTTGCCATTTTGTTTAAAATTGTTAGATAAATAAAAGTAATTCGGAATTTCCATTCAAGCCATTGTTGATAATCGTACGAGCAGTTTTGATAAAGTTAAATTTCAATGAAGAAAATATTTCGCATCGTCAACGGAACAAGAGACGCGCGTACGGGGCGATTGCAAAAATAATAGACTTTTCAGTATTCTCGGAATAGATTCGTCTCCTTTTTGACGGTTACAGTGATCGGTATCAATTTGTGCATAAAAGGACTATGTATTAGTCTAAAAGTGAAAATAGTGTTAGTACTTTGTTTTCGTGAAAAAGGAACAATTATTTTCGGTTGTGTGGACTCTGATGGACATTCTATTGTGTGCGTGCAGGAAAAGTTTCCTGATGGTGTTTTCCGGACTGTTATTAGTGTTTTTGAAGAAATAGTGTGTGTTCATTTCCAAGGATGCTATGGTGACAACGTGTGTACCAGGGAGCTGGAGGAGGATACGTAATGAAACATGCCGAGTCAAGTAAACACATTTCTTCTCCGATGAATAAATACAACGAGGGACAACGTGGGAATTATCGCGACGCTGGAACTCCGCGATCGGTGAGTAGATTTTAAACCTTACTGCATGTATTATTGCTTTTAATTTTAATGCCATAAATTATTATTTGCAGCAGACATTGTTTATTTATGCACTTACACGTTTATTCCACCTTTTTCAAACCGTTTTATATTTTAAATGAATTTATTTAATTTAAACAATATTTTATTAACATTGAGAAATAAATTAAAAATCGATTAGGAATATTTCATTAAAATTTTCATTATTGTTTTTCAGAAAATAATTTTTTTATTCAATAATACTAAAGTTCAAATTTTTAAGTAAATTAAATTATTTAGGAGAATTTTTTTTAAGACAAATTTATAAAAAAGTAATTTCAAAATGAAAGTGGAAAAGAGAGGCTGTGGTTGAGGTGGAATTCCACTTTCATTTAGAATTTTTTTGTTATTTTTCATTTATTGGTTAATTTTTATTTAAATTAAGTTAGTTAGAAAATTTCTAGAAGTATTTTTTTTTTTTTTTTTAGAAAAATTTGACTAAAAGTAGTTTTTAAATGAAAGTGGAAAAGAGAGGATGTGGAAGAGGTGGTTTCCACTTTCATTTAAAATTGTGTTCTTATTTTTAATTAATTCGTCCATTTAAAATTAAATTAATTAGAAGATTTTTACAATTTTTTTAGAGAAATTCGATTAAAAAGTAATTTCTAAATGAAAGTAGAAAAGAGAGGCTGTGGTTGAGGTGGAATTCCACTTTCATTTAGAAATTATTTGTTATTTTTAATTTATTGGTTAATTTTTATTTCAATTAAGTTAATTATAAAATTTCTAGAAGTATTTTTTTTTTAGAAAAATTTGACTAAAAGTAGTTTTTAAATGAAAGTGGAAAAGAGAGGATGTGGATGAGGTGGTTTCCACTTTCATTTAAAATTGTGTTCTTATTTTTAATTAATTCGTCCATTTAAAATTAAATTAATTAGAAGATTTTTACAATTTTTTTTAGAGAAATTCGATTAAAAAGTAATTTCTAAATGAAAGTGGAAAAGAGAGGCTGTGGTTGAGGTGGAATTCCACTTTCATTTAGAAATTTTTTGTTTTATTTTTCATTTATTGGTTAATTTTAAAGTAAATTAAATTATTTAGGAGAATTTTTTTTTAGAGAAATTTATTAAAAAGTAATTTCTAATTGAAAGTGGAAAATATTTCATTAAAATTTTCATTATTGTTTTTCAGAAAATAATTTTTTTATTCAATAATATTATTAAAGTTCAAAATAGTTAGTTTCAAATTTTTCAATTAAATATAAATACGTTTTTAATTAACAAATTAAATTTTATAGGAATGAATGAATGAATGAATTTGAATATTTTTTCAAAACATTTAATTAAAATTGTGTATAGAAAATATGTTAATAAATAAATGAGAAATAAATAAATTTTAAATTAATGAATAAATTATCGAGTAAAAAATATGTATGAATAGAAAATTCGGGTAATTTCAGAGAAAAATTGCATTTTATTAAAATATAAGTTAATATTTATTTATATTTTGTTTTAATAAATAGTTAAATCGAATTATACGTAAATATTCGTATTTCTCTTAAAAATATAACAAAGATAAAATTAATTATTCTAGTTTAACATTGGCTTTTTTCGAAGTCATTTAAACATAATTTTTCAAAACAATTTTCATTTATTTCAAACGATGTAATAAAGGTGGAATATGGTCCATAAAATCAAATAAAGCTGCCCCAATCGGAACGCCATTTTTCAAAAGGCATATTACCAGTGGTCCCTAATAAAGAAGAAACAATTTCTTTATTATTTATAACAAATTTTATTAATTTAAAAAATTATATGTAAACACTTACTTTTGTATATTGTGGATTATGAACCCAACATTCTTTTTTCTTCAAATTTTGATACAAACTATTGGTTTCTGATGGAACAGAATTATAATAATTGACATCATAATTATCGGCATTTAATAAACAAATTCGAATAATATTTAAATATGGTTTTATAAACGGTGAAATCGATATTTTCCCTTTTATTTCACATTTCTCAAAACTAATGTCAATAATTTTTTCCGGAAATGATATTAATTGGATAATTTTACTAAATGCTGACGGAGGTTTATCTGAAAAATATTATAATTTTAAAATTAAATATATGTTTTATTGTTAACTAATATAAACATATTTTAATGTTTAAAATTTTTAATTACTCCCTGAGGTAGAGTCAGTTAGGCGAAATGGTTTTGTTATTGTTGATGAAACCATAGGAATTTGATTTCTTGCTTTTCCTTTTAACCACGTGTCAATAGCTGAATTAATAAAATTCCGAGTATTTAATGAATAATATTAATAATAAATTAATTAGTTAGAGAACTTTTGAATTTACATTTTCCAACTTCTTCAAAAACTTTGATTATTGGTATATCCATATCGAGAAATTTGCTAAGATGTTTTGCATACACTCCACATTCGTTGCCACTTCTCTCATAACTTGGACGATGACTTGACGTTGAATAAGCTTGAATTAAATTTCTCAGATTTTTTCCCCCTTTATATTCATTCACTAAGGGAATTTCTTTGTGAATTTCTGGATTGATTTCTCTAAAAATATATTTATTTTTATTTTAAATAATTAGAAAACAATTTTTTTTCTTACGTTACGTACTTGGACGGAACTGTTTGACAGACATCTAAAATATTGACGAATAGAGCAGGATCGTTTTTTAAAATCATGGATAATAATTGACTCTCGCAAATTGCATTATTTCTCAGATAAACTTCTGGCGCATCGATGGGCAGCATGTAACTTTCTTGCATTTTAAATCCATGACCAGCGAAATAAAATAGACCTGAAAACAATATAGTTAACTTGAAAGAAAGAAAGAAATATTTCAATTTTATATTTTATTTTTTCGAATATAATTTTAATTTCTTTCACTGAAATTAATTTGATTTTATTTATTTACCATAAACTCCATCAACCAATGCCTCGCTAAAGATAGATATTGCATTTCTCATTTCATTTAAATTTAAATTAATTAAACAAATTACAGTGAATCCAATTCCATCTAAAATATTTGCAATTCTTGCCACGTCAGCTTTTGGTGTACTCAATTTCGTTTGGAATTGATAGTCTTCGTTTGCAATTAGTAAAGCAATTTTTGCAACTGATTTTTGTCTTGGAAGATCCACCTGTAATTTTATTTACAAAACAGTAGATTACAACAAAAAATTTAAATTTGATAAGTTTTTGAGAATTTTTTGGAATATTCAAATATACTTATTACACTATTTCTTAAATATTTTAGGAAATCGTAAATTTTATTAGTGGACCAAAATTTATTTCATAAATTTTAGATTGATTTTTCGGGAAAAAAGGGAATTTTAAAAATTATTGTATAAGCTCATCGTGAGATAGAAGAAAATATTTTTTTGTCATTTTTCGTCTTTTAATTAATTTTTAAATTAAATTTATTAAAAAATTGCTAGAAGTTTTTTAAAAAATGTTGGATTAGAAACAAAGTTTTTAAATGAAAGTGGAAAAGAGAGGATGTGGAAGAGGTGGTTTCCACTTTCATTTAAAATTGTTTTCTTATTTTTAACTAATTCGTCCATTTAAAATATTAAATTAATTAGAAAATTTCAAGAATTTTTTTTTTAGAGAAATTCGATTAAATAGTAATTTCTAAATGAAAGTGGAAAAGAGAGGCTGTGGTTGAGGTGGAATTCCACTTTCATTTAGAAATTTTTTGTTTTATTTTTCATTTATTGGTTAATTTTTATTTAAATTAAATTAATTAAAAAATTTGTAGAAGAGGTTTTTTTTAGAAAAATTTGACTAAAAGTAGTTTTTAAATGAAAGTGGAAAAGAGAGGATGTGGAAGAGGTGGTTTCCACTTTCATTTAAAATTTTTTTTTATTATTTTCAATCAATTCGTCCATTTAAAATTAAATTAATTAGAAAATTTCTAGAAATTTTTTTTTAGAGAAATTCGATTAAATAGTAATTTCTAAATGAAAGTGGAAAAGAGAGGCTGTGGTTGAGGTGGAATTCCACTTTCATTTAGAAATTATTTGTTGTTTTTAATTTATTGGTTAATTTTGAAGTAAATTAAATTCTTTAGGAGAAGTTTTTTTAGAGAAATTCGATTAAAAAGTAATTTCTAAATGAAAATGGAAAAGAGAGGCTGTGGTTGAGGTGGAATTCCACTTTCATTTAGAAATTTTTTTTTATTTTTCATTTATTTGTTAATTTTTATTGGATAGTTTTTATAAATTAAATTCCTAAAAGGAAGTTCAAGAATTAAATAATTATTTACACTCACCATCACGTAGCTTCTTTGCGTATAAACTTCACTAATTTCATTAAATACATAACAGTAGTATTTTCCCTCATCTTTTCCTCCAAAATTACTTATCTGTAATAAAAATATAATAAATTACTTATAAGTAAAGAAATTATTATAAATAATTTTTTATATAAATTAATTATAACGAAAGAAATTGTTTTTAGAAATTGTTATTATTTAATTTATATAAATTAAATTAAACGATTAAAGCTAATGATTATTTTTGAAGAATATATATATTTATAGGAGAATTTATTATTTATTAGGCATTTATTTAGAATAGTTTCAATTTTAGCAAATTAATTGGAGTAATTACTGAAAGTATATGTGACGTTTGATCATCCAATTTTGTATTATCTCGAAACCATTGAAAATTGGCCTTTGAATGATTGTTTGCTTTACAATTTAACAAAAGTTTATCCCCTTCCTTAACATATAAAGTTGGCTGTGGTTGTTCTTCAATAACAACAGCAATTGGCTTTATTGTTAGAAATATCGATTCAGAATATATTTCATTCATGCAACTTCCATCTTGACAGATTTGACAGATTTTACATTTATATTCACCTTCTTCATTAAGGCTATTTGTACAGAAATAATTATTAGTTCAATTTGATAAATCACGATATAATATATTGAACACAAGAGGAGAAAAATTAATTTTTTCGTCAAAAATATTTATGTTGAATTTTGAATGGAAATGAGATAAATTTTTATAGAATTCGATTGTTCTTACTTTGTTATTTTAAAGTTTAATTCTTCAGTTGTATAATCAGGGAGGGGAATATTTCCATGATACCATAAATAATTCGGTGGTGGCATTCCAGTTGCTTTGCAAATTAATTTTAATTGTTGGTCCATATTTATTTGAATGTCATCTGAAGTTGAATTTGGTTGTTGTATAATGACTAGAGGTTCTGGAAATAATTATTAATTTTATCGTAGAATATGTTCTAATAATTGTTAGAAGAAAATTTTGTTTCGTTGTTTTACCTGGGGAAGACAGAATTGATAATACTTTTAATAATCCACAATCTTCAAGTAAAGAACTCAGGACACCAACAGTGCACATTTTAATTCGTAATTCAAATAGTAATTTTTCCGCAGGTGTTTGATTGTTTGTAAATTTATTTTGCTCGAATTCTCGAATCCAAAATTGCTCTCTGTAGAAGAAAATAAAAGTTTAGATAGAAGTCTCTATAAAGTATAATATTGTTGATTATTATTCCATTTACCGACTGTATTATATTTTTTTAAGTAACGTACAATTTTAATTATACTGTAGTATAAATTATTTAATTCATATATATTATCTATTTAATTGTTGAAGAAATAGTTAATTACCCGAAACAACCCAATTCGTTGGAAACGTAATGTCCCAGAGTGCGCCATCCTGAATCTTGATTAAGTTCATAAACTAATTCCTTATAAATATTTGCTGGTAAGGAATCGAGTTCTAAATCTTCGTCGAAAATTAACATTTTTCTCTCATAATAATCGAATGCAAAATTTAAATGTCTCTTATTATTTTTTACTCTTTGCGAAATTGTTGATTTCCTGCTGAGTTTTTTTTCTTTGTTGGAAAAATAAACTTAAAGAAAAGTTTGTTTTTTTATTGTAGTTCGAGAGAAGAAATTATAGTTATAATGAAAAAAAAACACAAACAACAGGTTAATTTTTTTTCCTGTTGAATAAAAGTGACTGACAGATGGAAATAGAATCACATGGCAATAAAGGTTGTTCACAAGGCAAATAAATGCATTTGACCAATGAGAGCGCGGTTTTAAAGAGAAATAAACACATATGTATTTTTTTATGTTTGTGTAAGTGTCAGTGTGTCAAAGTGATTCTGAAATACACAGTGCAAATGTCACTTTTCTAAAACAAAATAAAATAGAAGAAAAAAATGTTAAGACCGAAAGCTCTTACTCAAGTTTTGAGTCAAGCAAATACGGGCGGTGTTGAAAATACTTTGTAAGTATATGGTAAAATACTTTCCATATAGTTTCTTCTGAATGTCATTTATTTTAGGTTAGGTTTTGAAATTTATAACAATTCGCTTTTTGCTTTAATGCCAAAATTTGTTTTAATTTCTTTTTTAAATTCTTTATTTAATAATCTCTGAAGTCGTGTAAACATTCGAAAGTCTAAGAAAACATTTCTTAATAATGAAAGAATATTGTTTGTTTCTATTTATTGATATTTAGAGTAAATAGTTTGATTTGACGAAAATATATTTTTTGTCAAAAAATTGATGCAAATGAAATTTTTGAATAATTTTATTTGATAATTTGAGAGATAATAATAAAAGTGTGTCAAAGAATAAGTTGAATTTAATTTATACGTACGATTACAGATTACTGAATAGAGATGGTGGTCTTCTGGCATACAGTGGATATGGAGATAAAGATGCAAGAGTTACAGCTGCAATAACAAGTAGTATTTGGTCTGCATATGAAAAAAATGGACGAAATGCATTTAAAGAAGATGAACTTAAATTTGTATTAATGGATTGTGTGGTAAAATTTATTATTCAGAATAATTATTATTGAAGTTTAATTATTATTACTATTTTTATTATTATTATTATTATTATTATTATTATTATTATTATTATTACTACCTATTATTATTGTCATTATTTTTTTTTGCATTGAAGTTTAGTTAGGGTTTTTAAGTTTAATTATTTTTTTACTAATTTAATAACAATCGTTCTTTTTTGCAGGATGGAAAAGTTGTCATTACAGAAGTTGCGAATTTACTTTTATGTCTTTACGCAAGAGAAAATGTAGGATTTGGATTATTGAGAGAAAAAGCTCAAGCGCTAGCTAAATATCTCGATCAACCATTAAAACAAATAGCGAACATGCCATAAAAAATATGTCTTATAAACCAGAACATCTCATTATTTGCGATTTACTTTTTTCTGTGCTATAATTTTTCACACTCGACATTGTTATTGATATTACATTATTTTGTATATAATATTTTTATTTCATTAAATAATTTCTATTATCGAAATATAGAATAAAATATGTAGAAAAAGAATATTTAATTTGAATACATTCAAAAGGATATAGGGAAATAATTTCAAGTTTAACAGTATATAGAGTTTCCTTTTTTTCATTATTTATTTACTTTAAAATTTTACAACTTATACAAATGATAAATTTTTTATCACTCTTTTTTGTTTTTTTTTCTTTTGCTTATACAATTTTACAATGTGAGAGGGGTGAAGATTGTAAAATGTTATACAGTTATCAAACCTATTACAATTATCTGTGTTTGTGTGTGAGTGTTTGGGAGAAGGGGAGGTAAAGCATTAAACATTTTACAAATTTTATTTTAAATTGTGATCCATAAAAATTTCAATTACAAATTTTTTTTTCTGATTTATATTTTGAATTTTGGAAAATTTATTATTTGTGGTGAAAAATTTTTTTGGGGTAAAATTCTTTTAGTAGTTGAATGAAAAAAATGTTTCTATTTACATCGCATTTGGGAAAATACAATCAGATCTTCGATTGCTATATTTACAATGCGATAAGGAAAACAGCAATAACATCTATAATGGGTGTATTTTTTTCCCCCGTATATGTATAATTATTTCAATTATAATAATGTACATATATATGTTTCGAAAAATTTTCAGTTTGGTTATATAATAAATTTCAAAAAAGATTGTGAACATATAATTTTACAATTGAAAATCTCAGGTCCACTTGTCATCTTTCAAAACATTTTTCTCGATTACTTATATATTGTGTGTTAGTTCTTTTCAAGGACTACACTTTGATGTAATTTTTTATATATTTTAGATGTTGAATAGAAAAAGTCGAGTCGTTGACAAAATTTAGAAAATTCTATGAAAGTAGAAATACACACAATTGGATTACAATTATGACTTACAGTTAAAAATGTAGGTAATGAACATTATTGTTCTTTACAATTATTATAGTTTTAGTGTCGATGAAAATTTTCTACTATAAAGCTTGCACTAAAAAATGTAACTATAATATGAGAAAATGATATTATTTGAAATTAAGCTCTCATTAGCAACGTTTATTAATTTCGCCTCATTTTCTTTACGTGACTCGTCGTCGAAAGTCGTAAATTATTAAAAATTCGCCTATAATTATTTTTTTTTATTTCTACTTTCCTTAATATTCTTTCTATAATTTGAATTTGAAAATTTTTCTTAATAATATTCTCATTGAAGAATGTATTTTCTAAATATATTCTTTTTTCTCTCGACGAAATGTTAATTTTTATTTGGAAATTTTTTCCATAGAAAATAGAAAAATTAGGGAAAATAAAATTCAAAAATTAATTATAAACCTAAAATTTTTCGCTAATAAATTTCTTCTCTATATTAACAAGCAGCACGTTGTAGCTTAATTATTCTCATTAATGAGTTACTGCCTCAAAAAATGTTCTCCATTTTTTTAAATCACACTAAATTCTTCATCTTGGATTATAAATCCTATACTTATTAAGTTTTTAAACTCTATTTAGGATTTGATAATAGGTTTTCTTTTGAATATGTCCTACTTCAATTTTATTGTACCCATTATTTTTTTTCTTCTAATATAACATTTATATCTCTGCGTATAATACATATCCTTGAAAAAAAAAATTTGGAACAAGATAAACGTTTTTTTCTTGTCCAAACATTAGGTTTATTACTTTTTTTATTCGCTATTTATTCGCACGCGGAGTATACACTTTTAAAAATTCTTAAAATATATATCTTTAAAAAATGCAAACATAATTCGATTTTTGAGCCATTTTAAAGTATCTCAAAAATTAAAAAATAATCGATTCTTACAATCTAATTATTAATTGCCAAAATATTTATAAAATAATATGTACCTATTTTTTGCTAATTAAAATTTTCGAGAATCTTAAATTCTTTTTTTTTCCTAACAACTAATAAAAAAATGAATAAAATTAATAAAATTAATAAAATAGTTATAAAATAAAATAGAAATAATAATAAAAAAACGTAGCTTATAAAAATTATTTAAAATTTGTTTATCGAAGAGAATATGAAATCTAAAATAATAAACAATTATTTTAAGATATTAATTATCTAACTCAAAAAAGGAGTTTTTCCTAATTACCAAATATGTGCGATATATTTTTTTTTGGTAATATGCGCTAGACTTTTTAATCTTTTTAATTTCTTTAATTTATTATTTATTAGTAATAGTAGTAATGGTAGGACTTATATTAAATTGTCATTATTATTATATAGACACAGAAGTCGAGTATTTATATAATTTAAAATTTATTTATAAATCTTGTGTTTTTTTAGAATCATGTTTCAATTATAATTCTCATTATTATACATATTTTTCAATTATATTAATTTTTCATTTAAAATCGACTTCTGTGTCTGATATTTCGATTTTTAAGTAGGCCATGAACACGAGCCCATTACCTATAATTGCTATACAAAATAGAGTAACGGCTGTATTCTTTTTACATGCTTGACAGGATTTATTTTCCTGAAAGCATTTTTTTCCCTTTCTTTCTTCTTCACATTAATATGATTTTGCCACATTTAAATGTGGACATTTTCTGAGACTAAAATTATTTCTAAATTTTCCCCACCGTACCAGACGATTGGATATTGTTTTATCAGACTAAAACTATTTAAAAAAAAATTGTAAATGATTGAAGTTGAAGTTTGTAAAGTTTAGACAAATTTTTATTACTTTATCTTTATTATCAAATTTTAATTATAAAAAACAATTTTTTTTTTACTTTTTTTCCTTTTAAATCATTTTTTGTTTTTAATTTTTCACAATATAGAAATAAATTTTTAGATTATTTTTTTATTTTTGTACTTTTTTCAACTAAATGGAGATTGAAGGTTTGAGTGGTTGTGGAATGAGGGAGGTTCTTACCTTTAATCTCCAAATTTGAATTTTATTATTGAGATTTTCTAGAAATTTATTTTTATCTTGTGCATTATTTGAAATTGTTTATTTTTAATTAAATCGAATTATAAATTTGTTATTACTAATTATTTTATATATATTCTATGATATGTTCTAAAATATGTTTTAAAATCTATGGTAATTGTTTTATTTTTCTTTTTTTAATTCTACGCAAAATTATTGACATAGTTTTCATTTAAATCTAATTTTTGTTGTTAAGTACTCTCTAAATCTCAATTAGTAGTTTTCTTGAAATTAAAATTAATTCTTTAATTAAATTCGTTTATCAATCGAATAGTAAAGATTTTACTAATTTTTCGTAGAAAACTACTAATTTTATAGTAAAATGTCTATAAATTGAAAGTGTAATATTTTACTCTTTTAATTAATATATTTATTTTACTAGCAAATTTAGAGAATATTAGATTAATTGAAATTATTCTACTTCACAAATTTCAACTTCATTATAAATGTTAAGGAAGCAAAAGCATCAGACAAAAATTCTGTAAAAGACAGAATTTTTTAAAACACACTTTTTTGTAGTTTTAAAATTGTGAGTACTTTCATTTTTTTCTGTTTTCTTTTTTAGAACACAATATTGAAAAACATGTATATGAGTATTTTCAAGTAGAAGTAAAAAGAATACAGCAAATATATATCACAAAATCAAAATCTATTAAAATTGCAAAAGTAGGAACATTATTATTATCTAAAAAAAAAGTGGGAAATTAAAAAATTGTTTGTGACTTAATGGAAAATTTTTATATGTTGATGAAGAAAAAATAAAACGACAGCGTAGTACTCGAGTCATCGCTTAAAAATTTACAGTGATTCATTTTATATATTTATATAAAATTGCGGTGATATTTTTTTTTTAGTTTTACGACTATTTTGAAGTTTATTATTATTATAATTATTTATTACGATTTAGAATAGATGTTTGAATATTTTGCTCCGAATATAATTTGGACAATGCAAATTGCGTAAATTTGCTATAGTAATTTTTTTTTTTTTAATAAAAAAATGAAAGAAAATTTTTCACGCGTTTTGTAATTTGCAATCAAGTCCCGCTGATTCTATTTACAATTTATCGTAATTTTTTTTTTTCTTGATTATCGAGTACTCAAATATTAAAACAGTTAATTATCACCCTACTAGTCTAGGTAAATATTATGTTTTTTTTGGCGGCAGTGAAAAGGTTAATTTTTTTAAGACCCTTATTTCATAATATACAATTGTATATAGGTACAAAAAAAATGAATCATTTTATACAATTTAGTACAAAAGAATCTCTGTTTTAATGATCAGCCAATTTTTCACCACTGTATTTTGAAAATCTTTTTATTTCTTCAAAAATTCATTTCAAATAATGATTTAAAAAATTATTAATCTAATTTTCAGGAAAAGTTAATTAGAAAATTGTTAAATATACAATTATGGAAAACTTAGTTTGAGGAAATTAGTTTATAAAATTTAACTGTAAAAATGTGTCTTGAAATGTTAGGAAAAATGGTTAAAAATAACTACGTATAAGAAACATTAAAAATATTTAATTAGTGATGGGGAATTAATATAATGAAAAAGAAGTAGGTATACTTTATAAAACTTTAATTATCAAAAACTTAATTAATTAATAGTCTTAATTTTATAGGAAAAAGTTAACTTGAAAATTTTAAAACTGTTCGTTCCTTAGGAAATAAATTATGTTTTGCGGAAGAAAATTTTTCTATGCGGTGAAATTGATGCATTGGCTGATGAATAAATCAGAGATCGTTAAAAGTTGAGTTTAACTTTGCAGAAAATCGTACGAAAGATGTTCTTCTCTTAATTCGCTATTGTCTGTTAAATTCATTATTAGTGAATTCAAACCTTTAAAACATGCCACACTTGAAGGATTTTTTATTTTTCCTCTAGCAAATTATTTTGCATCAGGGAGATAATTATTCTGATCCTCATTATTTTTTTCTTTTCACAGATCAGTCAAGCATTTTTGCTAAATATATATCTATACGTCTTCAAGAATATTACAGTTTTTTTTCCTTGAGATCTTAACTGGATATTTTTTCTTAAATTGAGGACGATTCTTGCGGCTTTTTTTCTATCTTTTTAGTAATCTGTGTTCTTCACAGCTTTATTCTTAATTCTATATCAGGGGAGGTAAAACAATTCGAAGAGGACTAGAAATTACATACGTGAACCTTTCTGCTGCAGAACCTAGAATAAACCGAATGACTCGAACTTATTAAAAGATATTTAAAAAATATTTCTTTAGATTAAAAACCAATTTTTCATTTAAAAAAAAAATCTCTTTTTTTATACAAGCTCCTATAAAATTGCCCAAAAGCACTTTTATTAGTCGACTTCCGCCTTTAACCAAAATGAACCCAAAAATAAAAATTTCTCTGAAACTTTTCTCTATTATCGAGATTTTAAATTTAAAATGTATATTTAACAAGTAATTTAATAATTCTTCTTGAATGACAATTTTTTTTTGTTATTTATAAATTATTTCTTTGAAAATTTCCGATTAAAAAATTAATTTCAGAGAAATTTTTGCGAAAAAAGCTAATTTTTTTTTTTATGTAAAATATGGTTAAGAAAATTAAAAATTACCATGCGAAACATGCAAAAAAACTCGGGAGAAAAATTGACCAAACCAATGAAAAGAAAAAATATTCTTTATTTAATCAAATGGCATGCTTTACAATAATTTATAAACTTAGGTACAATAAAAATATAAAGGGGATAAAAACATGCTTTATTATGCAGCTTTTGAATATTTGTGCAAATCTTGAAAATCAAAAAAAAAAAAAAAAAAAAAATGATTAAAAATAGAATAGGAAAAATTTTATAAATTTTTTCATTAAAAGTGCATTATATCATTGAAAAGAAATGAAATAAATTAAAATTTTCACAGAAAATTCCTTCTATTTTTGCAAATAAATTGAAAAATATTTTACACATTTATTTCATAAGCCGCAATAATTTTATGTATTTCTATTTCGCAAACGAAGGACAATACACATATAAATACGACAATAACACAAAATTGGAAATAAAATTATTGAAAATAGACTCATCTGCTGAGAATTTGCAATTTCTTGAGTAATAATAATTAATTTTATTATTGATAGTAAATTTATTTGGAATAAATTGATAATTTATTATTTAAACTGTACGCACAGAGAAAAGATATATATTTGATTCAGAGCCAACTGGACTTTTTATTTGTTCTAAATAAATTTTTTTTCATTTAAATAAAATTTTATTTGTTTAACTAAATTTTATTTGGTTCAAATATAATTTTACTTGTTTCAAATAAAAGTTTTTTTTAAGTCAAATAAAATTTTTATTCAAAACAAATAAATTTATGTAGAATAAAATTTTTATTCAAAACAAATAAATTTATGTCGAATATAATTTTTATTCAAAACAAATAAATTTATGTCGAATATAATTTTTATTCAGAACAAATAAATAACCTAGTTGGCTCTGAGAAAACATAGTTTTATTTAACTCAAATTACATTTGGTTTAAATAAAATTTTTCTCTAGGTGTATGAATACTAAAATATTCATTAGTTTTATTAACAAACTGTAAAGAAACAAAGTAGATTACAAATAAAGAGCAGAACAATTTATTTTCAATTATTGAAAATAAAAAAAAATTGTGCGGGTAATTTGAAAGCTAAAATCCTAAAAATAGGTGTCTGTATATTAATTATTGAATTTTAATTTGCTAACCAAAAACCCAAAAAAGTTTAGTAATTGAAAGATTATTTTGATTATGATTAATTAATAATTAAAACAAAAATGAGATCTTTTATCCTGTTAGCTTTCGTGTTGTAAATGTTAATCATAGTTAAAGATACAAATCTAAAATAATAGTGTAAGTGTGAATGAAAAATAACAAAATATATTTCTAGTTTTGACAGAAATTGTTTTTTTTTTTTTTTTTGTAATAATGTAGATTAGCTAATTTAAAGAAAATAACCAATAATAGGCGTTGAGAAAAAACACTTTGTTACGTCGGTTATAACAATATTCCAAAAAAGCAGTATTTATTTTTTGGTTTGAAAACTATTTTAGTTGATTTACCTTAACGCGATCTGTCGATTCCTGTTCTTTGCTGGCTAATTGACTCGGACCATATTCTCGGCTTACAATGCACAAGAATTCTGCCTGATCATCATTGCCATAATTATATTGTGAACCTATGTTTATCAGCTGAAACAGTTGTTAATTGTAAAGAGAGAAAAGAAAATAATTAATGTCATATGGTACACGGAGAGAAAATATATATTGAATTTTGTAAAAGTATTTTACAATTTGGGAAAAAGTGCAACAAATCGAAATTTTGACATAGAAAATATTAAACAGTGAAAGAAATAATATGAAATTAAGTAAAGTTATATTAAAATTTAACTAAAATTCTTATATTTGATATAATTATGCTAAATTTAACATAAATTTGTTTAAAGTTTAGTATTTTTTATAACAAAATTTCTCTTTGTCGCATTTTTTCCCCAAATTGTGAAAAACTTTTATAAAATTTAATATTATAATTTTCTCTCCATGTAGATATAGTTTCTATATTCAATTTTCATACGGAAAGAAATTAATTGCAGAATCGAAAATAGATTAAAAATATAATTAATTATTTTGAAATGATTATAATTGTTTTAAATTGATTATTGATTTAAATTAACAGGGTTGTCACAAATATTTAATTTTATTTTTCCCTGATTTCCAGACAAAATTTTTAATTTTTCCCTGACCCTAAAGAATATTCTGATTCATTCTAAAAATGATTAGACACTCAAAGAAAATGTTCTATTACATTTATTTGCTAATTTCTTTAATTGTAAAATTATTCAAAAACATCAATAACTTATTTTTTAAATAAATATTTAATCATTATTATTTTTCTGTAGGAATTAAAATTCTTCAAAACATTCAAATTCAAACCCTTTTGAAACTCAACAACTTATAATTATCAACAACTTATAATTATTTTTACAAGTAGTAAAATTTCTCAAAAAAATTCAATTATTTGAAAAAAATGTAATAAAATTCGTTGCAATAATTCAATTATTTTCATAAATAATAAATCGATTATTCGATAATAATTAATTTTTCAATCAATTTTTATTAGAAAATTCTAGAAGAATTCAATTATTTAAATCAAAAAATAAATAATTTATTGAATAATTGAATGTTTCTAAAAATTGAATTCTCATAAAGAATTTTATCAACAGTTTTATTTATTATAAAAATAATTAAAATTTTCCCAAGAATTTTATTATTTATAAAGATACTTGAAATTTTGACAATAATTTTTTTTTAATTTTTGAACATAATTGAATTTTTGCAAAGAATTTTATTACTTTTGAAAATAATTTAATTCTTCCAACGAATTTTCATCAAGTTTATAAAAATAACTGAATTTCTGTGAAGAATTTTATTATTTATAATTATAAATAATTGAATTCTTAAAAAGAACTTTGTTAAACTTTTTTAAATAATTAAATTCTTGCGACGAATTTTATTATTTATATAAATAATTGAATTCTTACAACGAATTTTATTCAAGTTTATAAAAATAATTGAATTTCGGTGAAGAATGTTATTATTTATAAGAATAATTGAATTCTTAAAAAGAACTTTGTTAAACTTTTTTAAATAATTCAATTCTTGCGACGAATTTTATAAAAATCTTTTTAAATAATTGATATTTTTCGAAAAATTTTATGAAATTTTGTATTTTGAATAATTGAATTCCTGTAAAAATTGTATTACTTATAAAAATAATTGATTTATTTCGAAGATATTTATTAAAAATTTTGTAAATAATTGAATTCCTGTGAAATTTTGTCAAGAATTTTATTAAAATTTTTAAAAATAATTGAATTTCGATGAAGAATTTTATTATTTATAAAGATAATTGGAATTTTGACGAGAATTTTTTTTAAATATTTGAACATAGGTAATTGAAATTCTGCGAAGAATTTTTATAACTTTTAAAAATAATTGAATTTCTGGAATCATTTGTAACTTTTCCAAAATTCAATTTTTTTTAGTATTTTTTACTACAATTCTTCTATCAATCTAGTATTTATAAAATTATAAAAATTATTCATTGAATAATTTATAAGTCATAATTTTATGCTAGTTGTTGAAAAATTAAGTTATTTAAAAAGAAATTATTGCCAGAAATAGAAAAAATTGAAGGTTTTGTATTAAAACTCATGGTAATTTCATAGTTTACGAGTCAAACAAAAAAAAACATCAAACTTCAGAGTTTTCTCATGAATTTTAAAAATTCAATTTTTTCCAGTACTTTTACTGAAAATCCCTGACTTTTCCCTGAATTCCCTGACCTGTGGCAACCCTGATTAATTACAAATGATAGAATTAATATTTTTCTGTATGAAAGAATAATGAATTTTTATCTATTAATTCGAAAGAAGTATTTTTTTTATAAAATGCTTAGCAGACGGATTTCCGATTTTCTTGTTCAGCATTTTTTTTTATGTTTATTATGGAGATGTTTTGTTGAAAAAGTAATTACAAATGCAATTTAGTAATTAAAAATCAACTGAATTCAAACTTACTTGTTCAAATTTCCATCCATCGGACATTGTTGATACCATTTGTGTGAGCTCATCTTCATGACATTGCAAAACCCTGTACACAAGCTTTTGTGAATCACGTATCGGCCTTGTATCTCTGAGAATAATTCTTTCTTTAACTAGCCTAATAAGATCAGTAATGTTATAGAATTCAGCTTCTTCCAAAACACCCTCCTCAGCGAGATCTTTATTAATCACCAATTTACCATGCCGAAGGTAATTTAAAATTGGACTGAAATATGTTGGATCTCTGTCTATTAAATAGGCTCCAGTTTCATCCTACAAAAAAATATCCATATCTTAAATACAATATTTAATAATAGAAATAAAAATAAATAGAAATCAGATATTAATTGAAAATTGTCTATGAAAAAAAAAATTGCAAGAGTTCTAATCGTTGAAAGTAAAGTGGTGAAAAAAAGACGAGTTGACTTTAGAAACGAGGGTAGGTTTGACGATTAGAATCGCACTCAATGAATTGATTGATTTTTAGGTGAAATTGTCAAAGGGTTTTTTAGAAAAATAACGGATATTGATGTATTTTTGATAAATTGCCATGCAAATTGTGAGTGAGGGTAAAATTTTTATTTTTATTTAATAAATTTAAATGCCGCGGGAAATTTGTAAATATCAACTAACCCTGTCGGAGATGAGGTCAGAGTCCTCCTGGCATAGTCGATATAGAAATGAGTTTGGATCCCTTGTTAATGTTGTTTTTGCTGTTAGAAAATATGTTCCGCCAACATTGAGACGTACCCACTGATTTTTACATCTCTGTGGAATGTGATTTTTTGTAATTTCATGGGAATTCGTATCACTAAAATCCTCCGCCATCTTCGGTTGACAAACGACTACAAACAGTTCACCAATACATACTTGTGAATCCAAACATGAAAAAAGACAAAAAGGTCACACTTACACTGTTGGACTGTTGCCAGTACGCACACAAATGAAAGAACACGAAATTCCTCTGCGCACACGGCGCACACTCGTTTCGTCAGGTTTGGTTAGTCAATTTTTGTGGGGTTTTCAAATTTATTCATTCTTTCATCCTGTTATTAAATTGTTATTTGTTATTGTCATTCAACCGAATTTGGTTAGATTTTTACAAATTATACTAAACGCAGGGTTTCCACAAGTCAGGGAAATCAGGAAATTCAGGGAAAGTAGATTTGGTCAGAAAAATCAGGGATTTTTATTAAAAGTGCTGGAAAAAATTAAATTTTTAGAATTCATAAGAAAATTCTGAATTTTTGGTGTCTTTTTTTTTGCTTCATAAACTACGAAACTACTACGAATTCTAATACAAAACCTTCAAAAAAATTTCCTATTTCTGACAAGAATGAATTTTTTAATACTATTTAGTTATTTCAAAAGTTTTTACGCAATTATCTTGATAAATAACAAAATTATTCACAGAAATTCAATTATTTTTATAGGAATTTTAATAAAGTTCTTTGCAAAATTCAATTATTTTCATAAATAGGCAATATTCATCATAAGAATTGAATTATTTTTAAAAGTAATAAAATTCTTCAAAGAAATTCAATTATTTTTTAAAGTTTTAACGAATATCTCGTCAAGAATTCAATTATCTTTACAAAAATAGCAGTTTTTCGACAAAAATTCAATTATTTTCAAAAATTTAAATAAAATTCTTTGCAAAATTCAATTATTTTCATAAATAACACTATTCATCACAAGAATTCAATTATTTTCAAAAGTAATAAAATTCTTCAAAGAAATTCAATTATTTTTTAAAGATTCAACGAATATCTCGTCAACAATTCAATTATCTCTACAAAATAGCAAAATATTTCGTCAAACATTCAATTATTTTCAAAAATTTTAATAAAATTCTTTGCAAAATTCAATTATTTTTGAAAATAACAATATTTATCACAAGAATTCAATTATTTTCAAAAGTAATAAAATTCTTCGAAGAAATTCAATTATTTTTAAAAATTTTAACGAATATCTCGTCAAGAATTTAATTATCTATTTACAAATAGCAAAATATTTCGCCAAAAATTCAATTATTTTAAAAAATATAAATAAAATTCTTTTCAAAATTTCAATTATTTTCAAAACTTTTTCGCAATTTAATAATTTTCATAAAATTTATCAAAAGATTTAATTATTAAAACTATTTTTTGATACAATTCTACGAAAACATTCAATTATTTTCATAAATAATAAAATTTCATTTAGGTATTCAATTACTTTTTATCGCAGAATTTCAAACATTTTTAATACAATTTAAAATAAATTCCTCGAAAAATGCAATTATTCTTAAAAATTTTATTAAAACTTGACGAAAGAATTCAATTTTTGGAAACATTCTATTATTCAATAAAATAATAATATTCGTTGCAATAATTGAAATATTTTTATAAATAACTTTTAATTCGTCGCAAAAAATCAAAAATTTTCAAACAATTTTAAGTATAATTCTGCAAAAGAATTCAATTCTTTTGAAAAGTAATAAAATACTTGGCAGAAATTAAATTATTGTCAAAATTTTTAAAAAATTCTCGTCAAGAATTAAATTATCTTTATAAATATCGAATCGAAATTCTTCTCAAGAATTAAATTATTGTCAAAAATTTTAATAAAATACTTAGCAAAAATTTTAATTATTTAAACAAAATTAAATAAAATTATTCTCATGAATTCAATTATATTCATAAATTAATGTTTAAATATTGAATAAATTATTTAAAATATGTAATTGAATTCTCGTGGAACTTTTGAATAAAAATTTATTTAAAAATGAATTTCGGTTAAAATTTTGGATAATAATTGAATATTAAATGCATTATAATATGCAGTTTCAGAAATAATTTATTGAATTTTGAAAAGGTTTCAAATCTAAATCTTCAAAGTCAAAAAAAAAGAAAAAGAAAAATCACTCGGAGTGATCGATTTCTTTATGTTCTTTATTTCTAATGTTCAATTTGGAATTTTTGAACATCTTAATTCCAATGGAAAAATAATAATAATTCAATAATTATTTTAAATAAAACTATTGATGTTTTCGAATAATTTTACAATTAAAGAAATTCTTAAATAAATATATTAGAACATTTTTCTCAGTATCTAATCATGTTTAGAGTGAATCAGAAAATTCTTTAGAGTCAGGGAAATAGTAAAAATTCTGTGTGGAAATTAGGGAAAAGTCAGGGAAAAACAAAGTTAAATTTTTGTAACAACCCTGTTAATGGAATTTGTCGAATTTATGGGTCCGTTTTTATTTGTTGAATTAGGAATAGAATGGAATTAGAATAGAATTGGAGAAATTTTAGAATAACAGAACTTTATTTTAAATGTTGGCGATTTACAGAGTGTGGAGATAAATTCGCGGCAATTGAAAAGAAAAAAAATGTACAGTTTTTAAAGTCGGAAACACTTGTTGATGACGTGTTTTAAAAGTCTATAGATTCTAAATTTCGAATAAATCTCTCAAGCCTTGGGGGCGAGACCCTGAAGATCTTTGATACATTGTTGTAATGTTGATTTCTCTAAATCGGGTGTTACTGCTTTCATTACATTATTAATGATCCATTGTACCATGTGTTTCTGTGCAATTTTCCGTTCGGTGGTGGCTAATTGTAATTGATAGTCTAATCGTTTCTTCACCTAGATATTAAGTGAAAAAAAATTAATTCCTTTGTATCGTAAATTTAAAGTGGTAAATAAATTTCTAAAATAATCTCAATAATCATCTATTTATTAATAAAAGAATTCTAGTGATGAGAATGTAAAAAATAAATTACAATTAAATATCAAGATTTATTTATTTTTTTGGCTGTTTTGATTTTTTTAGCTCTTTGATATTGAGATTATTTTAATTTGATTATTTTAGGTTTGTTAAAATTAATTTACCTCGGTATAAACGTGAGACAATCGCTCTCTATATGCAGCTTCCAATTGTATCTTTATATTCTCCTTTTTTACATCGGAAATCATTGTCTGAACACCGGTGATTGCTTTTTGTCTCTCTGCATGTGCAATTGAATCGTTTAAAGTTTTTAATTCCAACTCTCTTTCAGAACGATGTTCATCTATTTCTTCCTGCTGTTTCTTGTCAAGCATTGCGTGAATTTGATCATAAAATTTGTAGTATCCTCCCATTAAAACAATAAACAATGATAATCCAGCATAATATTCGTGTTCCAAAATGTAAATTTCTTTTGAAACTAAATATGTGGTGACACCAATGCCAAACATGTAGGAACCTAAAAAAACGAAGCAAGATACATTTTTTTGAATAATAAAAGGAATCAAAATTTGAAATAATATTGTATTATAATTAAATGTTAAATTACCTGTGACTCCGGTTTTTGGATAGAAAAATGTGAACCATTCTTCGGGAATAATTCCAAGACGAGTTGGTGCTGGATCTATGAGACGTTTAGGACGATCCATTGTGGTTGTTGTTGTTGCCTGTGCTCTTTGAGCAAGAACAGGCAACATTTGAGCTGAAAAATTTAATTTTTGGTTAGAAAATAAGATTTAACAAACTGTTAATTTTTATTACAAGTTTCTAAAATTTTTGTCTCACAAAACCTTAAGTTTGAATAAATTCAGATTTAATTGTTGATAATAGGAGACTTTTTTTCACTACGATGTAAATTGTGAACTTTGACACAAGTTAAGTTTCATTCTAAATCAAAAACTAGATGAAAACGCACTAAACAATTATTTAATAATTATTATATAATTTAAAAAAGTGATTTTATTTTTAGGAGTACAATTTACTAAATTTTTATTATGTGACAAAATATTTATCTGAGATTTAGTGTAGGTCATCAGTTTTGAGGTTAGGTTCACTGTACAATTGATTAATTGAATAAGAAGAGGTAACATAATTCAGAAGAAGTAAACAATTATATAGATTAAAAATTGACAGACATGGGAATTAAATATTTTACTTTAAATTTACAGTGATTGTCAAAATGTGATTGCTTTTTTGCATTATGTAATGGAACTTAATTTCAGAATGGTAGGGACGGAAATTGTCAAATGTGAATTAAATTTTTAGAGAAAATACTAATGGCAATGGATAAATTACATTGTCGTGTAAATATTTAATTAATATTAGTTGAAATTGGAATAATTACCATTGCGTAAAGCTAATCGCGACAACATTTTTCTCACAGACTAGCACTTCACTTGCCAAATGTTGCCTATATGAATTAATGAAAAGAAAAATGGCCGCAGTCAGTCGTATAAACGTAAAAATAATATTAAAATCGTGAATGGGAAAAATATGATGAAAAATTGATAATTTGATAGTAGAAAATATGATTATTGTTTGTATTTCATATTTATGCTTTATACAATAAAATTTTTATTTTATTGTTTTTTTTAATTTTTAGTAACGTTGAGAGAAAAAAATATTTATGTTGGCTACAATGGTTAGTTCTGTCATAACCAACCTAGTCAAATTTCTGCTATATTTATCTTCTAATAATTAGTTGATTCAATTATATTTTTCAGCTAGAGTGAAATTAACTATAAATTAACTCCTCTAACATTTATATTATTTTATAAAGTGTCTCTTAATATATATTTTGATTTATTAGTGAATAGTGTAGATAAAATATCATTTGACTCAAGTGGTGTGGGGAGCAGAAGAAAAATAGTCAGAACTGTCACTCACGTCACTTTGACATTTATATTTCCAAAACAATTGTTATAGGGTGTGAAATAATTAATTTGCCTAGTTTAATATTCGATTGAAAAAATGGGTATTATCACATCATGTTGTAAACCATCGGATTCATATCAAGATTTGACTCCTGATCCGGTAATTGTATGTTTTGTTTTCTTTTGAGGTTACTGTAACAATAAACTTGATGTGGTCTGTTATTATTTCATAAATATACTGAAATCGAGTATTTCTTTGATTAAGTTCTCGTAGAATTATTCATATTTTGATGTTGATTTATAGTGGAGTATGATTCATCTGTGCTATTTATAATTTCGCTGAATTTTTTTTTTTTGTTTTGTCTAGATAATATTTTACTTGTAGTTTGAGTCATGTGACTATTTATATATATTTATTTGTATAGAACAACAATTAAAAGAGTCGATATTTTTTAATAATAAATAAAAGCATACAACAAAAGAAATAAGTAGATTCGGAAGTTTGCAGCTTGATGTTTTAATCATATTTCTTTAGTATTGATTTAGACAAGCATGTGTGTTTACTGTGTTTACGCCTAGTGTGTTTACTGCGTTTTATTTTTGATTTTTGCAAATATGTTCAAAAGGGTAGGGGTTTTAAAATTGACAATAATTTTTCTGAAATTATTATTTTTTCGAAAATATTATCGTGAACAATAGGAAGTAAAGAACAATATTGAAAATAATGATACGTAATTAAATAATTATCTACGATTTTTGTATTTATTTTTAATTTGTAACATTATAATGAAGTTAATTATTAGATTTAACTTACTATTAAATATACAGCGAGTTTTAATATTTATCATGTTTAATTTTTTTCCGTGTTTTGATTTCGTTTCAAAGAACTTTTTTTTCGAAAGAATTTCTATTTTATTTTTTATTTCTTATCGGTGAATGTTTAAAAGAGTTTTTCTTTTTCGGTCAATGAACAGATAAAAGATAAAAATTTAATTATTGGTAAAATATTTTGATGCGTTGTAAGTATGTAGAAGGTTTGTATTTTTTTTTATTTTCTTTATAAATTTAGTAAGTTTGAAATAGTTTTTTAAAAAAATAATTGGAGAATAATTAGAGAGAAAAAATGATGTAATTAACATTTTTGTATTAATTTTAATAGGAAGTGAAACGGCGTCAAATGATTGAAGCTGCCGAAAAAAGACAAATGGAACAAGAATCGAGAGGAATTAAAAATATGGATGCTGTAAAAAGACAGCAGCGATTAGATGAAGAACGTAGACAACGAGAAGATGTTGGCGGAAGTAACACCAATCAGGGAGCAATGAAAGTAATTATTAAATTTTCTAAATCCTATTCATTTGCTTTAATTAATTGGTTTAATAATTAATTAAGTATTTAATGCTATTTTTAATTTTTTTGTTGAAATTAAAACATTTTAGTTTAAATTTGTTTAATTTAGTTTATTTAATTAATCTATTTAAATTAATATTTTAATTTAATATTTGAATTGAATATTTGTTGAAATTAATTTATTTAATTAATCTATTAAAATTAATACTTAAATTTAATATTTGTTTTAGTGGCAAGTGGAATGAGCAGTTACTTTAAAGTTCAGATGTTTTCTTAGGAAAGAATTTCTTTCTTAATACAATGGTCTGCGTTAATATTCACGTGGTTAATTAAAAAAAAAAAATATTTTCTACTATTGCTATTATCCATTTTTTATATTAAGAAGATTTTTATAATTACCATTGAAATTAAGATATAAGTAAAATTATTACTTGTTTACAAATGAAGATTTTTTAAATGTAGATTTTCGTGAATAATTATTATATATGTAAAAGAGTATTTTTTTTATATACTTGAAAGTTAATAACACTTTTTTTCTTTTCTTTTCGAACGCGATATGTAATCACTTATATTTCAGTTGAATTTACCACTGGTATTTAAAATTATTATTATATTTATAAATTATATTTATGGCACTAGAAAATAATTAATATGTGTAATACTTTATAAGAAGGAGAGAAAGAAAGAAACAAACCGGTGTATAGAAATTTATCTCTTGGGCAATGAAATAATTCTGTCGTATTGTTAAAGTTTGCGAATACAGTGCATAATATCCAATATTTATTTGTTATTAAGTATTAAATTAAATATATGTAAATCTGTGTATAAACATCTTAAGTATTAAATTTTAAATCATGATGAAATTTTTGAATTTGTTAAATTATTTTGTTTTTATGTATAATTATTATAAGAAACCCGTAATTTTATACCTACAACTATTTTAAATTTGAATTTATAATTTAAATATTAAATCTAATATTAATTTCTTTGATTGTAGTTTTTAAGAAATATTATTTGTTTCAATTCTTGGTTTTTTGTTCTACTTGTATTCATTATTAATTATGAAGTATAATTTTAGTAAATAATTAATTAGTATAGTAAATAGTAAATTAGAAAAGGAAATAAGTAGAAAAAATTTTTTTTGAGAAATTTTACATGTCAGTTTGTAAAATACAATTTATTTTCATATATACAGATATAAAAGAAAGAACGAAGTAAAAGTGACGTTCACTTAACGTACACTAAGAAAGAATAATAATAATAATCTTTAATTCAGACATAAATATAGGTACACGTATGTAAAAGCTCATGTACATTATTCAGTTCAATATTATTTCACATTCTTTAAAGCTTCTGTGTATAATATATATATTTTTTCTCTCGTAATTCTTTTTTTTAAATTAAAATCGCAGCAATATATATAATTTACAATATACATTAAGACTAATTACTCTCGGAATGATATTATCAATAATGAGTATTTACAGACTTTATTCTTATGAGTTTATTATCATTTAATGATAATATTTTTTTTGGGGGCCTTATAGAGTTATTTTGGAAGAGTTCTTTTTAAAAATTTTTTCTTATTGCTTTCCTTATTTTCTTTTTATTGCTTTCGTATTTCTTTCTTTCGTTTTTTTTTACTTTCGTATTTTTTCGTTTGTTTTTTTCTTTCGTTTTTTTTAAATTCCGTATTATTTTCTTTCGTTTTTTTTGCTTTTGTTTTTTGTCTTTCGTTTTTCAAATGCATTTGTTGAACATAACACAATTTTTTGTGTTTGATAATATTTCTTACAATTGCATTTGTTTCTCCTGTAATTTTTTTTCTAACACAATCTCGAAATGTTGCTCAGAGTTAATAATTATTTATTTATTCATCCTTGGAGCAACAAGGCAGGCAGTTTTTTTGTCAGAAAGCTCTGACTTTCATTTGACCTCATATTTTCCCGATTCGATGCACAGACCAAGATCGGAATAATTTTTTTGTTGATTTGCTTTTAAGCTCGCGCCCGTGAGCAATTTGAACCTCAAGCGATGCTCCATTGTTGAGAGCAAGCCAGGAGTGAATTTCATTTGTTGCTGCTGTTGCCCCTGTTGGAAAAAGAAAAATGTTTATTGTACAAATTATGCCAAATATAAATTTATATTTATTAACATAAAAAATATTATTTATATTTTTATAATTTTTAATTTATAAATATTTAAATATAAAATTATGTAATATAAATATATAACTACTAGCGTATACAATATAAATATAAATAATACAAATTTAATATTTTTATGTATAAACTACTTTTTCAAAATTATTTTCATAATTTCAAATCAATTATTATTTTCTACAATTATTAATTATTTTTTATGAAAATAATTGAGTTCCTTAAAAAAAATTTTATTATTTACAAAAATAATTTAATTATTGCCAAGGAATAATTTATTAAAACTTTGTAAATAATTGAATTCCTGAGAAATTTTTATTATTTATGAAAATAATTAAACGTTTGCGTACTATTTTTTGAAATTTGAAATTGATTTGAAAATAATTGAACTTTGGGGAAGAATTTTTTTATTTATAAAGATAATTGGGATTTTGACGGGAATTTTTTTTTAAATTTGAAAGATAATTGAATGTTATGAGAAGAATTTTATCACTCTTGAAAATAATTGAATTTATTATTTGTAACTTTTTCCAAAATTGGATTTTTTTTAGTGTTTTCAACAAAAATTTGAATTACAAATTTTTAAATTCTATTATTTTTAAAATTGCTCATTTTATTCTAAAAAGTTGAAAGAACATTCAAATTATTATAGTTAAATTATAGTTAATTTAATTATATAATAACATTTAGATCTAAATATTATTATATTTCTATTTACACATAAAAAACATTAAATTATAAATTTAATTATATAGTAATTATAATTAAATCGCAATTTCATCAGTTCATATAATTAATCATGATATCGAGGATATAATTAGTTAATTAGTATGATATTTTGGGATATTTTTCCTAAATAATTTTCTCGTAAATATTGTACACATTTTTCGTGAATATTTATAGAATATTGATCAATTTGAAAATTTACTGCAATGTTCGGTCATTAATTTTGTAAAGAGAAATTCTTGCAAATTACCAGGAAGTATAATTTTAGATTTTCTAAATGTAAAATTGTAATTGAAAAATTTTTCCCAACTTGCCTAATAATTCGTGTAGAGTTATCCGTCGACTAGCTAGCAATTCTTTGCTGGCACTTCTAATTTCGAAGACAAGCATCGCTTGCCTCGGAATACTATCACCGTCAATTTGAAAATCAATACTAAATTGTGGATTAGGCATTGCTGGCAATAGTCGAGACTTGGCTATTGTCTTTCCATTGTTCATCGATGGTAGGATTTTGTCAGGACTCGAGCAACTGTAAAAAAAATTTATTTTTAAAAAAATGATTATCAATTCTTTAATTTCGAAAATATTTAATCTAGGTGAAGAATTTTAGAATAATTATTCTTTCTCAATTGGTTTGAAATTTCTAAATTTCTAAATTTAGTTTTAATTTTAATTTCATTTTCAATTTTAATATTTCGAATTATTACTTACGTTTGAAATTTAATTCGACAGTAAAGTTGTGCTATGTGTGCTACATGAAGTCCCTGAGCTTGTAATACTTTACCCTCTATTCCGGAATACTTTTCTCTTGTCCCGTTAAGAATTTTCAAATCTAAAGGAATTTTTGTTTTAGTTTGAATATTTTCTGTAGAAATCTTTGTATTTTAGGATTTTTTTCGACTTTTTCAAATCTTAATCAATAACATTTTTAATTTGACCACTAAACCCAACAATAAAGAATCTTTGAATTTTTTCGATTTGGTTTTAGTGTTGATATTAAAAATTGATTAAGATTTTAAAAGATTAATTTGAGATTGAATTTAGTAGAAAGGGGAAGAATTTGTTATTGATTGTTACCATTTGGCCTCATTCTCATTCGAGGACTTGGTTGTCTTATTCTTCCCAACATATCAGGTTGAGATACAGCGTGTGACAATGCTCCTTGTAAAAGTTCTGTGGCGTCTGCCTCACCACCTCCCCTTGGTTCTAAACTTAAAGTCACTCCTTTTGTCGTATCACATTTATCTTCAATATTCACCTCCGAACGAAATCTTCTCAATTTCAATCCTCTTTTCATCTGAAATTTATTTTTCCTCATTAAAATAATTCTTGTCTTGTTTCTAAAATATAAAAATTCTAATAACAACTCCTAATTCTTTTTACCTTTTGTTTCATGACCCGAAAACTATTATACTGTGGCATTTTCTTGCCGAAACTTTGTTCGGGACTTGGAGTTAAACTATTATGTGACGAGCGTCTTTCATTTAATTTTGAAGTTGAATCAGCTTCATCGACAGTATCGGAAATTGTTTCAGTGATGACACGCGGAGTCCAGGAATTTGTGACACCATTCACTTCATTTGATTCCTTACTTGTCGTACTGGCTTTGTCTATTGGACAGAAATAAATTTCTTATTACTTTAAATTATCCACTATTTCTTATTTTGAAAATAATTATTTTAAGAAATGGGGAAATTTCTTTTAATTAACACACCAGAGTGATTTGTTGACGGGGGTTTTAGTAAAGTAACTGTTCTCGGTGGTGGTGGCGGCGGGACAACATGCTCCAAATGTAATCTCATTTTTGATTTCTCCATTGACGGTCGTCGAACAATGTTTGATATTATTTCGGTTTCTGCACAAGGTCGAGTTGAAGATTCGCTTACGTTACTTGCAGTATAGGTACTTTGTGTCTAGATGGTAAATTTTAATTAGTTACTTAATTTTGTACTTTATTTTTTTGGGGGACACAATTTTTTATTATACTTACTTCGCATTCTTCGCTTAGAACTTTTACTTTTAGCTCAACTGATCCCGATTTGGTTCCTCTTAATGCAAACCAATGAGACTGATCGCTAGTTGAAAGTTTTCTGATATCCTCGAGAGTCAGAGACACTTTTCCTAGATAATCCTTCATGCCAAAAGTGTCGTGATCCCATAATATCTGGAAAAATTGAATTTTATTGTCATTAGATTTAGTTCTTATATTCATTACTCATTTGTTTGTTATTTATTTATTCGTTACTTATTTATTTATTTCTGGTTACTATTTATTTCATTTCTGGTTACTATTCATTTTATTTATTGGTTCTTATTTTTATTAAGCTGAAGGAATTTATTTATACGAATTATACGGAATAAATTTTTACCACATCTAAAGTTTCTCCATTTCTTGGCAAACCCATGATGGAACTTTCATCCCAGCAGGGATTTAGGGTCTTCTTTTTGATACTGCTTTTGTATTTTGTTTCATTGTTGAGTTTTAATTCGCAGTATGGATCACTGAATCCATTTAAGTCCTTGGCGACTAAATCCTTAGCTCTGAGAAGGGAGACTTCCATAAGACCACTTCCAGTTGAAAGTAGACTGGAAATGTCCGATGAAGTTGGATCCACGTCTCTGTGTGATAATAGTAGTTTCTGAAAGATGTAACAGAAGAAAAAATTAATAGGATTGGTTTGAAAATTATTTTTGAAAAAAGGAAATTTGGGAAAAGTAAAAATATCCTACAGCTTGTTGCATCCAAGGAAGACTATTTCTCTTCGTCTTTGGTTCTTCATCAATCGATGGTGGAATGACACTGTTTCTTCTACTCGTCACTACTTGTTGAACACTTTTTACAGGATAAAATAAAACTGATACTGTCATTGTTGACAAGTTTGTAGAGCCGCTTAGAACTAATTCTTTCCTTACGATCCATCCTGTGTCCTGAAATAATTCAAATAACGGAGGGAATTGTTTAGTAGTTCTAAAGTAAAGAGGTGAAATCAAAAATATTTCTAATTTCGGGAAATTTTACCTGAGTTAATGAAAGCATTGCTAGACCGAGCATATCAGTATCAGACATTTTTGAAATATTCCATGAATAAATGACAAAACTGAGGGAGAGTTGTGTGTAATCTTGAACAAGGAACTCTGTCCTGACCTCCCAACGTGGCGATGTTGTGCCTCTTATGTAGTGAGTTGTTTTAACCTGTAAAATTACAAAATGGACAGTGCGTGACTGAAGAATGTTTTCCTCATTATAAAAATGAGAACAACTCGCGGCGCGGGCATGCATACAAACCTTTTTACGGTTGTTGAACAGCATGCAATAGGGATTGCATTGCGATGGATCACTGTTGAGATCCTCAGCTGAGTGAATGTAAACAACCAGGACTCCTAAAATTATACGATTTACAAAGCAATTTACAAAAAAGCCTTGCATTCTTTTTTCCTCTTCATTTTCTTTCGTATATTTGGGAATCAATTTCATGGAAGAAAATATTTTTATACTACTGTTATTGGCTTTTTTGAATCTAATCTTAAATTCAAAAATTTAATTTTAATAGGATTTTTAAATTTGATATGAAAATATTTTTTTTCTTCCATGATATAATTCTTAGCAAGGGCCTTGTGTTTTTAGTGTCAAACGAACAGAAGAACGAGTGTCAGTTTTTGTGCCAAGAAAACAATTATCATTCCCAATTTAAATTCTATTGTATTTTTACCTGCTCTTTGTTTTCGGAAGGAATTTTTTCGTGTGACTGAAAATATACGAATTAAGTAGATTTATTAAAACCGGTTGTTAATTGGAATTGTTTGTATTATCGTTTTGAAAGAATATGGGACTTTTTTGTTTGTTTCGAGATTAAAACTCACCGGCAGAATGTGTATTTGTTTCTTCAGTGATAGTCGGTTGAGGTAAATCTGGATCCAATTTTGGTAAAGCTGCGTATTCCAATCTTGTATTAATATTTGGTATATTGGCGCTATTTCTTGAAGGTTTTTTTTGCTGTAGAACTGTCTCGACTCTATGAAAAATAGAAATTTGCATTTTAATTATACTTTTGTGTGTGTGTGTGTGTGTTGGTACTTGAATTGATCCTTGGTATATAGATACCTATATACCCGTAGGAATTAACCCATCAAAAACTTTCTCTTAATTAACTTACACTTGTGAACTTTCCCAGTTGTAAACTCCCAGAGCTAATTCAAATTGAGCCAAGGTGATAGTGCTAACAAGCCTTTTCGCTTTTAATTTTATGCTGATCCTTTCATTATCCAATGAACCAACTAGAAATGAGACATTTTCAGTCCAAGTTGAATTCAAATGGGCCATGACTCTTCTTTGATCACCAATTGTCACTACTAGCCATCTTACTTCATCATTCAATGTTGCTGTAAAATTGTTTGTTTTTTTTGTTACCAAATCATTAAAATACTATTATACTATTATAATACTATTATAATACTATTATAATACTTTAATAATAAAGGAAAGTACTGAGGAAGCAAAATAAAAAAATAGAAAATGTAGAGAATTTAAAATTTAATATTGAATCTCACCTGGACATCCACTTTGGTTTAGGGTCACGGTGAGTACTCCTTGTGGAATAGAATTTATAACACTATCGAAACCAGGTCCAGGTCTCTCCTGAGCCCTTAGGTCAAGTTCTAGATGACCTGGATCAACTAGCCAGCTCGCAAGAGCATCGGAGACAACTGCATGAATCCAGGTCTTCACCAATGGGACCTCCATCATTTGTACTGCCTTCAATACTTTCACACTGAACCAAACATCGGGTTTTTCGATAAAACTTACGCTCAAATGCGTTACGTGCGGAAATGGTGCCATTGAATCCAATGTTAGAGTTGCTAAAATTGTTCCCGATAGTGATAATTTCTCCACTGCTAAATCAACATCCATACCAACACTAGAAAGAATTTGATTTCATTTTACGTTAATATTATTTATATTCTGAGAGTAGCATTCTTAAAAATTTAACAGATTTTATTATTTTTCTATACTCTGCGAAAGAAATGATAGAGGAAACAAATTTTAACAAATAGGGTTTTTTTTAAGGAAAGACAAATTAGATTATTTTCTTCCATTTATAAGATCACTTAAGTTTCAGATAAAGAACATTTGACCTAATTTCAATAGTAGGAATATATATAATTACATTCAAGAATTTAAAATTTATGTATCTTATTTCCATGTAGGTGCATAATTATAGCTCTTTTAATAGATGCTGTGAAGGATCAATACATACTTTATAAAAAGATTCCTGCGTTTATATTTCATTTATCTAACAACGTGCTTCATAGACAATATTTTATTGAAATAGAAACAGAGAATTAAAAAGATAAATAGATTATACAATACAGTACATATTTATATTTATATTGTATAAAAATAATACTAGAAAGTAGAATAATTACAATCAATCAAATTCATAAACTTGCTTTCAACATTAAGATGTCTTCTATTCGTAATGATTATCCGAAAATAAATTATGTCCTACTAAATTCATATATTCAGATGTGATTCATTATCACTATAATCTGCATAAATTTTGCACATTAAATATTTCGATCGTTTAAACCAAATTTTATAGTTTAGTGTGATAATTATTAAATACCACACATCAACAGATTTCTAAAGATGTTAAATTTTTTATGATTCTTTAAGGGCTCGAACTAGGTCCGTAAATTTGCTTGAAGTCCGTAAAAGTCCGTTTTTTTTTTAAAAAAAAGATCCATAAAATCCGTAATTTATCCGTAATCCAATTATTTGAAAATTTATTGATAAAATTCAATTATGTTGAACAATTTCTAAAAATTCTCGTCAAAATTTCAATTATCTTTATATAAATAATAAAATTCTTCTCCAAAATTCAATTATTATTTTCAAAAATTTTAATAAAATTCTTGGCAAAATATCAATTATTTGCAAAAATTTTCATCAATTCAATGATTTTTAATATCTATTTTAATAAAATTTTCCAAAAGAAATCAATTTTTAAATAAAAAAAAATAAATAAAAAAAATATTTTTAAAATATAAAAAATATTTAACAAAATTCTACGCAAACATTTAATTTATTATTTTCATAAAATAATATAAATTTCACAGGAATTCAATTATTTACAAATTTTTTTATAAATTTCTTCGCAATAATTTAACAATTTTTATAAATAATAAAATTTTTACAGAGATTTAATTATTTTTGTAAATAATAAAATCCCTTTTATAGGAATTCAATTATTTTCATAAATAATAAAACTTTTTGTAGAATTTCAATTATTTGTAATACAATTTCAATCGAATTCGTTGAGAAATTTAATTATTCTTAAAAATTTTATTAAAATTCGTCGAAAGAATTCAATTATTTAAAAATTTGTTGATAAAATTCTTTGTGGGAATTGAATTTTAAGAAACATTTAATTATTCAATAAATTATTTATTTTTGCATTTAAATAATTGAATTCTAGTAGAATTTTCTAATAAAAATTGATTTAAAAATGAATTTCAGTTAAAATTTTAGATAATAATTGAATATTAAAAGCAATATAGCGTGAATTTTTAAAAATAATTGAATTTTGAAATTCATTTTTTTTTGAAAAAGTTTAATTGAATCTTTTTAATATTATTTTAAGTTTTTATTTTCTAATATTTATTTAATTGAAGAATTTACGGATAATTGAAATTTCGTAAAATTGAATATTGTAAAAGAATGGATTTGAAAATTGTCAAAGAACTTTCTCGAAAATTATTAAAAATAATCGATTTAAAGAAGAATTTTAGTTAAAAATTCTTATAAATAATAATTGAATTGTGAATGATTTTATCACTCAGTCATTAATTATTATTATTAATTATTATATATCGATAACTCCGAGTCTTCGACTCGGAGTTATCGATATCTTCATGTTTTATAGTTATGCAAAATTTAATTTATAGTTTTAAGTAAAATGTTCTCTTCTTTGACTCGGACTGGTTATATTTTTGCCAGTAATTGGTCCGTAATTTTTTATTTTTGGTCCGTAAAGTCCGTATTTTTAAATAGTTTTACTGGTTCGAGCCTTGATTTTTATTTAATCTAAACATCCGGATAAAATGCAGTATTGAATTATCATCATTTATATATAAAAAATCATTTATAGAAAAAAATGGTTGAAGCCGGTGGCGAAATCTTTTTATAGAATTAGCAATAAATATTGGTTTTCATAACTCACCCTTTGCCGAAGAGTCTTGTAGTGATGAGCATTCGAAATTGTTCGCAATCTAATCGTAAATCCGCTTCGATGGATAATTTCGTTGAACCTGGACGATTTCCAAGGGTGTCGTCATCTCCACTGTAATCGAGGGTTCTTATTCTTGTTAGGCATGGTGTTTGCTCGCCAAGTGTCAACTCTCTCAATTCCATGGGTCCTTTAAAATCAATTTATTTCTAATTTATTCCACATTTTAATCAAAAATAATTGAATTTTAAAAAACGTTGCACAGGAAATAGATTTTTTTAGTGATTCTCGTTTTTTATACACAGTATTTTTTTTCTTTTTGCATTTATGCAATGCAGTTAAAAATCTGGCTAAAAAAGTCTACTCCCTTAATTTTTTTTTATTCAGTTATTTTTCTTTATAATAATTTATTTGCATATATTTTATTCCTCCCTCGTGAAACAATAGGAGATTTTATCGAAAAAGAAAAAAATGCATCATTAATTGTACCGACCTAGTTTACATAAACCGTTTCTTAAGCTGCGATTATTTTTCGTTTTATTTATTTAACAAAAAAATTTTCTAACGGACTTTTCAAGTATTAGATTTATTGTTGTGATTATACTGGAGAGAATAATTTGTGGCTTTTTTATGATTAATTATTCATACACTTTTGTGTAAAAATATTTTTCTTGTTTATTTTGCATTTGGTATTGTTTTGAAATATTTTTATTCTGTGAGAAGATGTATTTTTTTGTTAAATACACTTTTAAAAATAGGGTTTTATCTATAGAATGAAAGATGTCTATAAAAGATATTTTAATCTTTCTAATTAATTAATTTTAATTGAAACATTTTTTCAATCTTTTTGGTGTAAAGTTGAAGTTTGATTAAACAAATTAAAACAGTGTACAATGTGAAAAGGTTATTATTATTTTGCTTAAACTCTGTTTATAGTTAAATTATAATTTTTAGGTATAAATATCCTTAAAGAAAACTTACGAAAACTTAAATAAAAAGTAAATTATTTATTGAAGACCAATACCAAGAATTCCAGGTTTTGCTTCATTCAACAGAGGCTCGAGTCTTTCCTTTGCTAGTGAAAAAATACTCCCAGCACTGAACCTCCACCTGAAATTAGAAATTAAATTTTTGTTCTTTTAATAGAAATTTTTATTTTATATTTGGGAAATTTATTTATTCTTGTGGATTTTATTTTTGAGGCTTTTTTAAATGTTTGTTTTGATATATTATCTCTATTAAAATAGAGTATTTTAGAAAAATATTATGATTTATGAATATATATTTATATATTTATTTTCTTATGGCAATATCCGTTACTAATTTATTTCTCGCATGCTTCTAGTTATGAGGATATAATTATTAAACTTTCATTGACTATTTTTAGATATATAGAACATAATAAAAAAAAGGATTATGCTTTGAATATTTTAAAGGGTCTACAATTAGAATGTAAATTATAATCTAGTTGCATTAATAACAATTGTTGTTTCACATATATACGTATCAAGTATATTTGTATACGAGAGTTATTTGAGGGTGTTTCTTGGGAAGCTCGCGTGGCCCATCTTTAATTCATGGTTCTTTTCCAACACATAGGAATTAACTCCTGGCAAAAGATACCGCTCCAATTAGACACATATACATTATTCACAAAACTTTCATTGTGAATTCAACTTTTTGATCATGTCAAGTAAACGCAATTTATTTATTATTATAAATAGGTACAGATAAGTTTTACAAATTGTTTTATTTTTTTTTTAGTAAATTTAAATTCATATTGTTATTTGTAATTATAATTATTGTTGTTATAGGTGTACATTTTCATTTATTTCATTATTTAATTTAGTTAATTAATAGAATTGTCAAATTAAATTGAAAAATTAATTGATTTTTTTCGATCGAGTTTAAAAATTAAATAATATTGAGTAATTTCTTCCAATCGGAGTTTATTCAATTGATTATATGGGAAGTGTAAATTTTCTAAAAGTCAATTACGTAAATTATAGAATTGTTGACAATAGGAGTTGAACTTGTGAAAATTAAAAGCGCGAGAAGTGAACAAGTTTTTAGATGTTTATCTATCCCCTTGATATATTTTGTAAATTTTTTTGCATTAATCTCAATGTCGTTAGAGTAGTTCGTATTTGGATACTTGATAGACCCGTTTCTCAGGTTCAAGAAAAAGGTTTCATGCTGCAAAAAGAAGCGAATGCAGTATACACTTGACTTTAATTCTTTCCCATGAAAACTTGAAATCAGATAATTGAAAGCCAATCTTATTTTTCCTCCTCGAAAAAAGAGAATAAAAAAATATTCTACTTTACAAATAATATTTACTTTATTTATGAAATAAATTTTGGTCTAGAATTGTTTTTCTACTTATTTATTTATTCCCTGGGGAATTAATTTCCTAGTGTACAAAATCTGCGATTTAATAAAAAATCAAATTTCAAATCTAAAATTTTCCATTTACAATCTTTACCTAATTTTCCTACATTTTTGGAATTTTATTTTATTTTTAAACCACATGCAAAAATAAGAGAAAATTCCAAAAATGTAGGGAAATTAATCTTTAGATTTAATTTTATATTTGATTGTGTTTGTTTATGCAACAAATCACTATTTATTGTCGTTATGACTGACATCGTTTTGAAATTGTCGAAAAGAAAAGAATAATGAAAGATTGAAAGTGTGATTCACTGTAAATTTTTTTCGCAAGACAGGAAGTGGTGTGTACACGAGGTGCAGTATATATATAAGAACAGCAGGGCAATACTTTGAAAATATATCCTTTACACCTACTGGTCAAACGCCCACGACATTGCAATGCATTGAATTATATGTGTGCGGACCTTTTTCTTCTTGCACTCTTTGGTGCGGTAATGAATTCACGCCATTAAAGCAATATCGCGGTCAAACCCTTTTGTAAAATGCTCCATTGCCATAGCGAACCTTATAACTTACCATATCAGTAAAACTGCCTTTTAAACTTTATCTCAAACTACATTTACTGCCAGAAATATGAATATGAAATTTATATTTTATTTCATTTCGAATGACTTGACGTATATGCGGAAAAAGCTAATGTATAATTTTTATGACATTGGGAAATATTTCACTACCGTTTATATTATTGTGTCTTTTGAAGAGAGTTTGGAATTTATTTGGGATATTGCTCTTAATTTATTTCTACTGGAGAGAAAATTATTTGAATGAAATAAATTATTAAACAATTATTTGAACGAACTAAACGATTTTTAAATAATTATTTGAATAGAATAGAATAGAGATTGAAAGAATTTTTTGCAGCTTAAGAAACGTTGGTGAAGTTCACAACGTTTATAATCAACGATTTCATAAGAAAAATATTTTTTTAAGCAAATTTTTATTAATTTTTGTATAGAAAATATTTTGGTTAGTTTTTTGAATAATGATTTACAGAAGAAATATTTACGAACAAAAAATTTTATTCTTTTTTGTAGGAAAATAATTCTTTTTTTTCAATCGTTGATCATAAACGTTGCGAACTTCACCGACGTCTTAAGAAAATGAATTGTGTAGATGATGGTGGAGAATATTTGTCTCATGTTGAATATAGTTAGTTATTTTGCCAATGTATGGTAGCTATATGGTGGCAAAATGCTTTCTAGTGTTGACCGCGTGTAGAACCTATAACGTGAAAGGTAATAGAAGGAATGTGGAATGTTTACGAATGCGCTAGTAGCTCATTTCCTATAACAGAGTTCATTTCCCTTTAGTATATATGTACCTTGAGATCACTACTTTACTAGAAACAAAAATTTTTGCAAAATTATTTTCTATTTCAATTGTAGCGAAATTATTCCGAACAAATTTTAGTAATTTGTCTGAAAGAGTTCTCTTCCTAATTGAAAAACAACCAAATTGGAATCGGTGTGTGTGTATTTTTGGTCTACAGTGATAAAACACAATTTCATTTTCGACGAAGAAAAAGTTGTTATGTCTGATAAAATTTTATTCTAAAAAGAAAAATTTTCTTGATAAAATTCACGAATTGGATTTCTCATCTTGTTTTTATAAAAACTTTGTCTATTTTCCTTTCCTTTTCTTTTCTCATTTCTTTTTCTTGAAAAAAGATTCATGACATTTGAAGTCAATTTTGAAAATATTGTTTGCCTTTTTTCTGAAATAATAATGGGAAATTATTTTCATTTCATTGTTTGTAGTGATTCAACAGACAGTGAGGTAAATTTTTATTCTTGGACAATAAAGAGGTAGTGGTTGAAAATTTCAATTTCAGAATTGTTTAGAATTCCGGAGTTAGTCAATGAACTTTCAATTGAATACTGAGAAGAATATACAATTCTATTTAAATAGTTTGAAGTTAATAGGATTCATTGTATATAAATAGAAATCACGTTATATGTACGTGAATTTTTTTTATTCCCAAACATAGAGATTCCCATAATAGAATATTAGAATATATTTCGTTTTCATGACTGGAATATGCGAAGAATAAATGAAAATATATTTACTTTCTTCTCGGAATATTTATATATTATTCAAAGTACAGTATAGTAATTAAAATACTAATTTTTTAAAATGGGCTTATACTGTTAGTGTTCTTTGTTTATTCCTGCTACTCTGATATTCGGTTTTTTGATCCAGATTTTGACTATTGTAATTTTTTTGTTTGAAATTTTTGCTTACCATCGATTTACGAGAAGACTGAGCCATTCGGCAGTTTCGTCTTTGTAAAGAGCCCTCCTTCTTCGTAACCTTGCTAAATCTTGATGCAGTGCTGTTTGCAGTAATCGAGATAGTCTTCCTTTGACTACTGTACCTGCCACGGCTAAAACTAAAACTAGCCATGCCAAAGATAGTCCTGCGGCTCCAACAATCCAGGCTATTGTTAAAGCTACTCCTAAATAGAGTGATCCTCGTATTATTTCGGCATCTCTCTGCAACAAAATAGACAAAAACAAAAAAACTTTGAGTACATTAATTTTTATTTTTATTCTTTTAATTTATTTAAGTAAAATATTGATATATTGATGCAAATTAATGTACGTTCTATATTATTTATTGCATATTAGTAAAAGATAAATTATATTAATAATATTTAATTTTATCGTATAGAAATTTTCCATTTGAAAAAAAGAAAATATAATTACGAATCTTTAGGACATATTTAAAATTTTAAAACATTCAAATTCTAGCATTAAAGTTAATTAAAATCAATAAAAAAAGGTTTAAATATTACACTAATGACACTATAGAAAATTATATAATGATACTTAGACGACAATTATTGACTCCATGCGAAAAGTCAAGATTATAATTATTGGAGAGTAAAAATAGTTCCATAATGATTTTCAGAGAGACAGGTAAATTATATATTTAAATATACTTTCTTTCAACCATTAATTCTCATTCAAGTGAAAGAATTTTTTTTTGGGGGGAAAACTGGATGAAAGTTCTTTGAGAAGAATATTTTAATTCTTTTTCTTTGATGGGGGGTAATGAATGTGAGTGTACTGAGGAAAATAATAAGATGTAAAAACATACTTAACACCCAATAAATGAAACCGAAGGAACCCAATTGCATATTAACTCACGCAATATCGCGTGTTTACTACAAAGAAATTTCTTGACGTCATTTGAGACGTCATTAACCTCCCTTAGAGAAATGAATGTGGACAAAAAATTTTAAGATACTTTTATACCTTTTATGTCTTTCTGCTTCAGTAATATGCGAAAATATGTAAATAAAACATAACGGTTTAATTATTAGGAATTTTTCCTTTTCAATTTACGTAAAATATTTTGTTTTTATCAGTTAACGATTTTTTGTATTAAAATCCCAGGGGAACTATTTGCCATAAAAATAAAAGAAATAAGTATCAAATAAATTTATACTTGATACAAAAAAAGATTATTAGTCCTAAAGACAAATTTATATCGAATTCAATCAAATTGTAGTTTGTTTAAATAAATACTTTCTATTGTTGCAAATTATAAATTATTGTTCGTGTGACGTGTACGTACAATATAAGGCAATTATTATTTAAAAATCAATTGTAAAATTTAATACTAAAATATTTAAATCGTGTTTTGGCTATCTGCTTTGCAAAAAGCCATTAAATCAAAAAAAAAAAAAAAAATGTTTAAATGAGATTTAAATTTAGGTTTTGAAAAAATAAATTTAAATAACTTCCCAAAAGATTTACATTTCATTTATGTAAAATAAAATTTCTTCTAAATTAAAATGAAAATTCAGAAATCTGCTATGCATAACTTTGTATAATCAACATTGTCAGTGTGTATAGTATAATAATGATAAGTAAAAGTTTGATAAATCTTTGATAAAAGCTTGATAATAGTACTTTGAAGCCTTGCGCGTAAACTCACTGATCACATGCTTGCAAATTGTAGTTAGGACCTTTGGTTGTGTTATCCCACTGGTCAATATGCTTGCTCATTGTAGTTAAGATCTTTGGGTGTTTAATCCCACTGGTCAATATGCTTGCTTTTTTTAGTTAGGATCTTTGGGTGTTTAATCCCACTGGTCAATGTGCTAGATTTTTTTTATTAGTTAGGATCTTTAGGTGTTTAATCCCACTGGCAATGCTTCTTTGCTTTTTTTTAGTTAGGATCTTTGGGTGTTTAATCCCACTGGTCAATGCTTCTTTGCTTTTTTTAGTTAGGATCTTTGGGTGTTTAATCCCACTGGTCAATATGCTTGCTTTTTTATTTAGGATCTTTGGGTGTTTAATCCCACTGGTCATTATGCTTTTTTTTAGTTAGGATCTTTAGGTGTTTAATCCCACTGGTCAATATGCTTGCTTTTTTATTTAGGATCTTTGGGTGTTTAATCCTACTGGTCAATATGCTTGCTTTTTTATTTAGGATCTTTGGGTGTTTAATCCCACTGGTCAATATGCTTGTTTATGGTAGTTAGGATCTTTGGGTACTTACTCCCACTGGTCAGTATGCTTGCTTATAGTAGGACCTTTGGGTATTTTATCAGGTTCGCGCGGTTAATTTACTCGAAACGTCGCGAGTCATGCGGAACTGACTTTCTCGTTTTCAGGTTCGGGTCGTGAAATTGAATCGTCGCGAGTCATGCGGAACTGACTTTCTCGTTTTCAGGTTCAGGTCGTAAAATTGAAACGTCGTGAGTCATGCGGAACTGACTTTCTCGTTTTCAGGTTCGGGTCGTGAAATTGAATCGTCGCGAGTCATGCGGAACTGACTTTCTCGTTTTCAGGTTCGGGTCGTGAAATTGAATCGTCGCGAGTCATGCGGAACTGACTTTCTCGTTTTCAGGTTCAGGTCGTAAAATTGAAACGTCGTGAGTCATGCGGAACTGACTTTCTCGTTTTCAGGTTCGGGTCGTGAAATTGAATCGTCGCGAGTCATGCGGAACTGACTTTCTCGTTTTCAGGTTCAGGTCGTAAAATTGAAACGTCGTGAGTCATGCGGAACTGACTTTCTCGTTTTCAGGTTCGGGTCGTGAAATTGAATCGTCGCGAGTCATGCGGAACTGACTTTCTCGTTTTCAGGTTCGGGTCGTGAAATTGAATCGTCGCGAATCAACCGTAAATGACTTTCTCGTTTTCAGGTTCGGGTCGTGAAATTGAATCGTCGCGAGGCATGCGGAACTGACTTTCTCGTTTTCAGGTTCGGGTCGTGAAATTGAATCGTCGCGAGTCAACCGTAAATGACTTTCTCGTTTTCAGGTTCGGGTCGTAAAATTGAATCGTCGCGAGTCATGCGGAACTGACTTTCTCGTTTTAAGGTTCGGGTCGTGAAATTGAATCGTCGCGAGTCATGCGGAACTGACTTTCTCGTTTTCAGGTTCGGGTCGTGAAATTTAATCGTCGCGAGTCAACCGTAAATAACTTTCTCGCTTTCAGGTTCGGGTCGTATAATTGAATCGTCGCGAGTCATGCGGAACTGACTTTCTCGTTTTAAGGTTCGGGTCGTGAAATTGAATCGTCGCGAGTCATGCGGAACTGACTTTCTCGTTTTCAGGTTCGGGTCGTAAAATTGAATCGTCGCGAGTCATGCGGAACTGACTTTCTCGTTTTCAGGTTCGGGTCGTGAAATTTAATCGTCGCGAGTCAACCGTAAATAACTTTCTCGCTTTCAGGTTCGGGTCGTATAATTGAATCGTCGCGAGTCATGCGGAACTGACTTTCTCGCTTTCAGGTTCGGGTCGTGAAATTGAATCGTCGCGAGTCATGCGGAACTGACTTTCTCGTTTTCAGGTTCGGGTCGTAAAATTGAATCGTCGCGAGTCATGCGGAACTGACTTTCTCGTTTTCAGGTTCAGGTCGTAAAATTGAAACGTCGCGAGTCATGCGGAACTGACTTTCTCGTTTTCAGGCTCGGGTCGTGAAATTAAATCGTCGTGAGTCATGCGGAACTGACTTTCTCGTTTTCAGGTTCGGGTCGTGAAATTGAATCGTCGCGAGTCATGCGGAACTGACTTTCTCGTTTTCAGGTTCGGGTCGTGAAATTGAATCGTCGCGAATCAACCGTAAATGACTTTCTCGTTTTCAGGTTCGGGTCGTGAAATTGAATCGTCGCGAGTCATGCGGAACTGACTTTCTCGTTTTCAGGTTCGGGTCGTAAAATTGAATCGTCGCGAGTCATGCGGAACTGACTTTCTCGTTTTCAGGTTCAGGTCGTAAAATTGAAACGTCGCGAGTCATGCGGAACTGACTTTCTCGTTTTCAGGCTCGGGTCGTGAAATTTAATCGTCGCGAGTCAACCGTAAATAACTTTCTCGCTTTCAGGTTCGGGTCGTATAATTGAATCGTCGCGAGTCATGCGGAACTGACTTTCTCGCTTTCAGGTTCGGGTCGTGAAATTGAATCGTCGCGAGTCATGCGGAACTGACTTTCTCGTTTTCAGGTTCGGGTCGTAAAATTGAATCGTCGCGAGTCATGCGGAACTGACTTTCTCGTTTTCAGGTTCAGGTCGTAAAATTGAAACGTCGCGAGTCATGCGGAACTGACTTTCTCGTTTTCAGGCTCGGGTCGTGAAATTAAATCGTCGTGAGTCATGCGGAACTGACTTTCTCGTTTTCAGGTTCGGGTCGTGAAATTGAATCGTCGCGAGTCATGCGGAACTGACTTTCTCGTTTTCAGGTTCGGGTCGTGAAATTAAATCGTCGCGAGTCAACCGTAAATGACTTTCTCGTTTTCAGGTTCGGGTCGTAAAATTGAATCGTCGCGAGTCATGCGGAACTGACTTTCTCGTTTTCAGGTTCGGGTCGTATAATTGAATCGTCGTGAGTCATGCGGAACTGACTTTCTCGTTTTCAGGTTCGGGTCGTGAAATTTAATCGTCGCGAGTCATGCGCAACTGACTTTCTCGTTTTCAGGTTCGGGTCGTGAAATTACTTGATTACTACAACAACAATTTAGTTTAGGTAGCTTTAGGTTTAGTTTTTTTTAGTTAGGATCTTTAGGTGTTTTATCCTACTGGTCAATATGCTTGCTTTTTTATTAGTTAGGATCTTTGGGTGTTTTATCCTACTGGTCAATATGCTTGCTTTTTTATTTAGGATCTTTGGGTGTTTTATCCTACTGGTCAATATGCTTGCTTTTTTTAGTTAGGATCTTTGGGTGTTTAATCCCACTGGTCAATATGCTTGCTTTTTTATTTAGGATCTTTGGGTGTTTAATCCTACTGGTCAATATGCTTGCTTTTTTATTTAGGATCTTTGGGTGTTTAATCCCACTGGTCAATATGCTTGCTTTTTTTAGTTAGGATCTTTGGGTGTTTAATCCCACTGGTCAATATGCTTGCTTTTTTATTTAGGATCTTTGGGTGTTTTATCCTACTGGTCAGTATGCTTGCTTTTTTTAGTTAGGATCTTTGGGTGTTTAATCCCACTGGTCAATATGCTTGCTTTTTTTAATTAGGATCTTTGGGTGTTTAATCCCTCTGGTCAATATGCTTGTTCATAGTAGTTAGGATCTTTGGGTGTTTAATCCCACTGGTCAATATGCTTGCTTTTTTTAGTTAGGATCTTTGGGTGTTTAATCCCACTGGTCAATATGCTTGCTTTTTTATTTAGGATCTTTGGGTGTTTAATCCTACTGGTCAATATGCTTGCTTTTTTATTTAGGATGTTTGGGTGTTTAATCCCACTGGTCAATATGCTTGCTTTTTTTAGTTAGGATCTTTGGGTGTTTTATCCTACTGGTCAATATGCTTGCTTTTTTATTTAGGATCTTTGGGTGTTTTATCCTACTGGTCAATATGCTTGCTTTTTTTAGTTAGGATCTTTGGGTGTTTAATCCCACTGGTCAATATGCTTGCTTTTTTATTTAGGATCTTTGGGTGTTTAATCCTACTGGTCAATATGCTTGCTTTTTTATTTAGGATCTTTGGGTGTTTAATCCTACTGGTCAATATGCTTGCTTTTTTATTTAGGATCTTTGGGTGTTTAATCCCACTGGTCAATATGCTTGCTTTTTTTAGTTAGGATCTTTGGGTGTTTAATCCCACTGGTCAATATGCTTGCTTTTTTATTTAGGATCTTTGGGTGTTTTATCCTACTGGTCAGTATGCTTGCTTTTTTTAGTTAGGATCTTTGGGTGTTTAATCCCACTGGTCAATATGCTTGCTTTTTTTAGTTAGGATCTTTGGGTGTTTAATCCCTCTGGTCAATATGCTTGTTCATAGTAGTTAGGATCTTTGGGTGTTTAATCCCACTGGTCAATATGCTTGCTTTTTTTAGTTAGGATCTTTGGGTGTTTAATCCCACTGGTCAATATGCTTGCTTTTTTTAGTTAGGATCTTTGGGTGTTTAATCCCACTGGTCAATATGCTTGCTTTTTTATTTAGGATCTTTGGGTGTTTAATCCTACTGGTCAATATGCTTGCTTTTTTATTTAGGATGTTTGGGTGTTTAATCCCACTGGTCAATATGCTTGCTTTTTTTAGTTAGGATCTTTGGGTGTTTTATCCTACTGGTCAATATGCTTGCTTTTTTATTTAGGATCTTTGGGTGTTTTATCCTACTGGTCAATATGCTTGCTTTTTTTAGTTAAGATCTTTGGGTGTTTAATCCCACTGGTCAATATGCTTGCTTTTTTATTTAGGATCTTTGGGTGTTTAATCCTACTGGTCAATATGCTTGCTTTTTTATTTAGGATCTTTGGGTGTTTAATCCTACTGGTCAATATGCTTGCTTTTTTATTTAGGATCTTTGGGTGTTTAATCCCACTGGTCAATATGCTTGCTTTTTTTAGTTAGGATCTTTGGGTGTTTAATCCCACTGGTCAATATGCTTGCTTTTTATTTAGGATCTTTGGGTGTTTTATCCTACTGGTCAGTATGCTTGCTTTTTTTAGTTAGGATCTTTGGGTGTTTAATCCCACTGGTCAATATGCTTGCTTTTTTTAGTTAGGATCTTTGGGTGTTTAATCCCTCTGGTCAATATGCTTGTTCATAGTAGTTAGGATCTTTGGGTGTTTAATCACACTGGTCAATATGCTTGCTTTTTTTAGTTAGGATCTTTGGGTGTTTAATCCCACTGGTCAATATGCTTGCTTTTTTTAGTTAGGATCTTTGGGTGTTTAATCCCACTGGTCAATATGCTTGCTTTTTTATTTAGGATCTTTGGGTGTTTAATCCTACTGGTCAATATGCTTGCTTTTTTATTTAGGATCTTTGGGTGTTTAATCCCACTGGTCAATATGCTTGCTTTTTTATTTAGGATCTTTGGGTGTTTTATCCTACTGGTCAGTATGCTTGCTTTTTTTAGTTAGGATCTTTGGGTGTTTAATCCCACTGGTCAATATGCTTGCTTTTTTTAGTTAGGATCTTTGGGTGTTTAATCCCACTGGTCAATATGCTTGCTTTTTTTAGTTAGGATCTTTGGGTGTTTAATCCCACTGGTCAATATGCTTGCTTTTTTTAGTTAGGATCTTTGGGTGTTTAATCCCTCTGGTCAATATGCTTGTTCATAGTAGTTAGGATCTTTGGGTGTTTAATCCCACTGGTCAATATCCTTGCTTTTTTATTAGTTAGGATCTTTGGGTGTTTAATCCCACTGGTCAATATGCTTGCTTTTTTATTTAGGATCTTTGGGTGTTTAATCCCACTGGTCAATATGCTTGTTTTTTTATTTAGGATCTTTGGGTGTTTAATCCCACTGGTCAATATGCTTGCTTTTTTTAGTTAGGATCTTTGGGTATGTTTTCCCATTGGTCAATTATTTATTTATAGTAGTTTAAACGTTTGAGTTTTTAAATCTTTTGTATATTTTAATTGTTGTGTTTTGATGCAATAGTATATTACTTAGTTGAAGTTTCAAGACCAAATATTATTTTAAATCTTCAATGTGAAGTTAACAAGAAAAAAAGAGATCCTTTTAAAGAGAGGCACTCTCGTGTTATTTATATTAAAATTAACGATTTAATTATAAAGGTAAAAAACTAATCTCATTTGTAAATTACAAAGTTGATGTTTGCGTGCAGATTTCACTTATGTATTTTCTTATGCTTCTTTTTTGTGTTTGATTTTCTTTTCTATATTATCATATCGAGAGTAAAATTCTGTCTATTTATATAAATTAATAAAGATTTTTTATTTTTTTGCAATAATAAGAAATTAAACGATGTTACTTTCATTATCTTCTATTTTAGTAATTGTACTTTTATGAAAAGCATGTTTTTATTCACTAATTTAAATCTCATTTATTCTGGAACATCTTTTGTTGTTTGATAATAATCGTAGAAACCAGAGAGAATTTTCTTTTATTATTTTTTAATTTCTTTTCCAATGTTCTCCTCTATTATTTTTATTATTTTCTCCTATCTTATTTGCTTAGAAATGAAGTTTTTTGTGATAAAACAAAATAATAAATATGGTAAATGATAATAATTATAATAACAAAATATATTTTTGTTTGAAATTTTCTATCATTATTATTAAAGTTAAAAAAAATGATTTTAAGTAAGTTCTTAAATGAAAATAAAAAAATTCCTGCCCAGTAAAATACACTACTTCGTAAAATAAGACTACTAATTGAAGTTACTTTAACGGTAGAAAAGTCAGGGATCTCAAGTTTAAATCACTTGGGAAATCTGCTTGTTTCCGCAGTGGATAACATTGTTCTGTGTTCTTCTCACATTGCATTTGTTTCGGAACGGAGTATTTTTATATATACAATTGTAATTCTTCCTACAATCTTCAGGAGTTTTGTAATAGTATTAATAATTGAAATCATATTTGATTCGTATAATATGTATGAGAAATAGGAGAATAATTTATATCATTTACATTGTCTGGTACTTGTGTACCAGATATAAATATGTTTTTGCATTAAGTAATTTTTATTTTATTTAATCTTAATGATATTTGTTTTAGATATAAAAGGAAATGTTGAATAGAATTCAAGAAAGTATATTGAAAGCTTGTGACGTCTTGAAATAATGTTTGGTTTGTTAAAAATACGTTACGTATAATTTATAATTTAGCCTGATGATGATGATGACTACTTTCTATGTCATAGATTCGTAACTCTGTTGGAAAAAAATTACATAAACTTTTTTTTATTCTTTTTAACCGTTTGCTTCGAATTGTTTATTTGAGTAAAAATTATTTTATAAAATATTTCTTTATTATTTTATATAGAATATTTTATACAATAATAATGGGGAGATTTTTAAAAATTGTTTTGACTATAACACTTGTTAGAGAAAAAGAACTTTATTTCTCACTCTATCTCTCGATTGATGGGAACTAGTAGCAGCAGCTTATGGCTGTTTATTTTTGAATCTCTTTATGGGGACGGGGCTTCTTGTGGCTTTCAAATAACCGCAGAATCTCAGAGTTACCCACACTTTCCAGTTGAAAGTTCTTATAAACCAGATATACACGAAATTGAACTGCGCTGCTTGCAATAATATGATTTCTTTTTTGTTTTTCTTTTTGTTGAAGGCATTTCATTTCAACTATTATTTTATGTGCAACTTACTTGTAAATTGTACTGAAAAATGTAGCATAACTTTTACTATCACTGTGAATTTGAAAGTCTAGTTTAGCTTTTACTATATGAAAGTATAGTAAAAGTTACTTTATTATTTTTCCCTTGCAAATAATGATCCCTATTGCAAATACCCCTATTACCTTAAAAAAGAATATTTTACCGAATTAATGAATAAAAATTATTAATAAAAATAATGAAAATTATTAAAAAGTTATGAATGCAATCTCGTTTAAAGCTATATGTCTTTCTTCTTTAGTCTAGAGGAAATGTTGATGGAGTTTAGGGTTAAAAATATAATTATTCTTTGTACATTAGAATATTCCTGTTAAAAATTCATATAAATTATATGGAGTATTGATAAATTGACATTGATTTTAACTAATAAATTTGAGCTCACCTGTGTTTTTTGGTTGACTGCGAGGGCAAATTCTTCATCAGGAGCAGAATCATCAGGGGTCATATTGATAGACCCGGAGGCCCCGTTACTGACAGATTCGTTTAGGGGCCCCAAAGGTCCCCCTTCTTCAAATGGGCACTCTTCAATTGGACTGCAACTCCCACTCCCTTCTCGTTTTCCTGAAAATATAATTTCAAATTTTAACATAAATCTAATTAATTATACACTGTAAAAAATTTAGGGAGTTAACGGACTCGGGAGTTGGGAGTAAAATTTTTCGAGTCAAAAATCAACTCCAAAAGAGAGTTAATTTCTAACTCCCTTCATTCAATACCCGCGCGAGTTATTTTTTCCTTGGGGAGTTAGCATTTGGGTGTGAAATTTTAACTCTCTTTATTTAACTCCCCTGGCATTAACTCCCCAATGGGTGCGACTTTTATAGACCCCCCGGGGGAGTTAAAATTCAACTCCCTTTTTTTACAGTGTAGGTGTGGGAGTTAAGTGTTATATTGGTGAATCAATATTTACAAGACTATGAATCACAGATAAGTAAATTAATTTGTTTCCTTTTATTCAAATGTTTCAAATAATTTGTCTTAATAAAAAAATGTTATGTTATGCTCGAAACTGTTTTTGATAACCAAACTAATTAAGCGAGTATTTTTGCAGTAATTTCTTTTATTTATTTACTCTTATTATAATTTTATTATTATTATTATTATATTATAGTTTTTTAGGTGGGCTCCACATTCTGTTATACTTGTGGATCAAAGTGGATCAGATGGATTTTTAATTAAAGTTAAGTATTTTAATTAAATTTTTGTTTCTTCTTCTCATACTTAAAAATTTCCGTCTTGATCACCAGGTAATTTTCTGTTGAGTAGTCAACTAATTATGTATTACTAGCAATTTTTTGCCTTTTTGCGTCCTACTTCAATGCCAAGGTAATCTTTTTAAGTGAATACTTCTTGTAGATGAATTACAATAATCAGGAAATTTCTGTATTTAATTTTATCAAATTGTTTCAGGTACGTCCCACATCCTATGAGTTTTTTGAGTCGGACCAAAAAAAGCGATGAGTATTCTAGGAAGAAGGATAAAAATTCATTATAGGAGAAAGAAAAAGTTCTATTAATGCAGGATGCTATTCTCTAAATTTGAATTAGTAAAAGTATTCACTAATTTAAATTAGTAACTGATTTTTTGCATTTCAATTAGTTTTTACCAACAAATAGTAATTTTTACTAATTTGTTAATAAAATTGACTAATTCAAAAGCAAAAGGCCAGACACTAATTCAAATTAGTAAATATTTTTACTAATTGGTATAAGAATTGTTATTGTTATTTTTTTGTGAAATCATGTGTAAGGGGAGACAAGTGCGGTAAATTGGATGTGTCTCACTGTGGAGAGCGGGGTGGAGCTCTCCACCGGTTAGTGTAATGTGATTTAGTGATTAGTTTTACTCTTATTATTATTATTATTATTATTATTTTTAATTTTTATTTTAAAATTATTTTTATAATTATTAGTAATTTGACTGCAGCTGTTGATGGTGATGTGATTTTTTAAGTAATGTGTGCTTAGTCTTGTGATGCATAATTCGTGTTTTCATAATAATATATGTTCGTGTAATTTACTGTATCAAGAAAGAAGAACGATAACAGAAGAAAGAAGAGATAATATATTTTTGATCCGTCAAGGTAAATCCAGAAACAGTCATTTTTCAGTTATCTCGTAAGTTTTGAATTGTATCTTTAAAGTTTTGTTTTATATCTTTAGCCAACTTTGATGTTTGGTGGATGGAATTTTCCCTCATATCTTGGATGGAAAAAATTCTTAGACGTTCCAGCTAATACAGTGTCTATAGGTAAGCTATAAATACAGAAAAAATTGTTAATATAGAACTAACAAATTTTGATAGTTGTTGTTGCCTAAATTATGACTGAATCACTTCCTTTGGTCAAAAAATTATGTTCGTTCCAAAAACGTTCTTAAATGCTTTTTGGAACGTTTCCTGTTAGCCAAATAATGTTTTAGAATATTATTTGAACATCCACGTTCTTAAAATATTTTGGAACATTATTTGACGGATATGAAACGTTATAAGAACGTCGTAAGAACGTTTTTGGAACAAACATGGTTTTTCGTCAAAATATATTTTTATATTAACTTAAGTAGTTGATTTTTAAAAATGTACGTTTGGTTCTCGATTTATTTATAGAGATTATTATCCGTACATAAAGTAGTTGTTTAATGAATAAATTTCTCTTTTTTAGTTTGATGACCACTACTACATGAAGGAGAGTTGAGCAGTAATTAATTTGGTAGCCGGACGAGAAATTCGAGTCATTTGGATCGGGTCTCTTTGCAAAGGGTTATTTTCCAAATTTCAATTTAGTTTCTAACCCAGAGGAGGGATCTCCCGGGGCAAATGGCTTGGAGATTATCAACTATATATGGCTATATTCATCTTCGTTGGATGGATGTCGAGGACTTTGGGATATATCTTCATTGTTTGATGGCAAAATACGGGAGAAACTTTGAGCAAAGCTGCCTTTTAGCTGTCCGCATCGTTATTCGACGTGGGATGTGCTGATTCAGTGAGTCTTTATAAACAATATTAAACAATGTTGTGTCAGCGCTGACCCTAATATGTTTCCTCCTTCACCAAATATGCTTTCTCTTAATAAATTTTCCTATTTATTCGGAGATGGGGAATTTTTATTATAGAACAGGGTTGCCACAGATCAGGGAAGCCAGGGAATTCAGGGAAAAGTCAGGCAAATTAGAATTAGTCAGGAAAATCAAGGAAAAGTCAGTGATTTTTATTATAAAAGTACTGGAAAAAATTAAATTTTTAGAATTTATAAGAAAATTTTGAATTTGTGTGTAAATTTTGTTTGCTTACATAAACTATGAAATTGACAAGAATTCTAATATAAAACCTTCAATTTTTTCTATTTTTGACAATAATTTCTTTTTAAATAACTTAATTCTTGAAGAACAATCATAAAATTATTAATTATAAATCTCAAAAGTGATTAACTTCTTCGCATAAATTCAATTATGTTCATAAATTTAAAAAAAATTTCGTCAAAATTTAAATTATCTTTATAAATAATAAAATTCTTCTCCGAAATTCAATTATTTCGAAAAATTAAGATAAAATTCTTTTAAAAATTATATTATTTAAAAAAATGTTGACAAAATTCTTTAAAAGATTTAGTTAATAAAATTGCAATTTTAATAAAATTTTCCTATAAATAATTCAATTATTTTCAATACAATTCTTGTTAAGAATTCAATTATTTTCACAAATAATACATTTTTTTATGGGAATTCAATTATTATATTTAAAAGAATTTGAATAAAATTCTTTGCATGAAATCAATTTATTATTTTAAAAAATGTTCATAAAATGCTGTATAAATTTGAAAAATTATAATAAAATTGATCATAGAATAGGTACAATTATTATTTTCGTAAAATATAACATTCTTCCTAGGAATATAATTATTGTCAAAAATGTTTGTAAAAATCTTCGAAGCAAATTAAATTATTTTCGTAAAAAATAAAATTCTTTGAAGCAATTCAATTATTTAAAAAATTTTAATAAAATTCTACCCGAAAATTCAATTCTTTTCAATACTAAAATTTTTCACAGGAATTCAATTATTTAAAAAAAATGTAATAATATATTCTTCTTCAGATTTAAATTATTTTCAATTTTTTAATGAAATTTAAAAAAATTCTGAGAAATTCAGTTATTTAAAAAAATCTTGAATGAAATTCTTCACAAGCAATTAATTATTTTCATAAATAATAATATTTTTCTCCGGAATTCAATTATTTTAATTAAATTAGTTGCAAGAATTTTATTATTTTAATAAATAACAAAACTTATCGCAAAATTTCAATTTTTTTTTATTCAATTTTAAATAAAATGATAGAAAATAGCATTCATTTAAAAATTTTTTTTTTAAATTCACCGAAAGAATTCAATTATTTTTAAAAATTTAGATAAAATTCTTTATAAAAATTCAATTTTAAGAATTATTCAATTATTTAATAAATTATTTATTTTTGTACTTAAATAATTGAATTCTTGGAAAATGTTCTATTAAAAATTGATTAAAAAATGAATTGCACTTAAAATTTTAAATTATAATTGAAAAATATTAAAAGCATTATAACGTGAATTTTTAGAAATAATTGAATTTCGAAGAGGGTTCAAATTAGAATCTTTGAAAATTTAAATTTATAGTTTTTGGAGTGAATCAGAATATTCTTCAGGGTTAGGGAAAAAGTCGAAAAATTTTTCTGGAACTCAGGGAAAAGTCAGGGAAAAATAAAATTAAATTTTTGTGGCAACTCTGTAGAAAATTTTTATTTTTGTGGTAATTTATTTTATAATGTGGAAATTATTCGTCTTTTTAACATTAGGGGGAGAAGAATTTGAATAATTATGGGCAGTATAATTTTTATAGTTACTGTAAAATTTGATTGATGACACGATTAAGACATGATTTGTACGGTTGTACGCGGTTAATTTTTATTTAAGTCAATTAAATGATATTTAATTAAATATTCAGTTCAAGTAGAGTTTATTTGCTCTAAATAGAATTTATTTGCGCTTTAAATAGAATTTGATTTAAATAAAAATTATTTGATTCATGTAAATATTTATATGCGATAAGAGACATGTAATCGTTTACATGAATCAAATACAATTTTTTTCAGTGCACTATTTTTTTTCATTTTTTTTGAACCGAAGTCCGAAGTGTGCATAACAATATTTTTCTGTTCCTTTTTTGCCTGTTGTTTTGGTTGTAATTATCAGAGAAGGTAACTCAATTGTCAGTTGTAATATATTGTGTCATTAAACTGCTGTAAGAGACTATGTATATGACCTCGGTCAGAAGGTAGTACTTGTATGACCTGACATGCACAACTTTGCACTTATAATGTCGCGTGCTCATATATTTCCTCGATTTCTCGAGCACCAATCAGTGCTCAGCTAAAAGTCTGCAGAGGTAAATGTCACTTGAATCATAATTGATGGAACAATTCATTGAATTTTCAAGTTCATGTTGATAATTGTAATTCTTTTCTTTTTTTCGACAGTAGTTCTTTTTTTTAGGTTTACAATTTTAGATTTCTAAAGTTTTTCAAAGATTTTAGTTTAGAATATAGAAAATACTTCAGAATTATTCACAATTACTTTAATGAATAGGAGTAGTGAAAATAGTTACATTTTTATTACTACAAACCCCTAAAAATAGTTTTCGTCGACAATTTCAGGGTTTTTTTTTTTATTTTGCTACACGGAAAAGAAACTTTGCCTGAAACATCGATAAGTTTCTCTAAAATAGCGAAAGTCTTAACTGAAACAACTAAAAATTTAGCTAATGTGCTAAAATTTGTAGATTATTTCAGGTAAAGCTTTTTTCCGTGTAATTAAAATGTGGGTAATTTATTAAAAAGAAAAGGAATTATCCACGTCGAAAAATTCCTTGGAAGTACCCCCTGGAAATTCCATGGAACTTCTCCATGGAATTTCCGTGGAGTTTCCATGGAAATTCTGCAAGTTCTTTATTTTAAAAATATTTTAACATTTCCAGGTTTGTCATAGGTCAGGAAAATCAGGGAAAAGTCAGGGATTTTTAGTAAAGTACTGGAAAAAATTGAATTTTTAAAAATTTTAATACAATTTTTGTCAAAATTTCAATTATTTTCAAAAATTTTCCTCAATTCAATCATTTTCAATATCTATTTTATAATAAAATTTTTCAAAAGATATCAATTATTTAAAAAAAGTGTTGATAAAATTTAAATCAAACATTACATTATTTTTAAAAATAATAAATTTTTTTACCGAGATTCAATTATTTTCATGAATAATAAAACTTATTATAGAATTTCAATTATTTTTAATAATACAATTTTAATCGAATTCCTCGATAAATTGAATTATTTAAAAATTTGTTGATAAAATTCTTTATGAGGATTCAATTTTGAAAAACATTCATTTATTCAATAAATTATTTATTTGCATTTTATTTGTATTTAAATAATTGAATTCTCTTAGAATTTTCTAATAAAAATTGATTTAAAAATGAATTTCGGTTAAAATTTTACATAATAATTGAATGTTAAAAAAAAGAAATATATATTACAAAAAAAATTTATTTTCTCTTTTGCGAATGAAAAAAAAATCATTTAAATATATTTTTGTTTAAAAGAATGTCAATAAAAAAAATAATATTGCAAGGATTGTTCAAAAAATACGTAACGTTTTATTTTTTATATAATAAAATATTTTGAATTTTAAAATTAATATCATGAAAATCATTAAATTCTTGGGAAAAATTTCACAATTTATAAAAATAATTGAATTCTTTTGAAAAAACTTATCATATAATTTTTGAAAATAATTTAATGTTTTGAAAGAATTTTATTCAAAATTTTGAAAATAATTAAATTTAATTAATATTGCTAAGAATAATTTATTGTATTCTTTCTAGAAATTTTACAAAAAATTAATTTATAAAAAAATAATTGAAATCCTGTGAAGAATTTTATTATTGAGGAAAATAATTTAATTCTTGTAAAGAATTTTTATTACATTTTTTTAAATAATTGAAGTCCTGTGAAGAATTTTATTGTTTATGAAAATAGTTCAATTTTTGCAACAAATTTTTATTACATTTTTTTTAAATAATTGAAATCCTATCAAGAATTGTATTATTTATGAAAATAATTGAATTCATTTAAGAAATTTTATTAAAATAGTAGATATTAAAAATATTTGAATTTCAGCGAAGAATTTCATGATTTGTGAAATGTAATTGAATTCTTGCAAAAAAATTTTGAAAATAATTAAATTTTTTGAAGAATTTATTTAAAATTGTATTAAAAATAAATTGAAATTCTATGAAAAATTTTATTATTTATGAAAATAATTGAATTCGTGTGAAAAATTTTATTACTTGTAAAAATAATTGAATTCTTGGGAAGGATTTTATTAAAATTTTTGTAAATAAGTTTAATATATTTTTGAAAAATTTTATGGAAATTTAAATTATTACAAAACATGAAGATATCGATAACTCCGAGTTCGGAGTGATTCGACTCGGAGTGATCGATATCTTCATGTTTTGTAATGATATTCTTATAATTTATTGTTAAATTTCATAAAGATTTGAATTTGAAATTTTTTGACAATCTTAATTCCTATGGAATAATATTAATAATGATTAAATATTTAATTAGAAAATAATTTTTTGGTATTTTGGAATAATTTTACAATTAAAAAAATTCTTAATTAAATGTAATAGAGCAGTTTTTTAAATGTCTAATCATTTTTAGAATCTAATAATCAGCTTTATTGCAATTTTTTTGCAAAATGCATATTTCATTCAAGTTTTGCAAAAAAATTGCAACAAAGCTTATTATTAGACTTTAATCATAATAGAAATGTTAAAATAATATTAAAACATGAAACTTGCAGAATTTTCACGGAATTTTCACGGAATTTCCAGGGGTGTACTTCCATGGAATTTATCGACGTGGGTAAAAATATTGGATAATGGAGATTGGATTTTGAATTAAAAATTCGATGGAAATTTAGAAGTTGAAAATTAAAAATTTTAAATTCGAAATTTAAAATTAAAAATTCGTAATTTAAAATAGAAAATTCGAAATTCAGAATTCGAAATTAAAAATTGGAAATTAAAATGTTAGGATTGAAAATTCTGGTCTTGGCTTGTTTAGGTTGCAATTAAAAATTGATTAATAGATGAAATGATATGCTGTTTGGTGTTGTAACATATAGGGGAGAATGTTAGTAGGTGAGGAAGTGTAGTTAACGAAATTCCGAGGTCTCGTATCAAAATTAATTAAGACTACTATGTATATATAACATTTCTTGGATCCTTCACGCAACGGCCTGATTCCCCTTTGAAGATATTCATCAGGCAACATGTACTAAATAAGATCAACGTCTAAGGGCAATCGGGCACACGACCTTGGCATTATATAAATGCGACCTAAGACAAAATTTATACATATTACAAGACGTTCTCGAAATCTAGGACTATTTCCTTCAAAAAGATCGATTATTATCTTTTCTTCTCTTTTTTTCTTTTTTCTTTTTGCAAGATCAAGATCAACCCATAAAAATGGGGACCTAAGAGTTTTACAAATTAGCTTCATATTTATCTTGTTGGCGAATCACGCTGTGATGGTAAATGACCTTTGAGATATAACTTTTATCAGAGACTGGCACATTTTGTTTCTCATGCGAACACGTTTTTGGAGGATTTTAGGGCACGTCGGGTGTATATTGATAGGTCGCCGATAGTTTCTTCTGTTGATTTTTGGCACTGATTTTTTTCTTTGCTTTTTTTTAGGATTATGTGTGGAAGAAAAAGTATAATTACACGCGCGGGAAAATTTTCGCTGTGAATTATTATTTAATTAATATTGGTAAAAGTTATCAGATTGTCTCTAGTTGGATAATTTAATTAAAATTGGTAAAAGTTATCAAATTTTCTCTAGTGGATTAAAACGCAAATATAGCACGATTATTAGTCACCAGTATTCAGTTAATTATTATTCAATATTGCTGCTAAATTGATTATATTCTTGAGGGGATATTGTCAGGTAATAATTGTCTATACTGGAAAAAATTTTTTTGATTGAAATAACAAATTACTTGTCTGTTATCAAATAAATATTTATTGGTAATAAATTTATTTAGTTTTATTTTATTTAAGTCAATAGAATTTTATCTGAAGCAATAATTTTAGTATTTGAAGCAAGTATCATTTAAATTGACAAATACATTTTTATTGACTCAACAAAATAAAATAAATAAGTTTATTTGGTGTAAATAAATATTTATTTAATAATATACAAGTAGTTGTTTATTTAAATCTCAAATAAAGTTTTTTTTCAGTATAAGCATAATGTTTCAATATTGTCCTAATATTGACCCAATATTGTTTCAATATTGTGCCTAAATATTTCCGGAGAATATAGAACTCAATAAGGTAAACATTTTTTTTTTTGTACTTTAATGAAAGGTTTTTCTGATTTCCTAATGTTGCAGTAAAATAAATTACCTGCAATTGAGCTTTTACTGTTGAAATCAAAATTGTATAAATATAACCTCTAAGAACGACGACCGCATCATAACTGGCCGTGAGACCATAAAGATTGCGTGATCGTATCCATATGCAGACATTCAGTAAAAATATTGATCAAATAAGTCATTAGATCATGCGCCTTTATCTTAAACCGGAAATTGTAAAAGAAAAAATACCGCGAAATTTTACCTCTCGAAAAAATTGAAAACATTTTTTTTTCGTTTAACTTTTCTACGTATATTCTTCTTATTTTTTTTTTTTGGAGGTTTTCATTTCTATATTTTAAAAACAGGAGTTTAATTGAAATTAATTAATAATATTAATAAATAAACATAATTAATATAGCAATTGATTAAATAAATAATAAATTAATTTATTTATTTAATTGTTTATTTATTAATTAATATTATTAATAGTTTTATACGTTTATATTTATAATAAATTTTATAGTTATTATAATTTTTATTATTTTAATAAAATTTAATAAATTTATTTAATTTATTTTATTTAATTTTATTTTTATAATAATTTTTTTAATTATATTAATTTTTATAGTTCTTAAATAAAATCCTAATGAACATTTTTGGTTCACTGAAAAAATATTTTATTCAAATAACCGATCATTTGTCTACTGTCAAATAAATATTTCCTTGACTCAAATCATTTTTATTTAAATCATTTAAAAAATTCTGAAATTATTGGTTCAAATACAATTTATTTGACTTATAAATTATAATTTAGTAATTATAAAATAAAAATTATTTGATTTAAGAAAATGTTTATTTCATAACAGACAAGTAATCGGTTATTTGAATCAAATAAATTTTTTTTTGTATTTAATAAATCTTTCAGCAGCAAAAAAAATTTAGTTTTTGTGAATCAAATTTTCTTATTCAGAGATTTGCGTAAATAGAATTTTGAATAAATATTTTTTTTAACTTTATTCCTTTTTTCTGTTTTTCGGATAATTTAATCAAACTTTGGATTTTTAATAATAAATTTCTAATTTCAAATTAATTTTTTTGTACTTGTATTTGATTCGAAGAAAAATTTTATTAACTAAATGAATTCATTGATATAACGATTAAAATGAATTGTTTAGTTAGTCCTTTAAAAATCTTTATCAATTGGTTTTATTCCATCAAAATTGTCTTCGGCGTATTAAAAAAATTATTATAAATAAAAATATAAGTGATAAAATTACATATTTTTTTAAATAATAATAATTAATAATTAATAAATTAATAATATTAAGAATACTAATAAAATATTAATAATACCATTAAAATAATATTAATGAAATAATAATAATAATAAATAATATTAATAATATGTTAAGAATATTGATCAAATAACAATAATTAAAATATTAATAAAATAATTAATAACAGTACGTTTGTACCTTTTTTAAGGGAAGTACCACGTTTCAGATGTCTCGTCATGAATGTGGATAGTAACTGCATTTCTAAATTCAACACTAATAAAGTAGTTTTTCTTCACTTTCAATTTTTGGCAGTTTGTCAAAAATCCATGTTTCGCATTGAATATTTTAATCTTTACCGCAATGGTGAGAATAATTTCGCATAGGAATTTATTTTTTCAATTTATAAATGACTCTCAATCACGCCATACGTACATCTATATATCTCTATAAGAATAATTCCCATTTTCATTCAATTTCCCCTTTCAAATTATCAGGATTAAAATCAAAACGATAATTAACTATTTCATGGAAATAGAATATTATAATTAATATTAATAATTGAAAAAATGAATCTTCATAATAGGCGTGTTTTGAAAATATAATTAAAGACAATACTAATTAAAAAATTAATCCTAACTTCTATATTCGAATTAGAATAAAAGTCTTTCTTGTTATTATTTTTATTATTAATATTATTTTTATAATTATTATTTTAATTATCATTATAATTGTTATTAAATTTAATTATTATTATTCCTCTTCTTCTTATTATTTTTCTTATTATTATTATTATTAAAAAATAATTTTCTCAATCGAAAGATACAATTCCGGTTTGAGTTGACGGTGTACTTTTCATATACAAGCACGGTGCTTTGACTTCTCATTTCATAATTTTTTAAATCTAATTTTAAGGATGGAATTTCAACGAGTTTTATTTCCGTTATGAAAATTATAACCCGGTCGACTAATTTTTGATAATTATACTCATAAATTCGTGTTATAAAATATAACACATGTGGATAATGTATGAATACTCGCTTTTATAGTTAATTTTGTGTCACATTAAATGTCACTCAGGATTTAAAGACCTGTTTCTCAATTTAGAAATAAATTTTTTTAAGCAAAAATTTAGCTTTTGCCTTCCACAAAAATTTTTAAAGTAAAAAATAAAACTAATGTTGCATTATTTTATTCACATATTGTTTATTATTTCATAGACACAATTTTAATTATTTTAATAGTATATTTGTTTTGTTTATTAACACTTTTAGTTGAGTACATTAATTTGAAGAATATTTAACAAAAATGGAAATTGGGTAAAAAAATTAACTGTTGTATTTTTTATTTATTATCATATTTGTGGTATTAATTAACTTTATTTCTCTATTAATATTATTATTAGTTTTTACTTTTTAGTATTGTTAACTTGCCAAATTATTAATATTGTTAAAGTTTAATTATTAATATCGTAAAATTGTTAAATATTAACCTTTTTACAATTTAATTTAACTGTTTTATTGCAAAAGTAAATTTGCTACAAAATTAATTAGGATAAATTAGAATTGAATAAAAACAATTATTCACAATTAAAATGTCAATGAAATGTTATTAAATGTTTAAAAGAAAACAATTTTGTTTATAACACGTGTTTCAAAATATGAAACGAAGATGAACTCTTCGCTTCTTCACTCGCGAAATCGAACTGGTTGGATGAAGTCCTGCTTTCATGTATTTTCCACCACGAACACAAGAATCGCGTCTGCGCTAACATTTAATTAATAGTTTTTTTATCCAAGAGGCATTGAGTTTGAAAAAAATTCTTATTTTCTCGGCTCAAAAAAAATTAATGGACTAGAGTACGTAATTAGGTACAATTAGAACAAAAAAAAGAACATTATTTCTATACTTTTTCTTTTCCTTCTTTTCTTAAATTGATATATGTGAAAAATTTTGAATACAAATTTTTACTAGTGCGGAAAATTTCCCCTTGAAAAATTTAATATTATGCAGAAAATTGTAATTAAAAACGAGTTTTTAAATTGAATTTAAATTCCGGTTGTTTCGACATTAAATTATTTATTTTTCACTGAATGTTTATTTAAAATATTTCTTTTTTGTTTTTAAAATACAATTTCAAAACCGCACATGTTTATAATCACTTTTACGAGTTTTTTTTTCTTTTCAAAAAATATTTCATAACTAAACCGAATTATTACGTAAAAATGTAACGAAAATATATTTAAGTGTTATTGAACAATAATAAGGAAGCAAAAAAAAATTTAGTGAAATTTTCAGCTCCAAAAGAGCTAAAAATGTTATCACCAGGCATTGTGAGTTTATTTTTAGTCTAATGATTTTACCATTTTTTTTTTTGTAACGTTCCTTTGAAATTAAAATGCAGAGGGAGATATAATATGAGGTATGAAAATAACAATGCTAATTATCAAATTAGTTATTGAAAAGATAATCATTTGTATGAAATAATTATTATTCGAAACAATTAAGCGCTGTTTGGATCAATTAGACGATATACTTGATTATATGTTAGAAGAATAGAAATATTATTTATTATAATATAATTAATTATTTTATATTATTTTAAATTTTTTTTTATTTTTTTTATTATTATAAATATTTTTTTATTATTTTTATTATTATTATTAAAATTGTTTCCAATTGTCAAGTAATAGGTTGCAAGTTCGCTAAATTTGAATTAGTAAAAATATTTACTAATTTAAATTTTAAATTAGTGACTGACTTATTGCTTTTGAATTTGTAAAATTAACTAATTAATAGTAATTTTTATTTTTACTAATTTATTAGTAACTTTTTACTAATTCAGAAGAAAAAGTCAGTCGAGCTCTCTAAATTTGAGTTAGTAAAAATAAAAATATTTACTAATTTGACTTAGTGACTGATTTTTTGCTTTTGAATTTGCAAAATTTACTAACTAATTGTAATTTTTACTAATTTATTAGTGAAATTTACTAATTAAAAAGCAAAAAGTCAGTGACTAATTCAAAATAATAAAGATTTTTATGAATTTAAATTTAGAGATAGTGGAGTATTCATAGAATTAAAAAACTCTTAGCAAATTTGTATTTTTTTTTCTTTTTCAAGAAAATTGGGAGGGGGGGGATTTTAGTCTTTTGTAATGACAATAATTTATGGAAGTTGTAGCACTTTCTTTATATATGTGTATATACAAACATACACATTAATGCCGACCCGTTGCGCTCGATGCACAGTTGTGTAACGGCATCGTGCGTGCAACGGTTCAATATTCCCAATTTCGTTCTTAAACATTTTCAAAATGTCATTTTAATTTAATACCGTACTTAGTTCCGTTTGTCTGGACTAGAAAATTATAACTGTGTAATTTTAGTTGAGATTTATGATGAAACGCTCTTTATCAATCATACACCTGTCATGAAACATAACATATTCGACTTACTGCAATAAATATATTGGAAAGTTTTTCTTTTGCGAATAGTTGAATGCAAATTTTGATTTATTCATATGTAAATAATTGATTTTATTTTCTTCCCTTTTACACAAAAATCAAAATTAGACAAAATCATATTTTTGTTATTTTTCATCACTTCTGAGTAGTTTTTTTTACTGTTTCTAAATTTTCGGATGTTCAAATGAAGGACGATATTTTTATTACATTTGTTAATTAGAATTTTTTTGCAGTAAAATTTTTGTCAGTACTTAATTTTTCAGTATTTAATGTTATAGAAATTTGTTTCGATATAAGAAAATATTTAATTTACATTATTTTCAAGTAGAGTGTGTAGTAATTTTTGCGAAAATATTTGCGAAGATAAAAATAATTTCGTTCATTTGAATGTTCAGAACTTTGGAGAAGTTGTTGTTAGTAAATATACCTCTAAAGGGATTGAACTTTTAGCGCAGTATTGTAATTTCTTTAGTATTCAAATGCTGCAGCAATATTGTAGTTGGAATAATGGGGCAGCAATTTTATCAATATTGAAGTTCAGGTGCTGGTTCAGGGGAAATATGACATTATTTGACTATTATCAAGTAAAAATTTACTTGAAATTAAATTTACTGGAATACTTTTTTATTTAAATTGAATTAAATTGATTTGAGTCGTTATTTTGTGGAACTAGTATTATTTATTTGGAGGAAATTCTTCTCCAAAGTTCAATTATTTTCATAAATGTCAAAAAAAATTCTTGTCCTAATTTCAATTTAATTTATTCAAAATTTTTTCTAATTTCAATTATTTTCAATATCTACTATTTTAATAAAATTTTCCAAAAAGAATTTAATTATTTAAAACAAATTTTAATAAAATTGTATGCAAACATTTAATTATTTTCATAAATAATAAAAATTTCACATGAATTCAATTATTTTTATAAATAATAATTTTTTTAAAGGAATTCAATTATTTTCATAAAAAATTTCACAAAATTGACAAAAATTCCATTCCATATTTTTTATTTTCCTGACTTTTTCCTAATTTTTATCAAAAATATTTACTTTTTGCATATCCTGCTAATAAATTGAATTTATGCTACGAATTTTATTATTCATGAAAGAATTTAAAATAATTTAATTCTTGCGAAGAATTTTATAAATATTTTTAAATAATTCATTTCTTTCGAATAATTTTATGCAAATTCTAATTTAAATAATTGAATTGATGAAAATTTTTATTATTCACGAAAAGAATTGAATTCTTACGAAAATTTTTACAAACCATTTTGTAAATAATTGAATTCTGTTTGGAAATTTTATGAAAATAGTAGATATTGAAAATCATTGAATTGCGAAAAGTTTTTAAAGATGATTGAATTTTACGAAGAATTCTATTAGAAAATTTGCCAATAATTGAATGACTGTGGGAGATTTTATTGAATTTTTTTGAAAATAATTGGATTTTCCTAAAAAACATTTTATTATTTATGAAAATAATTGAATTCTTGCGAACGATTTACTAGAATTTTTTAAAATAATGGAATTTCCAAGAAGAAATTTTCTACTTTTAAAAAGAATTTTATAGAAATATCTCAAAATAATTGAATTTTCGGGAGTAATTTTCTTATTTATCGACATAATTGAATTCTTAGAAAATTTTTTTTTTTATTTAAAAAATAATTGAATTATTTAAAAAAAAAATTAATAAAAATTATATTTAAAACAATTAATTTCTTTCGAATAATTTTATTAAATTTTTGAAAATAATTACTCAGTCCTTCCTAAAAATATTAAAAAAACATTTTTTTAAATAATTGATTTTTTCGAAGAATTGAAATGAAGTTTTTCAGAATAATTACATTTTTTAATCAATTCCTGTAAAATTGTATTAAAAATGATTGAAATCCAGCGATGAATTTTATTATTTGTAAAAAGAATTAAATAGTTGCAAAGAATTTTATTAAAATTTTCAAATATAATTGAATTTCTGAGAAGAATTTTATTTTTTTTGAAAATTTAATTGAATTATTGCGAAAAGTTTATTAAAATGTTTAAAAATAATTGAATTTCTGTGAAAATTTTTTATTATTTTTGAAAGGAATTTAATTCTTCATAAGAATTTTATGAACATTGCTTTAAATAATAAATTTTTAAATATTATGAAAATTTAATAGTTTAAATAATTGAATTATTGTGGAAAACTTTATTTGTGAAAATAACTGAATTTTATGATTATTAATTTAAAATAGTAATAAAAATAATTGAAATTCTTCTATGAGTTTTATTATTTATGAAAATAATTAAATTCATGCTTAGAATTTAATCAAAATTTTTTTTAAAAATTGAATTTTCATGAAAAATTTTATTATTAGTGAAAGTAATTGAATTATTGTAAAAAATATTGTGAAAATTATTGAATTAATTGAATTAGTAATTACTCCTATTTATTATTATAATTACCCGTGTAGAAAAATTTCGTGGCGCTAGCTAGCAGCGCTAGACTGCATGTAAATTTACCATGTATCTAGCACTGCTAGCTAGCGCCAAGAAATTTTTCTACACGGGTATATGTAAATATAGTATACATAGTTAAGTAAAATTTAATTATTTAGCTGTAACCATGAATAATTATTTTTCAAATTTTCCAACCATTTTTGGTCATTTTATTATTAGATATGACCCGATTATTCGAATTTAAAAAGTAGACGCACAATTTTGCTTCTTCAATATACATATATTATATATATAGTTGTTTGAATCGTTTAAAATTCGATTAGACGCAAATAAAAATTAGGTAATTTTATTTGTTTCTTGTGTACATAATTATGAGGTGTAATTAAAATCAAAGTAGATCAACGGATATTGAATGTGGTTTGATTTTAAAAAATAAATCATTTCATTATCATTTTGTTAAATATCATTTCCTTCTTTTTAATTTTATTTTGTTTCTACGTTCTCCTTTTGGTTTGCTTTCAATCCTAAACAGTTTAATGTTGTTAAATGTAGTACAAAGTATAGAGAGGATATCGTGAAAGGATTATCGTAGTAATGGGGTCTCGGCTACCAGTTCGTCGTTGCTCTGATCTTTTATTTGTTTCTGAACAACATCTGTCTTACGCGCTTTATACCCCTCCTTCTACTATACTTCATTCGAGTTTTCCCCCAC